ACAGGACACACAGACATTCTTGGCTCATTATAGAAAAAGTTGATGACCAAGATAATCAGATATCGCCAGCTATACTTGCCATCATGTGGGTGGTTATTTGTGTCCCCAGAAAACCTTTGCACAAATCCGTTCCCAGCCAGATTTGACCGAGCCTTGATACATATGTGGCCATAACCAGTCTCGTAACCTGGAGTCTGCAACACGAGATCATATTTCCACAGATGAGTGGCCACTTCCCAGTTCTCGGAGATATTGGTCTGCTTATAACGATTAAACTCTGTCAGGAGAGATGAGGTCGGGACTATCTCCCCCATGTTATCTCGTTGGTTTTTTTTTTGTTTGTTGCGGTTGCACCCGATTCAAGAGCCGAATGGCTCACAGGGCTAAACTTAATAAATGAACTTGAACAGTGACTGGGCAAGTCCAGCTTGGCCAAGTGCTTTGTGACAAGAGTGAATAATAGTGGTTCTTATTCTTGGTTCTTTCGGTAAAGTCACGTAGAAGGGAAATAATAAAATAATAAAAATATAAAACAATTAAAATTCTCACGACGTTTCGACAAACTCCACTCTACATCCTGGCACCAGACAAACTCCACTCTACATCCTGGCACCAGACAAACTCCACTCTACATCCTGGCACCAAACAAATTCCACTCTACATCCTGGCACCAGACAAACTCCACTCTACATCCTGACACCAGACAAACTCCACTCTACATCCTGGCACCAGACAAACTCCACTCTACATCCTGGCACCAGACAAACTCCACTCAACATCCTGGCACCAGACAAACTCCACTCTGTTTAACACGTAGGCTTTCGCGACCAATGTTATTCATAATCAACGATTTTTGGGTTTAGATCGCGTTTATTTATAAATGTGTCGTAACCCTCCACCACCCGACACGGCCAATCAGTAAAAATGTGTCACGTTGACAAAGACAAATAGTTCACTGCGTTAGCCCACCGGTGTGTTGAAGCAACAACATTTACAATTTGAGTACGACGTTTCGCTGGTAATTGCAACCAGCATCATCGGGCAATTCGCCAGAATGGTGAGGCTCTCCTGTGTCTCCCGTTCTTATATAGAGCAGCAGCATGATGACGTCACCCTGCTGCTGCTCTATATAAGAACGGGAGACACAGGAGAGCCTCACCATTCTGGCGAATTGCCCGATGATGCTGGTTGCAATTACCAGCGAAACGTCGTACTCAAATTGTAAATGTTGTTGCTTCAACACACCGGTGGGCTAACGCAGTGAACTATTTGTCTTTGTCAACGTGACACATTTTTACTGATTGGCCGTGTCGGGTGGTGGAGGGTTACGACACATTTATAAATAAACGCGATCTAAACCCAAAAATCGTTGATTATGAAACTCCACTCTACATCCTGGCACCAGACAAACTCCACACTACATCCTGGCACCAGACAAACTCCACACAACATCCTGGCACCAGACAAACTCCACTCTACATCCTGGCACCAGACAAACTCCACTCAACATCCTCCCACCAAACAAACTCCACACAACATCCTGGCACCAGACAAACTCCACTCTACATCCTGGCACCAGACAAACTCCACTCTACATCCTGGCACCAGACAAACTCCACTCTACATCCTGGCACCAGACAAACTCCACTCTACATCCTGGCACCAGACAAACTCCACTCAACATCCTGGCACCAGACAAACTCCACTCTACATCCTGGCACCAGACAAACTCCACTCTACATCCTGGCACCAGACAAACTCCACACTACATCCTGGCACCAGACAAACTCCACTCTACATCCTGGCACCAGACAAACTCCACTCTACATCCTGGCACCAGACAAACTCCACTCTACATCCTGGCGCGAGACAAACTCCACTCAACATCCTGGCACCAGACAAACTCCACTCTACATCCTGGCACCAGACAAACTCCACTCTACATCCTGGCACCAGACAAACTCCACTCTACATCCTGGCACCAGACAAACTCCACTCTACATCCTGGCACCAGACAAACTCCACTCTACATCCTGGCACCAAACAAACTCCACTCTACATCCTGGCACCAGACAAACTCCACTCTACATCCTGACACCAGACAAACTCCACTCTACATCCTGGCACCAGACAAACTCCACTCTACATCCTGGCACCAGACAAACTCCACTCAACATCCTGGCACCAGACAAACTCCACTCTACATCCTGGCACCAGACAAACTCCACACTACATCCTGGCACCAGACAAACTCCACACAACATCCTGGCACCAGACAAACTCCACTCTACATCCTGGCACCAGACAAACTCCACTCTACATCCTGGCACCAGACAAACTCCACACAACATCCTGGCACCAGACAAACTCCACTCAACATCCTCCCACCAAACAAACTCCACTCTACATCCTGGCTCCAGACAAACTCCACTCTACATCCTGGCACCAGACAAACTCCACTCTACATCCTGGCACCAGACAAACTCCACTCTACATCCTGGCACCAGACAAACTCCACTCTACATCCTGGCACCAGAAAAACTCCACTCTACATCCTGGCACCAGTCCACTCAACATCCTGGCACCAGAAAAAACTTCACTCTACATCCTGGCACTCGACAAATTCCACTCTACATCCTGGCACCAGACAAACTCCACTCTACATCCTGGCACCAGACAAACTCCACACTACATCCTGGCACCAGACAAACTCCACTCTACATCCTGGCACTAGACAAACTCCACTCTACATCCTGGCACCAGACAAACTCCACTCTACATCCTGGCACCAGACAAACTCCACTCTACATCCTGGCACCAGACAAACTCCACACTACATCCTGGCACCAGACAAACTCCACACAACATCCTGGCACCAGACAAACTCCACTCTACATCCTGGCACCAGACAAACTCCACTCAACATCCTCCCACCAAACAAACTCCACTCTACATCCTGGCTCCAGACAAACTCCACTCTACATCCTGGCACCAGACAAACTCCACTCTACATCCTGGCACCAGACAAACTCCACTCTACATCCTGGCACCAGACAAACTCCACTCTACATCCTGGCACCAGACAAACTCCACTCTACATCCTGGCACCAGTCCACTCAACATCCTGGCACCAGAAAAAACTTCACTCTACATCCTGGCACTCGACAAATTCCACTCTACATCCTGGCACCAGACAAACTCCACTCTACATCCTGGCACCAGACAAACTCCACACTACATCCTGGCACCAGACAAACTCCACTCTACATCCTGGCACTAGACAAACTCCACTCTACATCCTGGCACCAGACAAACTCCACTCTACATCCTGGCACCAGACAAACTCCACTCTACATCCTGGCACCAGACAAACTCCACTCTACATCCTGGCACCAGACAAACTCCACTCTACATCCTGGCACCAGACAACCTCCACTCTACATCCTGGCACCAGACAAACTCCACTCAACATCCTTCACTATACAATTACGATACTATATATTACTTTGTGTCATTGTATTAAGTATATAAATTTTATACTATTTGTTATTATACACTGTACCATATACAGCAGTGTGATATACATTAGGGTGGGTAGAATAATACATAGTGTAATATTACAATGTATAAGGTATAGCAATACAGTATATAATTTAATGTCAGGGTTGTCTATGGCAGTTTATAGTACGGTGTTGACTCGTGTGATGTAAGAGAATACAGTTTAGATGGAAGCATATCATATTTTTTACGACGTAGAATTGTAATGTATTACGTACTGTTAGTAACTCAGCTTATTGTAGAGTATATTTAGTATACTGATGATACTATGTAGTTTATACTTTAGTTATATACGTGGTGGTTTTAGTTACTGCAGCTACATACTATTAACACTCCTTCCCTTTATTAATGCTACCCCTATCCCCTCCTTTTGATGCTGCTAATCCTGCATAATGCACGGGCATAAGTAGTACTAATCACATACCTGCATTTCCCATATCCCCTCCCTTTGATGCTGCTAATCCTGCATAATGCATGGGCATAAGTAGTACTAATCACATACCTGCATTTCCCATAAATATGCTAAATTCCTCTTGATATGCAAATTATTTTGTCAAGGCGCCCTTTCCCCTCCTTCTAACCCAGATTAAATATACGCTCCAAGCATGGTGCTGTTTCATTCAGACGCTGTCTCCCCGACAGACCTGGTCTTCACCTGAGGACGGCTGCTTGCGTTGTGGCCGAAACGTCGTGAGAATTATGTAATGTTTTATTTTTATTATTTTATTATTTCCATTCTACGATACTTTACCGAAAGAACCAAGAAGATGAATCCCTGCAGTCACGAAAGTTTTAAATCGAAAAATGAATAACTAGAATTTATCGTAAAAAAAAAATTCCATGTTTTTTACCCCAGTAATTACCCTGTAATCGCGAAATTTGTATGGGATAAGGGTAAAAGGTAAGGTAAAAATAGGCTCGTTCTTTTTTTTACCTTTTACCTTACTTGCTAAAGGGTAAAAGGTAGGGTAGCACGATTGTATTGTGGTAAGGTAAAAGGTAGGGTAACGTTTCTCTTGTTTTTTTTACCGTTTAACTTTTACCTTACCTTGCCGAGGCCTAGGTGAGACCACAAATAAATAAAATAATTTATGGATGGCAAAAAGAAAGTTGATTATTTGGTAAATCTGTCCCACGTGATCATCATCTTATGCTTCCACGTCCCACGTGACCACGCCACGCGCTCCCTTCAGTCTTACGTAATCGCGCCCCACCCCTTCCATCCCACGTGATCACCCAACGCACTCCGCCCCCTTCTGTCCCACGTGACCACCCTACGCCCCTCCTCTGTCCCACGTGACGACCCGATACACCCCCGCCCCCTTCTCTCCCACGTGACCACCCCACGCGCCCCGCCCCTCTTCTCTCCCACGTGATCACCCCACGCGCCCCCCCTCTTTTCTCCCACGTGACTCCCCCACGCGCCCCGCCTCTTTTCTCCCCCACGTGACTCCCCCACGCGCCCCCACCCCCCACGTGTCCAAGCTAAGATGGAGGCGGCGGTGGCGGTGGTGAAGAAGGCCGCGCTGGACCCGGTGACCGCGGCGCTCGTGTCGCTCATCCTGGAAATCGTCTCCTCCATGGACGAGTCGGAGCGCCTGCTGCTCTCCGACTCGGAGGCGCCCGAAGACGACGACCTACAGCTGATGGTCGCCGCTCTGCTCTGCCGGTGCTTGCCACATGTGTACTACTGTACTACCGTTCAACAACAACAACAACCGCAGGGGTTCCGGTGGCGTAACCACGCAACGGTCGTTAAACTATTACTTGTTAAACTATTACTTGTTAAACTATTTGTTATTGTTTTAGGTAAGCCCTGCTGAGCTATATATTTTAAGAAGCGACCTGCCGCAAATGATAGCTCGGCTAAGTGGCTAATCGCGTGGAAATGTATAGCAAACGAATACTCTAAACTTGCTTTCATGGCTTTATTTTGGTGATTTTCGAAAAGTGTTTTGGTTTAGCCATGTTTGTTTGTTGTAGTACAGAGTAAGAATGATGGCCTTAATCTATGTTGTCTTGTGGTTGTTGTTGTTTGACTTGCATCCCACTGGGATTTTTGCACACAACGTTGGTGTACGGTGCTTTTTCTGCAATATTTTGCTGTCTTTTTTGGATTTTCTGTTTGCACTTAGTCACATAGTCACTTTAAAATGTTTTCTTGTTCATGTTTTTTGTTTGTTGCGTTTGCACCCGATTCAAGAGTCAAATGGCTCACATGGCTATACCTAATCAATGAACTTGAAATGCACGGGGAGAGAGAGACACGCAAACTACAAATACACAGCAGGCTTCAGGGTCGGGATCGAGAGGGTTAACAGCTGGCCACCTCAGCGCCCCGCTTGTGCCAGGCTAGGTGCACTTTTACTACATTACAGGGCCTTTGCACGCAAGTAGCCTCGTGGGGTAGCGTTGACGCAGCGATTCGCGAAATGCGCTACTAATTCACGGCTTCAGCTAATGCAAGTAGGGAGTTAAGAATGAGTCTCTAAAAAAAGCATACAGATCTCGGAAGCTGAGCAGCAGGTTTAAGTCTGGAGAGTGGCTTGGGTTGGCGACCACCATGCACAGGTTGTTATTATACAGGATGGCCCATACGTCTGGATTCATAAGGAACAATAACTAATATTTTGTTTTGTTTCTGCAGGCTCAAGGTGGCTCTTAGTTTTTCCCGTGATTCCAGACTTATGGGACACCCTGTAGTGCCGCAGGGCTCCATCGTAGGCAGCAGAGGGCAGGGCTGAGACAATTTTACAGTGGAGCACTTTGCTCCCCCACATTCACGAACCTGCACTGACCAGGGTGAAGTATGGTCACATAACCCCCACGACTTGCACACCGTGAGGAGGCCCTCATCCAGGAATGGCATGATTCAAGAACAATGTGTCGGGCTAGGACAGACACGAGTCTCAAATGCACCGTACACTAACGATTTACAACTCGCGTTGCTCTAGTTTGGTATAAAGCTGTGTTGATGACCTCTTGAAAACTAAATTGATTTGAGGGTTGCCCACATCTCGGGAGACCTAATGGAGAGCAAACACGACGCAAATATGCAAACGAGGTTTTTTTTTGCTGAACCACTTTCATACTGTAAAAACACTTTTGAGGACAAACACGTGTTGTAAAGCGTTATGGAGTCGTAAAAATTCTTGATTTTCTTAACTTTTTTGTTTGTTTTGTTTTCTCTTCCAATGACTTGCAGGCAGGGCTCCGAGAGTGTGGCGAGCATCATTCAGAGCACAGAGGAGCTGATCCCTCAAGTTAGCCCCGATGTGTTCCGCCACCACTTCCACGTGTCTCGCCAGACCTTCGACGTGCTTGTCAGCCAGCTGGCGCGCTGCCCCGAGTTCCCCACGGAGCCCTACCATGGGGGGCGCCCCCCGATCCCGCTCACCAAGGTGCTGCTTGTGGCACTGTGGACGCTGGCCACTCCCGAGTGCCTGCGCACGATTGGCGAACGCTTCGGCATCCCGCGCTCCTCCGTGCTCACGTGCCTGCGCAGGGTGTGCGCCGCCACCATCAACAACCTCATGAGGGACTACCTGGTCTGGCCCTCGCCGGAAGACTTCGAGGGCATCGCCGCGGAGTTTGAGCGCCAGAAGGGCTTTCCGGGTATAATTGGCGCACTGGACGTTTGTCACATCGCAATCAAAGCTCCCACGCTGAACCCAGAAAACTACTACAACCGCAAAGGGTTTTTCTCACTGGTGCTTCAGGCGGTGTGTGACGCCAATTACAAGTTCCTCGACTGCTTCACCGGTTGGCCCGGGTGCATCACGGACTTCTGCGTGCTCAAGAAGTCCCCGTTGTTTGAAGAGGCTGAGCAGACGATACCCCTTCAGTATCACATGGTGGCGGACAGTGCGTATTACCTCAAGTCGTGGCTGATGACGCCGTATCGGGAGACCGGCATGCTCTCGGATCGTGAGCAGAAGTTCAACTTTGTGCAGATATCCACCACGAGCGTGATCGAGAGGGCCTTTGCCATGTTGAAGGGCCGGTTTTGTCGCTTGAAGTACCTGGACATGTCCGACATGAACGGAATGGTGGATGTGATCATGACGGCCTGTGTGTTCCACAACATTTGTCTGTTGCACGAGACCGAGCTGGATGACTTTGCCGACGAGTCGAGCAGCAAAGACGTTGTCATCCACTATCCCACGGAGGACATCGCATTTCAGGACGATGCCGGAGAAAGGAAACGGGAAGAAATTGCCAACTTGCTTGGGGCCGGTTTTGAACAAGTGTGTTAAACCTGTCGTCCAAATAACACGGAAGTCAAAATCTAAATTTATTTTTGGCGACTCCGTCCCGCTACACACATAAATGACGCGACCCACCTGGCGCGGATCATTCTGTTGTCATCCAAGCGCAGCAAGGACGACAACAGAAGATACAAAACTTTGATTAGTGCATCGTGTACAGCTCGTCGCTCGCCTTCAACAGACAAAATGACGTCGCAACGCAGTTTCATGTGAGAGCTGGTGGGGACTTATGGGACCTCGGGGTCAGTGTAGCCCATGACGAGTGAAGAAATGCAAAGGTTATCAATATGGGTTTCTTTATTGCCACAAAAAGTTTATTTTTTATATGATGGAAGCTACCAATTTTACTTTAAAGAACATGAACCCGTATTTTCGCTAAATTTCGGTCTCAATACCTGCAATTATTTGCATCTCTGCAAATGAAATTCCCACATTTGCTAAACTTGTCCATTGAAAATGTAAAGGGTGGTGCTACCCCAAATGAGCACTTGTAAACACCTTTAAAAATCTTTGAGATAATATTAATTGCCAGTGATGTCACTATTGTAGTAACACTTGACCGTCGAGCTTGAGGACAGACTAACCAAGGTACTTGTTTACAAGATAAAAGCCAGTTTTGTATCTCTAAACAGCAACCTAATGAGTCGCAAATCAGTGCCGTCTCCCTCGGCGGCGGTGGTTCGAGTGCTCACGCACCCCTGTGCGATTTCCCCCCCCCCCCTCCTTGCTGGCCACTCGCCCTTCTCTCAACCTGACAGGCCCGCAAGTGACGGCCATTAATGAGCTGGAAGTGCTCAAAAGTTTATTGTTTGCAACATCAATAGGAACTGATAACTAAGTCCATGATTAAACATCTCAAGTGAAAGGGGTCCTGGAGAGAAAAGGAAATGTGAGGAAAAGGTATGAATTGTGGATATTTTGCAAGGTGGTGTCTTAGAAGAAAAACTGGTATATGAACAGTTTTCATCAGCTGATGTTCGCTGTAAATGCAGTTGATACCAGGTCTGAAACATGTTCTTAACACTGCTTTCGAGTCTTTCAGCAGAGCTCGGACTGGTGGTAGCCCACGGGCTAAATGTGGCATTGAGGGCTATTGAAATGGCCCACATTAGGGTCCACCAAGACTTAAAGAAATAGAGATTGCTCAGATCAACAATAGACGATAAAGATGAGACTTGGAGATAAGAGATGCAGATTTGTGGTCAAATGTACAGACGTTTTTGAAATCATACCACGTGGACGTCTTAACGTTTGTAAATGTGACATGTTACGCAATCCGCCAGCACACTAATTATATTGTGGCCCACCAGATAATATATTTGAAGAACCCTGCCGTCTTGCAACAGCAAGATGTAATGAAATGCGTGGTAAAGGTATGCACATTGAAAAGCTTTTCCTATGTACTTGGCATTATGAAAATATATATAATGCAAATGACAATTTAGTGATATTATTTCTTTCACTATCCTTATTATGCATACCATTATATGAAAATGAAGTGTGCAGGCAATTGGAGCAAGACAGTGTTTGAGACGGACAACATACTGGGAATCGTAAAAAAAAGACCTTTGAATTTAGGCTCCAAATTGTGAGAATATTCGAATTAACACCGTAATAAAATAGCTTTTCTGTACTCTGTTACTCTTGTTTTGGCGTGGAAATACATTGGCTCGTAACATACTTCTCGATTTGAAGCTTTCGTGACTGCAAGGATCCATACTTTTGTTTTTTTCGGTAAAGTCACGTAGGTAAAAAATATACAAAATAAATTTAAACAAATAAATTAAATCACGACGTTTCGGAAGCAACACAAGCAACCGTCATCAGGTGTAGACTGCTCCCGCAAATACGCCTCGGTAATGTTGCTGGAGCAGTCTACACCTGATGATGGTTGCTTCTGAAACGTGATTTATGTTTTAATTTATTTTATATATTTTTTACCGACGTGACTTTACCGAAAAAAACAAAGAGTATCGTAACATACTTTTAACTTGCACCAACGGCACCTAAACAATGATCCCCCCATTGGAGTCTTAAACTGATGGGCCAATTCCTATTGGCGAGCACCTTTTGAAGTCCAACACGACACTTTGGGGTGGTTGGCCAGCATCATGCCCGTCTGCCTTTGTCTCCCCAGTGCTGATGTTTACACACCGCACCAGATACTCATTTAAGGCCGAGTCTGTCTAGGGGAAGCCCAGCACCGGATCAGATAATCGTCACTGGTGTTGGCCGTGAGCGGGAGTCGAACTCTGGTCGTTTGTGTTCGTTACGCAGCGCGATACGCGCTACGCTACAGCAACATTCGCCACTAAGTGGCAGTGACGTCACCACGACGCTTGTGCCAGGCTAGGTGCACCTTGAACTCCACCACACAAACACGTGGTCTTTGAAGGCTGCGCACGATGACGCAACGCCATTGGCCCATCGCAATGACGTCATTGCTGTTCAAAGGGCGACGTCGTGTCGTCTCCCGGATCCGTTGCGAGCCGTGACGTCACCCCCACCCCGCCGTTATTAAAATTCGTCGCCGAGGCGACCGCTGTGACGTCATGTCACCCGCACGCACGCCTGGTGTCTCACCCCGTAACGAATACGTCATCGCTCTTGACAAACCTCGTCTCCCGGATCCGTCGCGAGGCGTGACGTCACCCCCACCCCGCCGTTATTAAAATTCGTCGCCGAGGCGACCGCTGTGACGTCATGTCACCCGCACGCACGCCTGGTGTCTCACCCCACTGCCCCCTCTGACGTCACGTGGTGGTTGCCCCTCTGTGTGTGTGTGGGGCTTTTTGTTGCTGTTGTTGCAGCGTTTGGCGGTGAAGCGGAACGTGGTGGTGGGGTGGCGGAGATTTTGTTGTTGTTTTATAACGGCACGCCCTGGGGAAGAGAAGGAGCAGTGAGTGAGGGGGGAGGGGAAGGTGGGACATTGCCTAGAAGAGGGGCACGATCTGTCTGTCTGTCGTGTGTCAGCGATCCAGAATCTCCAGTCTTTCGGTGAGGGGATGGTATGGTCGTCTTGTGCCCCGGTGGTGGTGTTGGTGGTGGTGATGATGGGGCGATTGTTATTGGTGGAGATGGTGATGGTGACACTGGTGGTGACGATGATGGTGATGATGGTGCTGGTGATTTTTATTGGTGGAGATGGTGATGGTGGCACTGGTGGTGGTGATGATGGGGCGATTGTTATTGGTGGAGATGGTGGTGGTGACACTGGTGGTGATGATGGTGCTGGTGATTTTTATTGGTGGAGATGGTGATGGTGACACTGGTGGTGACGATGATGGTGCTGGTGATTTTTATTGGTGGAGATGGTGATGATGGTGGTGATTGTTATTGGTGGAGATGGTGGTGGTGACACTGGTGGTGATGATGGTGCTGGTGATTATTATTGGTGGAGATGGTGATGGTGGCACTGGTGGTGGTGATGGTGGTGATGATGGGGCGATTGTTATTGGTGGAGATGGTGGTGGTGACACTGGTGGTGATGATGGTGCTGGTGATTTTTATTGGTGGAGATGGTGATGGTGACACTGGTGGTGACGATGATGGTGATGATGGTGCTGGTGATTTTTATTGGTGGAGATGGTGATGATGGTGGTGATTGTTATTGGTGGAGATGGTGGTGGTGACACTGGTGGTGATGATGGTGCTGGTGATTATTATTGGTGGAGATGGTGATGGTGGCACTGGTGGTGGTGATGGTGGTGATGATGGGGCGATTGTTATTGGTGGAGATGGTGGTGGTGACACTGGTGGTGATGATGGTGCTGGTGATTTTTATTGGTGGAGATGGTGATGGTGACACTGGTGGTGACGATGATGGTGCTGGTGATTTTTATTGGTGGAGATGGTGATGATGGTGGTGATTGTTATTGGTGGAGATGGTGGTGGTGACACTGGTGGTGATGATGGTGCTGGTGATTATTATTGGTGGAGATGGTGATGGTGGCACTGGTGGTGGTGATGGTGGTGATGATGGGGCGATTGTTATTGGTGGAGATGGTGATGGTGACACTGGTGGTGACGATGATGGTGATGATGGTGCTGGTGATTATTATTGGTGGAGATGGTGATGGTGGCACTGGTGGTGGTGATGGTGGTGATGATGGGGCGATTGTTATTGGTGGAGATGGTGGTGGTGACACTGGTGGTGATGATGGTGCTGGTGATTTTTGTTGGTGGAGATGGTGATGGTGGCACTGGTGGTGATGGGGCGATTGTTATTGGTGGTGATGGTGATGATGGTGGTGATTGTTATTGGTGGAGATGGAGGTGGTGATAATTGCGGTCATTGCTTTGGTGAAGATATGGTGGTGGTTGTGCTGGTGGTGATTGTGTTGGTGATCCTGGTGGATATTGGTGGTGGTGGTTATCATGGAGGTGACTTGGTGGTGGTGGTGATGATGAATATGATAAGTATGATGGTGACTGGGTTTGATGGTTATGGGTAAAGCCATAGTGGCCATAGCGATGGATTGATTATGGTGATACAATAAATAGGGTCATTGTCACGGTTATGATGTACGTACCGTATGCGCAACTTCTTTCGCACCTTACGTAGCCAACAGTGATAATCGAAGGTGCGAAAGTGGTAGTTGATGGTGGTGTTGGTGGCATACGTTGGTTGTGTTTGTGGTGGTCATTGTGATGGATGTGATAGTGGCGTGAAGTGGTTTCGTTGATGCTTGGTAATGGTAGTTGCGTAACTATCGAAGGACGCTACTGGGTAGTTGGAGGTCACAGAAGCGACGCTCACAGAAACGAGCGGATGGGAATGTACCAATGTTGGTGGTGCATCTTGAGGTCATCTCAGTTGGCCAACCCATGGCACCTGCTGGGTCTGTCCCGATACCTGTCAGCAGCGAGCCTTCGACACTTCACGTGGCCTCAAAGTGCACGTGGCCTCAAGTTTCATTTTTATTTTCAAGTTTCATTTTAATTTATTTCAATTTTCATTTATTAGGTATAGCTCTGTGAGCCATTCGGCTCTTGAATCGGATGCAACCGCAACAAACAAAAAACATGAACAAGAAAACATCTTAAAGTGACTGTGACTTTGTGTAAACAGAAAATCCAAGAAAAGACAGCAACATATTGCAGAAAAAGCACAGTATACCAACACTGTGCAAAAATCCCAGTGGGATGCAAGTCAAACAACAACAACCACAAGACAACTTAGATTAAGGCCATCAGTCTAACTCTGTACTACAACAAACAAACATGGCCAAACCAAAAACTTTTCGAAAATCACCAAAATAAAGCCATAAAAGCAATGGAACAGTGATCATAGGAACTGTGACCGAATTTTCACAATAAACGACGTACCACCACAACTCTGGCTGCATGAGTCACTCCACAACAGCAGGAGCATCAGTCGGAGAATCAACATTTTTCAATGCACCTCAAAATGCACGTGGTGACGTTGCCGTCACTGAGCAGCGAGTGGCAGGTATTGGTAGCAATCGAGTGTGCAGGCGGTGCAACTGCGCACAAGCGCACACGGGCAAGAGGGCCGGCCCATGCCCTGGCAACGACGAGTGGGACAATTTATAGGGGAGGAGGATCTATTTCGTTCTTTGCATCAGGGTCCGTGCCATTGCCAACCGCGCCATCACCACTGATGGTGGTGATGGTGATGACGGCGATGGTGAAAAACGAATCACAAATGTGGCTGCTCGTTCGCTGTCCACAACCTAAAGTCGACGGTGCCCTTTCGAAATTCCAATGACCGAAGTGAATTTCGCTCGATGACAGCCGCTGTTGACCTACCCATAGAGTGGTACCAATTTTATCGGACCCCAGATTGATGATAAAAGGCTGAGTTATTTGACCTCTGACCAACCGGAATATGAACTCGTAACCTTGCGAATACGAACTGTATTTTTACAAATACAGTACGATATGATGAGCTTATTTATAACGTTTAATATATTTTAAGTCATGCGTTTTTTTTAAATTCGTGTTTGAGAAAGGCCGTGTCAAGAGAAACCCCACGCATACTAGAAGGTAGCCAGAAAACACATCCTAACCGATAGGTCAATCACTTATTGCAGTGCACGTACACCCTAGGGATGCGTTTGACCTAGTGAAGCTGAGCGTAACGCTCGATGATGATGGGAGTCTATTGATGAACTGTCAGAGTGGTGATGCATTCATTCTGCCGCGGTGTACACGGCAAAGGGTTATTACTATACACATGAAGGTCAAGGAGAGGCTATTATCGATTTGATTTTAAAGCTCATGTTACAAGCATCGAATTTTACCCATGAATGTGTATACTTTTGGGGGTTGTCTACATAACTGGTAGCCGTTTTCAGAATTGATTACAAATTCCCTGAAGTGAGGAATCGGTTATTGATTCCAGTGGAATGTTCGTCATGAATGCATTTTTATGGTTATATAAAACATCAGGGTGAGGGACTGCAATGGCTTGCTCAAGCCACTGCTCTCGTTTGGACCTCCTCTAGAGGGAGCTGTAGAGTTATTGGGCAATATTCACACTTTACCCCACCACACTTGCCCTGCTGAACGACTTACTTTGGTGTCCCCATTTATACTGCTGGATGGAGAGAGGGGATGAGGGTTCTATGGTGGGGGGGGGGGGGGTTAAGAAACGTGCCCCATTGTTTCGACTACCGTGCTGGGAGGTGGAATCAAACCGGCGCCTCTGGATGGAAAGTCCAGTGTTGCTATATGCATTGCACCAAAGCATCTCTCTCTATGCTTCTCCATTAAAAAGGTACAAACGTTGCGTTTAAAAAACGTGTTTGGAGTGGTGACGTGGACAACTGGTAGCCTGTTCTCACTACCTGTTGCAAAGCTTTGTGGTTCGAATTCGGAATGGTCTCCCTGGTTAACACTATGGGTGCATTAACCATTAAATAAGTGCCGTCAGCCTCGCAGTGGGCGTTAGAAAATCCGAGCCGTCATCTGAAGACGAGTAGGCCATTTTCGTGCCAGCTTCACGGTCCAAATTATTTCAAATGTGAAAAAAACTTAATTGTAAAACAATAATCGTAGCCCTCTTCTGCGAAAACTGCAGGTCCCTCTTGAAAAATATTGTTGAGACTCAGTGAGACTTTCCTGGCTAAACAAGTGCAGTAATACTAACTAGTAATGTTTTTCGTGCGAAGAATAACCAGACAAATACTATACACGTGTTGCCCTTTAATCACAGATAGTTGCCCGTATTCAAACTCAATGTCAGTGGTGTTGGCTCAGTGCTCTGTTACAGCATTAACCGGGAGTCATCTACCCACCAAATGTACGAATATTTCATGGGCCTGCCCTTCGGCGACATAATTTAAAGTTTTGATTTATTGCTTTCGTGACTGCAGGGATTCATATTCTTGGTTCTTTCGGTAAAGTCACGTAGAAGGGAAGTAATAAAATAATAAAAATATTTATTGTTTAATAGTTTTTTAATTATTTTGTTACTTCCCTTCTACGTGACTTTACCGAAAGAACCAAGAATATAATCGAAAGTATTTCCAAAAACCACGTGACTTTTTCCACGCATTCTTATGCACGCTCATGACCACAATAATCCCTGGGATGTATGCCAGCGAGTGGCAACACTGACAATGCGAGAGGGGGAGATATTGATATATTTATTTATTTCGTGCTAAGGTTGGCATTGCCAAGGAAGACCAGCTGAAGGTGCACGGCTTTTGAGCGTCGGCACGAAGATGCGTGCGCACAGACCATGATGCGGCGCCGCGCTGCACGACCGGAGCCACCCACGCCTGCTCTCAGATGCTTCCAACACCGCCACGCTCGACCGCACCTCCCCGCACACCTCCGCAGAAAATGAATACCCACAGTTGCACATTTATCACTGTTTTAGTTGAAGATGAAGTAAGGTTTGAATCAATTTTACCCAGTTCATTTTCCCGACCACCTGATTTAAACGAATTATCCCACTACTCTGTTTAGCACTTGTTGCAGTATTTCACTTAAGAACGTGTTTAAATGAATCTGAGAAATGCACGAAAATATTTTATTTTGTATCACTACACATTTTTTCACTTAATGTTACAGTGTTATTTTTTTACCTCTATCGCTTTCAGACATGCTATCCTGGCCTACATGGATCTCTTTATGTTTTATTATTTTAAAAAATATGAGAAGAAGCACATTGTTTGAGAGACCTTCATAATATGGATGAAAACATGCTAATCTCTTTTAAAAGAATGTAATCCAGGCATGCCAATTATCTAGTTTTAAGAGGATTACCGCAATAACACTGAGAAACAACTATTAAAGCACTAAGAATGTTGAATGTCGACTCATGTTGGACAAGACATACATCCCTTTGAAATGTATTTTTAACTATGTTAAATGTGACACCTGTGTTCATGGATTTAAATGAGATGTGAATGATAAGCACATTTTGTGCAGAATTCAGTTTAATTTAGTTTTAAAATGGCAACTAACGCACGCGCTCCACTGACAATTTTTTGTAAAATTAATCCAGGTAACGCAATTATTACGTTTGGATTAATTGTACAAGTTCCATGTATTTACTGTGTCCTTCAAAATGTCAGTAAGTTCACAACACCTTCGGCCCATGATCATTTGAGCTTTAGAGACTGCAAACTGAAACAATTGTTGGCAAATATTCACACTTATAAATGGGCCTCACGATGGCAGAACATATATGCATTATTACAAATGTATAACGCCTGTGTCCCTTGTACCATTGCGTAACTGGAAAATAACAAAGGGACCAGGCAAACCCCTCTTCCACTGACATGATGTGTGAGAGACTTTATTACCACATCAGCCAGAATGCACATGATATTGAATGGGTGGCCATCAAGGTCACATTACGACTGCAACTCTTACGACATAGGTAGGCAATCCATTAATCAGCAGCTTGACAGATGTCATGTACATTTTGGATAGTGAATAGGGTTAAATGCATTGCGATATTGCCGTGAATCCATCCCAGGGTTAGCCCAGCCATTCAGGGGTGGTGAAATGAGCACTAGCTGGCACCGTTTGATAACACTGTAACACAGCTTTTGTTCCTGGGTAGTAAGTTTTATTTCGTAATTGCTTATGCCAAAAAAGTATAGAAAATGGCTATTCCCCACAAACTTTGTTTTTGTGACCAGGACAGTGATATTTTTAAATTGACCTATTTTCAATGATAAAACGGTGTCTTTAGTTCACATGAAGTCAGAAAAAACCATGAATCAAAATTAACATGTATTTATACTAAAGTAATACAAAAATTGCACCAATTTTTTTATTACTTTAGTAGTTTTTCGTGATTGTTCCTCCCCACAGAAAACTCGGTCTGCTGTGGCCAGTCCCGCCTGTGGTAGTGCACCTTGGTGTCTAAATCTTTTGTCGTAATTTTTGTATTACTTTAGTATAAATACATGTACATTTTTATTCATATGTTGTTTTTATCTGACTATGTGAACGAAAAGACAAATTCGCCCGTTTTCTCATTGAAAATAGGTACATTTCAAAATATCACTGTCCTGGTCACAAAAGCAAAGTTTGTGCTGAATAATAGCCATTTTATATACTTTTGAGGCGTAAGAAATTAGGAAATAACACTTATTACCCATGAACAAAATATATATAAAAAATTGTTACATGCACAGTGGAATGTTCTGTGATGTCAACCAGCGGTGGATCGTGGTTGGCATTATTCCTGCCTGGAACTGTATGAGAAATGAGAAGGGGGCCCACTACCCAATCTCCTGCCACCGAGCAGCTCGGCACTTGCGTTTCACTGGGCTATGGTCTCGGTGCATTTCCAACACCGGCACACGATGTGGCCAAGCCACTGATATCAAGACTGATTGTGGAAATGTCTCTGCGGGCCTCGTACCTACTCCCAAAACAATCTCCTGACAGTCACTGCTATGGATGATTATAATGCATCTTATAAATTCTTAGTTTAACACGTAGGCTTCCGCGACCAATATCCATAATACAAGTTTTTAAATTGTAAATGTTGTGGCTTTGCTCTCTAACACATTGTTGTGCTGTACTAGTAACGAATTGGCATGTTCTGTTTACGTGAAAAAGCTTACTAATTGGCTGTCGGCTGGTAACGGGTTTAATAACACTTTAAAAAAAATACGCGATCTAACCCCAAAAAACCCTTTAATTTTGTTTAAATTATTAGTTGTGTGTTTTGTTGGGACATAATACTGGTCTTGTCTCACCTTCAACTCGCCCTGACCAACGTGGAGAAGTATGGTCAAGCAACCCCTATGACCGACAGCGTGGGGGGAGGCATTTATCCAGCAGTGTATTGGCAATGGGCTACGCATTCGGCAAACATTGAATTGGAAACCCGGTAACCGATGTCCGTGGCTATCTTGTTTATCAATGATTAATAACAAGCACGTGTCCACTGGTGTTGCTAGCTTCCAGTCAGATCGCTGGCTCTTGCCACCCCTCTACTTTTTTACAGTCACTGGGCTTTATATTCCCTTTTCAGCATTCCTGGACATTTACAAATTCATATTTTAATAATATCTATAATATTAACGAAGTTGATTTTACACAGAAAATTCTCACTCAATCTTAAGACTTTTTTTTCAGGAGGGTTCTGCATTCCACGTTACTACGGCGGAGCTGTGTATCAATAAAAGCGCAACATTCGTCAATAACACTATCTTAAAAGGAAACTAAATATATTTAGTAATACTGTATGCGAGAATTCAGGCAATAGCCCTTCATAGAACAAAAACGAGAATCGGAATAATGGAGGAATCATGAGCTATGAAGCTCTTGACAAAAAACCCCGATATACTGTAAAAGCAAATAGAGAATAGGTAAGCAAGTCGTCATACATAAATATAAAGCAAAGAAGAACAAATTTTCACAAAAACATAAATTGCCGCCGATTTGGCAGCACCAAATGCAAGCTTGGACAAGGCAGAAAAACAAAAACAGCCCCGAGACCACACCAAGGCAACAAGGGCCATTGCCCGAAACGTCACCAATTATATATTTTACATTTAAAGGCAACAGGGTTATTGACCAATGTGTCGAGGTTTGCTGTGTTTACACCATTGGACCCTCCTTTGCCAGTAGCAAAATATGATAATAGTTTTTTTACTCTTTTATCTTGCAAAAAAACTCACACCTTTTTTACAAGGAGTATTTTGGCGTTATCTGGTGCAACACCATGTGAGACAGGGCTCTAAGAAAAGCTGTCTCGGGTGTGGACCAATCAATTTCAAGGACAGTGCATACATTATCAGAGTTGTGTGTTTTGTTTGCATTCCGACCGCAGGTATTGTGGTCAATGCAAACATGACTCCTTGTAAAAAAAGGTGTCAGTTTTGTTGCCAGATAAAAAGGGTAAAAAAACAATCATAGTTTGCTGTGTTATTTGTGATCGTGCCCACCGCTTGCCAACGTAGTCCTTGCAGCAGCAGCATCATCACCCAATCATGAGTATGGAGTGGCCTAGATTTGAAGCTTTCGTGACTGTAAGGATTCATACTCTTTTCGGTAAAGTCACGTAGGTAAAAAATAATTAATAATAAATAATAGAAATAATAACAGAAATAAAATAATAAATATTTAGTTCTAATAAAAATAATATAATAAATATTTTGTCTGTTGTTATTTATCTTTTATTTATTTGGTTTCAAATAAATAATGTAAACTAAAATAATAATTATTTATTTTCTATTATTATTTCTATTTTTATTATTTATTTTTTACCTACGTGACTTTACCGAAAAACCTAAGAGTATGAGAAGTGGCCTCCCCCACCACGATACACAGCGGTGACGTCAGCACTCATCATCACCTGGCACAGGTGAGAGCCACGAGGTCCGGGGGGGGAGGAGGGGGGGGCGGTAGGGGGAGGGGCCAACACAAACGCTCGCGAGATTTGGCGCACAGGTGGGCCAGAGTTCTCGCGAGATCTCGAGCGGCCATAGCCTGCAAAGGGGGAGAAGCCGCGCGGAGGAAGTGAACGCGACCGCTCGCGACTCGTTTTACTTCTTCAACTAATTTAAGTTATTCTTGCTTGGCATGCATCCGTAACGCGGTCTCTCTCTCTATCGCCGAGCTATGGAGGAGGAGAAGCGACGCAGGAAGGTTGAAGCGGGAAAGGCGAAGGTAAAACCACCACCACCCCCCTCATTGATGCACCGAGTCGAGAGAAAATTTCGTTTAATTCGCCGCGGTTTTTGCTGCTGGTGTTGGTGTCGTGGTCTCCCTTCTACCTCATGACTTCTCTCGTCGTCGTCATCGCCGCCACCACAACCACCGCAGCTGCCACCACAACCACCTCAGCTACCACCACAACCACCTCAGCTCCCACCACAACCACCACCACAACCACCGCAGCTGCCACCACAACCACCTCAGCTACCACCGCAACCACCTCAGCTGCCACCACAACCACCACCACAACCACCTCAGCTACCACCGCAACCACCACCACAACCACCTCAGCTGCCACCACCACAACCACCTCAGCTCCCACCACAACCACCTCAGCTGCCACCGCAACCACCACCACAACCACCTCAGCTCCCACCACCACAACCACAACCACCTCAGCTGCCACCACAACCACCACCACAACCACCTCAGCTCCCACCACCACAACCACAACCACCTCAGCTGCCACCACTACAACCACCACTACAACCACCACTACAACCACCTCAGCTGCCACCACAACCACCTCAGCTCCCACCACCGTCTGTTGTCAACGCGTGTCTATTAACCCCGTACCTGTCAACCCCTTAATCGGTGCCCTCAGCTTATTACGGGCACCAATTCGGGACCTTATTGGTCTCCCCCGTGCCCTTGCACATCTCAAAGTTCGTCCTACAACGTCTCACGACAGGGGAGAAACACAAACATATTGACACGTTTTGTGTTGCCCGTACGCCGTATGGACCTGAAAACTCAATTTCCCTGTACGAGAATACGGAGTGTAAATCGTATGGGTTGACATCGCTATGAAATCTCAACGTTCAACCTACAAAAGTCCCAATCACAAGGGAGAAACATAAACAAATTGACACTTTTTTTACTGAAACTGCTGTACTCCAGATGGACCTAAACAATCAATTCGCCTGCACAATAATACGTGGGACACCGTATGGGTCGACACGCTATCTCTTAAACAGGCTTTTGCAACGTGGACAGGGGCTCTGCTTGGGCGAACCTACCCACTCAGCCCGCCAGCGGGACGATTGGTGTCGCTTTTAGTTGGTGGTGGTGGAAACGAAGTTGCCACCCTGCCTCGAATGTGCGTGCGTGGCCATGTGATGGGTGTCAGTGACACAGCTGATGGCTTGCTGTAGGTTAAAACTGGTGGTGTGGTGGAGGAACCGGGGTGGGTGGGTGAGTGGGGGACACGTGTAAGATGATGTGTACATACTCTCTGGTTCTTTCGGTAAAGTCACGTCGGTAGAAAAAAGAATAAAATTAAATAAAACTTTTCTATCTCCGTGACTTTACCGAAAGAACCAGAGAGAATGGATTCCTGCAGTCACGAAAGCTTCAAATCAAGATGATTTTTAGCTATTCTTTGGGTCTATCGGTAAAGTCACGTAGATAGGTTCAAAGAAAATAACAACAAAAAACTACGACGTTTAGATCGCAACACAATCGGTCGTCATCAGGAAGACAAACGCTTGTGTTGCGATCGAAACGTCGTAGTTTTTTCTTATTATCTTTGAACCTATCTACGTGACTTTACCGAAACACCCAAAGAATATTCATTCAAACAGTCACGAAAGCTTTAAGTTAAGATGACATATAGCTGGCTGGTGGGAGTAGATGCAACAGGTGAATTTTTGAAGTGACACCTGGGGTGGTAGATGAACTTGTAGGATTATATCAGCTGATTGGTGTAGATGCCCGGTGGCCTTCTACGACATTTGATGGCTGTAGGTGACGGCTACGTTTGTATCCTATCAATTGGTGGGTGCAGGTGTAAGCAGGGGGGGGGGGCTGTAAGATGATATCAGCAGGCTGGTTGGGTTATAGATACAACGGGAGGATTATTGAAGTAACACCTGGGGGTGGTTATAGACGATGGCAGATGGGGTGGTTATAGACGATGGCAGATGGGCTTGTAAGATGATATCAGCTGATGTGTGTCGCTACTTTACAGGTGGGACCTGTAAGGTGATCTCAGCTGTTGGGGTGGCGCTTAGATATTGTATGACAGGTGGATTGGTGAGGCGACAGCATGTGAGCGGGGGTGACAACAGGTGTACATGTGAGATGGTGGTTTGTAGGTGATATACATTTGCAGCCCCTTTTGTCAACTCACTGCTGGCTGAGGGCCTCCACACGATCCGCCGCTCACGGGGGTCATATTTCACCCCTCTGGTCAGTGTGGGTTGGTGAAGACGGGGGGGGAGCGTAGACGCGGTTAACACAGACGCATGGTACAATAGTGCAAGCTTCACCGCAGCCAAGAACAACAACCTGCTGTGCATGGCGGTCACTCATCCAAGCACTATACTCTTTGGTTCTTTCGGTAAAGTCTGAGGCAGTCTGCCTCAGCAGCAGACCATGACGGACGCTTTTGTTGCGCCCGAAACGTCGTGATTTATTTTATTTTATACCTGCGTTACTTTACCGAAAGAACCAAAGAGTATGGATTCCTGCAGTCACGAAAGCTTCTAATGAAGATTCATCCAAGCACTGTTCGAGCTCAACCAGACGAGTATGGGCACATTCCAGGAGTTACGGTCACAGGCGCGGATAATGAGAGGGGTGTATTAATTATGCGACCAGTGGAATTGCGGAGGTGACGGCTGGCAGGTACAGAATCAAATGTCAAGTTCATTTTGTTTGAACCAGGTGGGGAACTCTGTAGAGATCAGAAGGATAATCTGATTTGCAAGAGCGACCTGGGGCAATAGTCAACCAGTAGGGGGCAATGATTGCTGTGTGTAATCCCCATTGAGTAATCTGTGGGTCATCATCACTCACGATCTATAGGACAGATAGCCCGTTGGTGTCCACATTTGTTTCCACTTCCCTCAGTCTTGTGCCAATATTCTCAAGTAGTAGCACATCAGTATGCTCAAGTAGTGGACAATTTGTGGGTAATTTTAGAATTTGTCAAATAAAAAATAGATAATAGCAGCTTTCGTGATATCACATTAGTTAACGATTGAATAGACGTGTTGTCGTGGTTACAGCTGGTCGTTGTATGTGACAGCAGGTGAAACGGTATGTGGCTAACCTGACAGTGACTGAATGACGAGACAAATTGACAGGGATATATAAGTGCCCAGAAGGTGGGATCAAGTGGCAAGCCAAGGGGCAATGGAGCAGATAATTCAGGACACCCACCTGTTTAGGTATGAGATGAGCGGTATGTATGTTCAACTTCTTTCACGCAACTTATGTCCATCCTTGGAAGGGGGGGGGGGTGCCTAGGTTGGTCCCTGTGAGCACCAAACCTGTTTCCCATGCTTAATTTTACTCGCTCACATTGAGCTATTTAAGTCTCCCCGTGTAGTTATTTTTTACATGCTGCTAGGCTTACTATTAATACTGGATTGTGTGTATGGCAATCCTGCATCAGTTCATTATTACCATCTTTAATCAAATCATCCAAAATGCCATAAGCCAAGCAGGTTTGAGCATGGATAGTGATTGGATGAGCGACCACCAATGCATCAAATAGGTGTTGTAGGTTGCTGTGCTGTTGCATTGTTAGCAGACTGCAGTACTGTACCATGCTCCAGCATCTGTGCTCCCCGCCTTCAGTATCCTGCGCTGACCAGTGTGGTGAAGTATGTTCAACTAACCCCCCACATGATGGGGGGAGACCCTCATCCAGTAGTGGACTAACAAAATAGTTAACATACATGTGGGAGCGAGTAAGTGGGGTTACATGTACAATCAATACCACGCATAGAGAGGGTGTGTGTGTGGAGTGGTTGAAACTAAGTGTTGCTTAACACTTTGGCCATTTGCAAGTGTCTGGATCAATCCGCCTTGGAATGAATGACGTGGGCCAGTGACACGGAAATGCCAGCATGGCACATTTTCCCCTCCTTGTCCACGTTTATTTACCCGTGGGTGCCTTTGCTCGCTCTTCTCTCTCTCACTGGGTTGCTGTTGAAGCAACGCGCCCCCACCACACGCCCAGCCAGAGCCCCCCAACCACCGCCCAGCCAACAAACAAGGGGTTTCATTGAGTCGAGGGTGAAATGTTGGCTTCATTGCTATGCCACACGTGATTACTTCGCGAACAGTTTGGTTGCATCAGTCCTTGTTGGAATAAAACGAATATATAGCAGAGATGTGGTGTTAACTTTGTTAAATTGTGGAGGCTTAAGCCATGCCATTTCTTCGTTTGTACAAAAGCATACTGTGCTGTACTTGAAAATGTTATGGTTGCTTTGTGATCATAGTACATATTGTAATTTTTCACTCTCAAATTTGGAATGAGATGTTATTTGTCTTGTATTACTGAAGATTATACAAGGATTAATGTTTATTTTTAAATTCTTTATATTAAGTTCGCTTGCTTCCTTAGGACCGTGCAAATCTTTCGGTCGTTTTTTAACACACTTCCCGTGATCCAATCGAGCTGACATTTTGCACACAGACTCGTTGTGCGTGACAATTAATGTTCGTGAACATTTTTTTCCAAAATTTTACACTTTTTAGGACTAAAATACTATATTTAATTACCAATTGCTTAATGGTGCCATGCAATCATCTGACCCATAGGTGGCAGCCATCTCAAGCCAGAGGACGAGAGGACTCTAGCCGCCACGCATATAAAGGAATTATAGTGAAAAACTTTGTTTTTACGGGTTATACTTGTTACTATTTAACATCATCATCAGCCATAACCAATGCACTGCTGGATGAGGGCCTCCCAGTGTCATCAATGACATAATCTATATTGCTACGGTACATGAGCTCATGTCATTGCTACATCTTTATGGTGGTTGTCCTCAAGGATATATTTCTCCCTTCGGCTGCCATTCAATAACCAGTCTTGTCCATTGGCCATCCCTTCCCGATGTGCCCTACCTGCTTATTATTAATAGTCAATGTGATGTGTCTGGTTTGTGTTCTGTAATCCACGTGCTCCCCTTTCTGGCGTGTTTCTATGTGTACCTTTCAGATTTTGTTTCATTTTGTTTGTCAGTGTTAATATTTGCGACCATCTATCGCAGCAGGATATACAGTATGTGCTGACAGAAAACATTTCACTTTAGTCACATTAGTTTGTTGCTTTTCATTATAAAATTCAACTTTCCAAAAGTGTTCATCTATTTAATCATTTTGGTCCAGGATAAAGCAACATACCATCCGAGCAACAGAGACTGGCTGGGAGTGGTAGTGTCTTGTTAACCTGTACGGAACTGGTTGAGCTGGCCACGTCACCCATCACAGGTCTGTCTTGTAATACGAGATGAATGGAGTGGCAACGTGTATCGTCTTAGCAGAGCTGACTTTCACTGTAGGTGGGGTAGATTGGTGAAGGTTTTAGAAACACGTTTTGCATGGAAAAGCAACATTAAAAGTTTTCCTTTGCTGATACGAGTGTTAAGTCGCCCAGTGATCGTCTCACATGGCAGTCGTAAGAAACTGATGGGAGCGTACCAGAGGTGGGACAAAGTCATTGTTATGCAAGTCCAAGTCGAGTCTCAAGTCATCAAATTCATGACTCGAGTCTGACTCGAGTCCAAGTCACATGACTCGAGTCCACACCTCAGAGGTGGGACAAAGTCATTGTTATGCAAGTCCAAGTCGAGTCTCAAGTCATCAAATTCATGACTCGAGTCTGACTCGAGTCCAAGTCACATGACTCGAGTCCACACCTCTGGAGCGTACGTTTCCTGAGGTTGGCAGTCGGCAAGCCAGGGGACAACCACGTTTAAATTACTCCCAAGTTGTGCTTGATTGTTTATTGCAAGCTTTGTTAATGTGAAATAAGGCGAAGAAAGGCTTTTATTGCGCCTCTAATTTCATCATTATGAGCCATGATCATTTCACTGCTGGATGAAGAACTCCCAAAGCCTTCGGCGTCTTTGACAAGCCAGCGATGTAATAATCCACCAAGCACGTGTACACACGACTTCATCGCTCCGTGTTCTGGGTTTCATTTCTTTGCTGCGACGGATTACTTTTGAACATTTGGCCATAATCACCTTGAGCAATGTGTTCTTCCCAAGCCCACTGACTCTTCTTAACAGTTTGAATTATCTCTTTAACCTGCATATGTTCAAATGATGGGCCACTGTTGAGCTATCATTTGGGACTAGGTCACTTCTGAAAAATAAATTAATACCTCAGTGGACTTTGCCTGGTAGGATGGGGATGGTTTAGTATAATTTGTATTTGTTTGGGTCATTTGGTTATCTTTCTTGTACTTTGTACTCCGATCATGTTTTTGTATTGTTTGTTGTAACGTTCTTACTCACCCCTACTGAACATCTATGAAAAAGAGCTTTATAGCTCATCAGATTCCCCCAGTGTAAATAAATATGATTGTAACCAAATTGACAAAACAATTAGGAGGGTGTTGTTCAGATGGAGCGTACGCCTTTATGCAGGTTGTCAACACAGTAACATCCTCCGCACAAGCCGATTGAATTTTGGGATTACAAGGTAATCTGTGAGACCCAATTGGACGCTCAAAGATGAGAGAGGAGGAAGTATCTTGGGAGTTTATGATCATCAGCCATTGTCTATCCACTGCTGAATGAAGAAGGCCTCCCCACATGTGTCCACGGGATATTAGTAATGTTTGTTTGTTTCAAACACACTAATGGAGTTGTCAGTACTGTAATTATGTATACGTTGTTAATTATGTCAATGTTATAGTATTTAGGAGGTCGCTGGGTGACTCTGCTGTCTGTGACCCTGGGTTTAAATCCGGCCAGGGCAGACATTCGTGATACAACAGGTTTATCAAGTACAGTACAGCAAGGTCATTGGATCAGCCTGGTCACTGATACATGCACAAATAAACCATGATATTAAATGTGGGTTTTTGCTTAATTTGGTTGAATATCTTCTTCGAGACTTAATTATAGGGTTTGCTTGAGTACGACAAATACTCTTTGCGGGACATAAAATGTGTGCCTCGAGTGTGGATAAAGAGTGTGGGCGCCATGGTCGCGAGATGTTAACTACCTCACCTGATATATAGGAGGTGGTGGGTTCTATTCCGACCCTGACGCCTGTATATTTAGAGGTTGCATGTTCTGCCCGTGGTTGCGTGGATTCTTCTCTGGGTCCTCCGGTTTTTCCCTCCACATTTAGAATCAATGTGCGTTTAGGGTATTTGGCGGCTATAAATTTTCAGTTGATAAGCCACTTCGTTGAACTATCATTTGTGGTCAGGTTGCTTCTGAAAAAGAGCTATATCGCTCAGTGGGCCTTACTTAGTAAAATAAAGAAGAGTTTAGTTTATAGTTAATAAAGCATAGTGCGGTATAACTACTGCGCCACCGCTGCACCCCAGCTATTCCAAACTACAAATATGACATTTGAAACCCACAATCCAGGCATAAATTACTTTGAATAGGTAACAAAACATGGAACAAGATGAGTTTGCCTAGGATACTCACAGGGTCAGAATGTAATTGTGACTTTTACAGAAATGCAACCATCTGCACTCAATGCAGCTTCTGTGTATGGCTGTGGAAATATTGTATTATGGTATTGGACTTATTATTACACATTCTAATGTGTGTATATATATGACTTATCAACTCTATCTAAACTTTTCAATGTGTACATGTATAGTCCTCTGTCAGTACATTGTTGGATGAGGACCTCCCCATGTTGTGCAGGTCTTGGGTTATTTGACTGTACTTCACCATGCTGGTTAGTGCACGTTGAAGGTGGTGAACATTTATGTGGGAGCATAGAAGTACAATCAATGCAAATAATGTATTTTGTTGCGATGTCCTATCGTTCCCACAACGTAGTAATTTGGCAACACTGAACCTACGTTTTTACGCAACATTTTTGACCAATGCAGTAGAAACGAGGCCAATGGGTTGCCATGCATATTCACAATCTTATCCTATTAGCGCTATAGGGCTGTCTGGTAATTCCTGTAATCCGCTTTCTTTGGATTACCCGTAGCGGGGGCGGGTTTGCAGTTGCAATTGTATCTCTGCATTAAAGCATGTCGCATTTATGAGTCTACAGCATGGATGTGGGCGCAGCGACGGCGGGGAGGTTAGGGCGAAGGGTGCTCGGAAGGAGCAGTCTGTGGTGAAACTCCATGTGAGCCGGCGCTTTTTAGGTTCCCGATTCGTGGCACGATCTAAGTGTCCCACGGTGGTCGCGTTGATTCGCAGAGTGCGCCCTCAATAGCGTCTCGCTCGCCGTCTCGCCATTAATATTGTACCGTGAGTCTCCAGCTTTAGGTCATTGGGTTAATTTACTGCTGGGTTAGGTGTGTCCGTCTGCCAATTTCCTGTGCAAAATTTCCGTGTTAAACTTCCACAGGCCACAATGTAATAATTGTGCGAATGTAGCCCGCAATTTTCTTGTTATTCGCGTAGTTAGTAATACACGGAGATGTTCGATCGGAAGCGCGCAATGATTGGACTCTTCGGCGCGGGCTGAGGAGGGCTTCACCCTCGCTGGCCGAAGCGGCATGCTGCTACTGTGGTCGTGCTATCTGTTCCTCGGCTACCTGTCGCTCTACATCTCGTTCGCATTCGTGTGCAGCTTGCTGAGTTCCGACAGCGAAAAGCAAAAGGTGACGTCGCGAATCCGGAGAAAGAGAAGAAGAAGGGGAAGAGGACGCCTCTCCATCAACATGGCCTGTCGACGGAAGAGCACGCATTGACCGCCGGTACATCCCGCTCGCTTGAGCTGGCGAAACTTATTCGTTTTATGAGAGTGGTGGGGGGGGCAGCTGACACGTGAGAGTGGGAGTGCGGGAGGTGGAATCACTGTTGTAGAACAGGCCACTGTATACAATGCAACCAGCATGTCACCAGTCTATTCTCTGGTATTGCTCCAGACTGTGTGTATGTTTAGTCTGTGCCAGTATCACTGCAGACCACTTCTTCTGTCTCTGTAATTTACAAATAGGCATATCTGCAGACTGCATGTCTCGAAAGGTGACACTCTGGACATGCCCTTGCGGGCTGATTAGCTTTAGTCCATGCAACGGTATCACTTTTAGGTTGTGTGTTGGTATCGCTACAAACTGTATTCCTCTGCAGTCTACCACTCGGGCGTCGCTGCAGACATGCTCCTCTAGTTGGCACATCGCGCATCCGCGCTACACTGGTACCTCGTGATAGGATCGCATTGTTCGTGTACTGATGACATTGCTCCACTGGCTCGTCATCAACAGTGCACCACACCTTTTCATTTGTGACGTTTACCTTTTGCCCTGCCAAAGCAATTCACAAGAGGCATCTGCAAAGCCTAAAATGTAGGGTTCACCACTCAAGCTGCTCATGCATACATTACAGCCGTCCTCGGAATGTGCATCTAGCTGCCAGTGTTGCTTTAAAGACGAAGCCACCGAGGTGTGGAGGGTTTCACAATGAGAGTCAAGATTTGCTCAGTCGCATTTGAACGTTCTAACAGTTAAAATACATGGCAGGTTTATTCACGTACTATTTCGACCTGTATCTTCGCATTGGTAAAAGTTGCCTAACTTTATTCTTTGTGGTTGTGTTAAGTGTAGCCACCAAATTCGCTGCCAACATGTCTGGTCTGCTTAAAAGAGGTTTAAATAACCCTTTGAATTAAGAAGACCTTTTTGCCAGTCTTGTTTGGAATTCTCTGAGTAGATCTTTTGGTTGTTCATGTTTGTGATAAACCTGAATAGACAAACCTGTGTTGTGAACATGGGACATCAGCTCTCATGTAATTGATATTGTGTGCACCTTATGACAATGTACATAAAGAATAACAGCCCAAGGCTAATGTTTACCAACCTTGAGCACTGTACCACAATATTTGCACAATTCAGTGATTATTGTTTTATCTCGTTTAGTATTTCATCACAAAATGTACAACCAAGCATTTCAACATAACATTTGATTGAACAATAACTTTAGCTTTTTTCCCCATTATATCTAATTGATAAATGGTAATGCATGATTTAGATTGTAAAACCAATGATTATTGGAGTATTGCCTATTAAATGCTTAGATTAAAAATATATTAATACTATAACATGCACGTGTGATTCAAATAATGATTTGATTACCTTTGTAAATCCACTGCTGGATGAAGACCTCCCCAAAACTTTGTTGGTCACCGGGGTTTGTTTGGCCATACTTCACCTTGCTGGTCTATGCGTATTGGTGAAAGGGTGACTCAGGCGCCCTGGAACCTGATGCCAGCCACAGCTAACATCGGTGGCGACCAGCGCGGTGAAGTATGCTCAAACAATTTCCATGACTGACACGGAGTGGGGAGCCCTTCAACCAGCAATGGATTGACAAAGGACCATCAAGATGTTAGACACTCTTCGTTGAGAGTGTAATTAACTGGGCAGCTATATTTGGCTGTATTGCTGTACAGGCGAGATGGAGGTTGGTGTGGAGACGATAGTGGAGGCTGGCTTAGGTGAACAAATCCCCTCTGTGGATGATGCTCCTGGAGGCCTGGGCTCTGTTGAGCCTGAGACCACGGAGGACAGGTCCTCGGAGGTCCCATCTCTGCCCACGGACAGGGACACAGATGGGCTGATGGCCCTTGAAATCACCCAGGTAGGCAACAGCACTACATCGCAATGTACATATCCCCCAGGCCAGGCCACCAGCACTACACCGCATTGTACAAATCAGCTGGTATATACGATTACTCTACTGGTTATTAGTTCACTTGCTGAGCTAATTTAGATAACACAAAATTGGTTGGCGGGTGGGGGGAAAGTCTCACCTCTGTGAGATGGGTGGCGCTTGGTGAAATTATCGGCATCATGAGCCACACCACGCCTGGGCGTGACTTGCAGGGGGTTTCACGTCTTGCGGCACCATTTTTAAAGGAGCCTGAGTCATCCATCGCATGAAAATAACCGGTTACAATTCTTAATCAATCAATTGAATTATCGGATAATCTGCCTCGCTCTACTCCTGACACCTACGTAATTCCTGCAAGTGGAACTTTATGCTATGAAGCATAAATGGCTAGTCATGTATAAATTCCTTTTATTGTTTAATATCACTTTCTTCAATTGAACCTTGGATATTTGTATTATCCATGCATTGATGCTTCCTGGTTGTTATGCTCATATAGTGTGCTGATCCTGGGTAGTGCTTGGATTAGGGTTTGACATAACAGGCTGCTATAGGCTAAAGCATCCAATAGTGGACAGCAGAGGGCAATGTAGCGATTGCTGTGTGTAATCCCAATTGAGTAGTAAGTAAAAACGATGAAGATATTAATTAGTGTGGCATGCCCGTGTGTGTGCACACTGTTTGTAGGAAGTGGTAGTTTAGTGATTAGCGATTTGCACTTTGAACTCGGATGACCCGAGTTTGATTTCCACTTGAGGCCAATGCCAGTGACTATTATATGAACCCTCCTTAAGCCTCTCCGAGATCGACTTGGCCTCAAATTATTACCTGATGCGGTGTGTAAACATCACCTCTCGGGAGACGAAGTCTGTCGGGCGTGGTGCTGGCCACCCACCACCTCGTGTGCCGTGCTGGCCTTCATAGGTTGCTCTCTATCTAATAGCACTTGCCCCAAGAGTCTGCTAAGGATATACGGGGGATCTTTGTCTTCGTGGGCACAGTTTGAAGCCGCAATCCAGCAGAGGGACGAGATCATCACGCAGCTGAGTGCCAACCTGCAGCAGGCGCTCAGCAGCCGGGATGGGGTGCAGCAGGAGACGCAGCACCTTACTACCCACATCCAGAGTCTTCAGCAGCAGCTGCAGCAGGTGGGAACTAAAGTGTGCAGCTGTCACCATTGGTCAGATGTTGTGAACACGAGGTGGTTTTTGAAGATATAATTATCAACCTGCACAACTTTTGGACATCCATCCCTCCCACCTAGCCAGCCATCCAGAAGAACGTTGTATCTTATATCGAGCCCTGTCTCTCTCCACCTTCATACTCTTAGGTTTTTCGGTAAAGTCACGTAGGTAAAAATTATAATAATAAAATAAAAATACATGAAAATAACTAAATTTAATCACGACGTTTCGGAGGCAACACAAGTCTCCGTCTTCAGGTGGGACCGTCACAGCCAAATTTACTGTATCAAGTGAAGGAAAATCTAAGAGACAAGATCTTATATACTGGTTAAGGGGAGGGGGGATGAGCTTATCTAAATGTGGCAGTCAGGGACTGGGAGGGTGGGGGGCAGGGCTAGAAGGGAAGGTACAGCTGTTCAGCACCTCCGCAAGAATTACGGCCGGTGTTGGCTTCCAAAACCAAAAAATAGCAGCACTGTTAAACGCTGGGGATGTTAGCAACTCGGTAAAATAGACTAGTGCCTGTCAAATAAGATGGTACAAATATGCGTAGTTAAATCTTTTTTACATGGTTAATAACCTCTTTCCAATGATTGCTCAATTTGTACCCATCATCACGGTTGAAGTTATGTCTATGTTTGTATATCTGGATGGCTTCATGCATAAACCTCAGTACTGCATATCCCATACTCATATCCCATTTTGCCTCGATTTCTCACTTTGTTCTTTTTCTCTATTCCCATGTTCCATATTGTACATCTCCCTCCATATTCCTCTCCTCCCTCCACCTGTATCTCACCCACTTCCCTCCCCCCAATCTTGCTCCCTGTTTCTCTCTCTCACCCTCGCTCTCCTTTTTCCCACCTCTCCCTTTCCTGTCTCAATCTCTCTCACCTCTCCCTAATCCTCCCTCCCACTGCTCGTCGCTTACCCTCGCTCTCCTCTTTCCGTTTTGCTCTCTCGCTTTCCTCCGCTCCAGGCTCTTTCACTCTCTCCCCGTCCCAGCGGTCTTGGTTCAGTGCTCTGACCCCTAAGCCACTCGGCCAGCTCAGAAAATAGATAACTTTTATTCTCCAGAGTAACATCTTTCCAAAGTATTAACGTTACAGTTTACAATTATATGCATATGTCCTTGCTAGGAATCTCCTATACGCTCAAAACCCTTATTTAATCACGGTTGGCTGCCTATATTTTACCCCCTGACATCTCAGCAGTGTTGGCTCATTGCTGTGCCTTCTGAGCCACCCAACCATCTCGAACACAACTCGGCCCAATGCGGCGCTAAAGAGGGGAACCCTCGTTTCTGCACGTGTGCGTCCTCCCATCTCCCTTTGCACAGGCCAGTGAGATGCTGAGGAGCACGCGGCAGTGGACACAGACCCAGGAACTGGTGCAGGCACAGCAGCAGTTGTCCACGTGCCAGAACCTGCTGTGCGAGAAGACTTCCGAGCTGAATCGCCTGCGCTCCCGGCTCGAGCTGGCGCATGCAACTCGGCAGCCGGGAGCCGAAGGAAGTCTGGGAACTCGGCCGGATGGGCTGGCCCAGGAGGGGGCCGCAGATCACGAGGAGCACACTCTCATCCTTCAGAAGGTGACTATCAGCATCATAATCATCATCATCATCATCGGCCATGATTATTGCACTGCTGGATGAAGGCCTCCCCAAAGGCTAGGAAAGTCACAAAAATTTTTTACATGAACGACGCATTCACGCAAGCACCCGATGCTTAGTTTTGAAGTTTGAAAATGGAACATCTTAGAATTGTATGTTTTGAATTAGATCATTGTGTTTCTTCATTTAAAGCTTATGTCATTTTACATCTGGAAGACTTAATTGAAAAGGACATTTCGTGGGAATTTTCTCTCGTCGTTAAGTGGATGGCCTTGCTGGGGGTTCAGTTCGATGCGGACTTTCACCTGTTTGGGATTGCGGGATCGAGATAAGGCGACATAGAGCTGGCCGTGTGATAAGACCGCCGTCTGCAGATCGATTCCAACGTAATCGAACGTCTGTCCCTGCGCCTCCTTCGTTCATGCAGGGGGCGCGTAGGTTTGCAGCGCTCCCTGCATGAAAACGACGGAAAGTGCAGCGTTCATCACAGATAGATAAAGCTGTGCGCTTATAATAATGGATTGATACGTCTGAAACTTGAGTAACACTCCTTAAACTACTAGACCCGTTATCATACATTATCGCTCTTTGCAAAAGTGTCAGTCTAAATAAATAGGCCCATGTGCATTAACAATGACATTGATTTTAACCCTATAACAGCCAAATATGTATTTTTTTATTTGAAAACATGCTTTGTAAAGTAATGTATCATTGCTACGAGGTAGCCATTAGATGGCATTACAACAATGTATTCCTACATATGTGTGGATCGTTCATTGCTTATCCCCTTGTATTGCTGGGTTTTCTCTGTGTAGTCTATTATTCTCCCATATACCAAACACTTATTGATGGAATTGGCAAATTCAGGATCCTGTTGAAAAATAGTCGTAAGACTCAATGGAGCTTTCCTGAGCAAAGAGCATTGTTTTTCATCTTTTTTATTATTTTACTATTTAATAAAATCCATCACAGATAACACTGGTCAACAAAAAAAACATTTTTTTTTGGCCTGGACTTTTGCAGCTGTTATAGACTAATTTCAGGGTGCTGATTCCAAATCTGATCTCAGATTTGCTCTATCACCTCATTTTTATGCTATCAGCATACCCCATTTTCATTGATTTTACCCGAAATTAACTCCGTCATTTATGATTGCAAGTTGTTGCTAGTCAGTGACTGCTTTAGTGTTAAAATATGGTGCTGTATTTTTAGGATAGTGTGTTTATAATATAATTTTATGTAGATATCCACATTTACTTAATATTTTTATTCTGCAGTTTTTATTGAAAATGCAATATTTGATATCTCAATAACCTGATGTGTTAGACAAAAACTGATGCCAGATTTGGAATCGGCACCCCAAAATTACCTTAAAATCGTTGGAATACCTTATGCCAGAAAAAGTGTGTTGACCAGTGTAAGCGTAAAGACTTGTGTGTCATGAGCACTGTCCATTAACAACGCATATTAGGATAACGTATTGGCCAATGGCTCCTGTTATAAGTATTTTTGTTATTATATAATCTGACGTCTGCAAAGTATAATTAATTATGTGAGCATGCACACTGTTATGCTGCATTTACCCCTTGCAGGGGGGATTTTTTTTATCTGCCGTAAAATATTTGCACGTGACATTTCACAAAAATTATAGTCTGCGGCTGTAGTTTTGCTTCTGCCTATGGGCCACCAACTGCTTAATGCAGCTTACTGGATTAATACCGTCGGGGTATATTGACCTATGCCTTTGGGGACGAGATGTGAAGAAACAAAACGTGAATTTTCTTTGTCCGGGTTGGGGCGCACCGCGCTGTAAACCCAGTGCTGTGGATTTGATCCATAGCCATGGCTATAACATCAGTGGCGAGGGAAACTCCTGAAGCCTCTTCCACTCACCCCACCCCCTTCATAGAGTGCCGCAGTGGTGATATGTTAACTACCTCGCCTGGTATGCAGGAGGTCGTGGGTTTGATCCCGACCCTGACGCCTTCTATAGTTGGAGTTTGCATGTTGTCCCCGTGGTCGCGTGGATTTTTCTCCGGGCCTTACCTGGTAAAATAAACACTTTAAGAAAAGTAAAAAATGTTTAATCAAACCGCATTGCCCAGTGTAGTGAAGTATAGTGAAACAACCCCCAGGGCCCATGCTATATCATTTCATCCTGCAGTAGATTTACAAAGAGCTGTATCCAGTATTTATTTTTACAAGTTTTATTATGCCGTGTTTATGAACTTGGAATGAAAACTTTTATGGCATTAGATAAACTATGAAACATATGCAAATATTCGTACAATATACATTGAAACGTTAACATTATTGAGTAATTTATATTAACGGATTTGTTGAAATGTGGCGATTGAATTATAAATGTTTTCTTGTAGGAAACCGATACTATTAAAAAATAAATTTGTATGAGACGATTAATGTTTCACATTTTTCGTTTTCACAGGAATTACAAGAATCCAAAACCATCGCCAGCCAGCTTGAGGCCACGATCTCTCAAAAGGAGGCCATCATCCTGACGCTTCAACAGACTTTACCCAGCAAGGACAAGGCCCCTACAAGCACGTCCACCAGTCCCACTGGGACAGAAAGAGCTGCTTTTTGCGAGCTGACAGAGAAGGTAGGAGAAGCGGAACGCACCGTGACCGAGTTGCAACGAGAAGTTTCATCCAAGGACTTGGCCTTGGAGGATCTAAGGATGCGACTGTCGGCTTCCGCAGAGAAAGAGCAGCAGCTTTCCAGAGAGAACGTCAAGCTTTTCAACGATCTTGATAATTTGGCCAAGAAGCAAGGACACCTCGATGGAAACCTCACAGAAGTGGCAGAATCAAACTGGGAAAGAAGAGAGGGAGAACTTAGGACGGCGCTCGGTGAAGAGCGCGATCAGCAGGTCGCCGCCCTTCGTTCGGAAATGCAGCGAGAGGTCGAGAGGCTTCAGGCAGTCATCGAAGACCTCACGGAGAGCAACAGGAGATCGCACGAGAGTTTACTGCTGCTGGAGGAATCCAACGGCCAACTCAACACATCGCTGAGAGATTCGCAAGCGCAGCTCGCGAGTGGGCAGGAGCAGCTGTCGTCAGTGTTGAGCGAGAGCACAGAGATGGATGCCAGGTATGGGCGGGAGCTGGAGAACTTTCGCGTCAAACTTGAGATGTTGGAGAACGAGCGGACAGAGGCTCGGGCTCGCGTAGCCGAACTGGAGGAGCTCAATGCAGAGCTGTCTTTCGGCCGGGAGGAAGCTCAGAGGGCACTCGAGCAAATCCGCGAGCAGCAGGAAAAGGACACGGAAGGCTTGCGGGTAGCTCTGGGACTGGAGTATAAAGGGAGCATTGACAAACTGACGGCCGACATTGAGAACCTCACCGTGGCCTTGTCGCAGAGTGCGGAGGAGTTGCGAAGCACGAAGGAAACGTTACAGCGGCAGTATATTGAAGAGATGAAGGGTCTCAAAGAGTCGCTGAGGCAGGAACACAAAGAAAATGTCAACAAGCTTCTTGCGGACAACGAGAAGCTGACCGCGGAGCTGTCCCTCGGTAAAGAGGTGGTGAAGAGCGAGCTGGGCAATGTGCCCACAGACGAGAATGACCCTCTGGGCATTCGGGACAAGTGCAACAGAGAAGTAGAGAATGAGAAAGATGCTGACGTCCAGGAGTACAAAGAAAACCTAGAGAAGCTTGAGGCAGAGCTAGAAAAGCTTAGAGGAGACTTGGTGCACAATACACGGGAGGCACAAAGCGCTCTTGAGGAACAACGGCAGCAGCACATCGCCGAGGTGGAGAGCTTGAAAGACACTCTCGGGCAGCAACACAAAGGAAGCCTGGACAAGCTGCTTGCGGACATTCAGAATCTCACCGTGATGTTATCTCAGCATGAGCAGGAGGCACAGAGCACTCTAGAAAAACAGCAGCAGCAGCACCTCATTGACAAAGAGGCTCAGAAAGCCACCCTAGATCAAGAGCACAAGGGAAATATCGACAAATTGTTGGGGGACCTGAAGAGGCTCAAAGAGGAGCTGCTGAACAATAAGGAAGAGGCACAGTGCTCGCTCGAGAAGATGAAGCAGCAGCACAGCATTGAGATGGAAGGTCTCAAAGAAACTCTAAGGCAGGAAAATCGGGTCACCATGGACAAATTGCAGGCAGAGGTGGAGAAGCTCAACAATGAACGGTCTCAGAGTCGACAGGAAGCGGACAGCAGATACGAACAGATGCAGCAGGACTACAGCAGGCAGGTGGAGCAGCTCAAAGAGCAGCGCATGGGGGTGCAGGACGATGCATGCAGACTGGAGCAGCTACTTCAGCATCACCGTGAAGAGGTGGAGGCACTCAAGGAAGCCTTGCGTCTGGAGCACAAGGGGGCCGTGGACAAGCTGCTCAACGACACAGAGACACTGAACGCGGAGTTGTCGCTGAGTCGGCAGGGGGCGCGGGAGGCGCAAGAGCAGCTTCAGCAGCAGCAAAGTCTACACACGGAGGAAGTGCAGAGCATTTGTGAGCAGCACATCAAAGAGCTGGAGACTCTGAAGGAGACCACAGGCCAGGAGCACGCAATAAAGGTGGACAAGTTGACGGCTGACATTGAGAAACTCGGCGCAGAGCTTTCTCTGCGTAGAGAGGAAGAGCAGCATGCAACGGTTGAGCTCCAGGAGCAGCATGCGAGAGAGCTGGAGCGGCTGAAGGAGTCGCTCGCTCAGGAGCACAAACTAAACACCGACAAGCTGCTGGCTGAGCTGGAGAAGATCCATGGGCTCACTCTGAAGGACTCGCAGGAGAAGCAGAAGGACATAGACGACCTAGCCAAGCAGCTGGAGGAGAAGCACAGGTTAAGCTTGGAGTTGGCGTTGAAAGGTGCAGAGAATCAAAGTAAGGTAGCTAATGAGGAATCCAAGGCAGAGTTGGAGAGCAAGCATGCGGAGGAGTTGGCAGCGCTCAAAGAAGACTTCAGAGAAAAAGTGGAAAAACTGATTCAAGAAAATAAATCCTTTGAACTGGAGCAACTTGAGACTGAAGAGGGCATCAGTGGAATTCTCCGTGAACTGGAGTACTGCGCAACCTTCCAAGAAACACTGGAAATATCTGGCAGCACATGTGACAATGTGGAAGCCTCTGGACCCGCACTTGTCCCGTCAAACCCAAGTGGCAAGGCTGTCGCAAACCCGCAAGAGTCGCCCCCTAAACCCGACGATGACACGGCCTCCCAAAAGCAGGGTCGGCAACTGAAGCAGCTGCTCTGTGCTTTGAGCCGGCAGTGCATTGCTATGAAAGGGCGAGTGCAGGCGCACGTGCTCGAGAAGAATCTACGTGAACCGGCGGCACAGTACCAATGTGAATCGGAGCCAGCCCCGGATGCTTCACCCCACAGTGTAGTTGATGGAGGAGGCACCGCGGGTGCAAAATCGAGCGGCGGAGGTGATCAGACGCAAGGTCAAAGTGCAACAACCATAAGCACAGCTGTTCCTTCCGCGGACGAATTCAACGCGTTGCTGCAAGAAAAGGCGGCTTTAGAAGAGAGGGTGGGCGATCTGCGTAAGACGTGTGACCTTCAGCAGGAAGAGATGGCGTCTCTTAAAGCTCAAGCGGCAAGTGACGACGAGGTGGCGGAGGAGGAGAAGGAGGTGGTGGTGCGTAAGGGGCGCGGAGGGGTGGCGCACTTGAACGTTGGATCTCAGGGGGACGTCCAGACGAGACTCGTGGAGGAGCTGGACCTGCCCGGGGCCACTGGACCCTCGCCACAAGCTGCTCTGTCTCACGTGCCACAGGTGAGAATTGCTTTCATTATATTTCACTTCCTGGCTTGGATCCCCTGAAATCTATGCATTGACCACAGGAGCATTGGACAAGTTTTGATGGTGCTGGATATGGGCGAACCCTGTGCACTACAGGTTGTCGTCGTCTGCAGTGGTGCTACTTGGTGGGTAGCAGAAGGCAGTGCAGCTACAACATTCATTGTTGGACTGTACTTCTATGCTCCCCAACTTCACCCAATCCACACTCACTAGCATGATGAGAATGGTCAAAGGCGGAGGGGAGGCCCCCCCTCATCCATCAGTGGGTTGACAAAGGAATCTACATATTAGCACCTCCGATTCGTTGCGGTTGGCTACTTACGGTGCAAAAAAGTTCAGCATACATCCAACATACATATACATAGACTAGTTATGAATAACAACTATTCGTATGGGACGACAACATTTCATGCAAGGGTTTGCTTCATCATAGCTTAAATCCGTTATAACTAAACAACACTTTAGCGGTGTGAGGGAAAACATGATTAGTCACCATTGTGACATGTGGTTTCCTGATGATTAATTATTCTGTGCACTCTGGAAACACATGCTGTGCAATGACATTTGTGCAAACACAAATGTAAGTGCAAAGGAATTACAATTTAGTCAAAAGCCTGACCGCTTTGTCCCATTTATGACCAGGGCTAAACCTTTGGACGTGTAGACATGCCAAGGCACCTGTTCGCATGCTAATGATGAAGGCCAGCTTGATTAACTTTTGTTGAATTACAAGTGTGCTCATTTGTCAATCTACCCATGCATGCATGACCGCAAATATGAGTCAACACATGGGCACATTCTGTGCTGGTAACTAAATTGATAAAGATGAATTATGTGGGCATGCACGCATTGATGCATGCATTTGTATAATTGATGGTACGATTAAATTATCCCACTGAGTAACTCAATCATAATACATGTAATAATTATAATTTACAGACCTTTATCAATGCAATGCTGCCTGAAGGTCCCTGCATTCCATGTCAGTCATGGTGAAATGTGTGACCATACTTCACCACACTTGTCAGTGCAGGTTAGTGATGGGGGGTAGTTTTCCAGGACTGGTGTAGATATAACTCACCACTGATGTTAATCACGGCCGGAAATTTTACTCTGGACACCAGGTTCATATTACAGTGTGCTAACCACTGCACCACCGCTCGACTCCCAATGATTTATTGAACATGGTGAACAATGTTATTTTTTCTGCAACTAATCAGAATCGGAATATGTATTTTTACTGGAGGAATCCAATGAGCTATAAAGCTCTTTTTCACAGATGTCCAGTTGGGATTGGTCAGAGCATTACAACAACAAACAATACAAAAACACGATAGGAGTGCAAAGTATAGGCAAGGTAAAGAAATCGCTTAAAAAATGTATATTTTTTATGTTACATGGTAAAACCCGCTGAGATATTAACTTATTTTTTTGGAAGCGGACCTGGCCACAAATGATAGCTCAACAAAAGTGGCTTATCACGTGGAAATGCATAGCAGCAAAATAATCCAGAATTCATTCTGTCATTGGAGGGGTGGTGCCCCTTGTGCCAAGTGTCTTGGTTGGCGTACCTGCTGGACAGCGCGTGCACCGTGTAGGGGAGGCATCTGCCGCGGCTTGTGTGACGACGCGTTTCCTGTTGAGGCAGCTGCATCTCATCACGGTCTTGCCTTTCAGCAAAAACATCACAGGTTTCCAGGCTGCGCCAACAGCTGTGTGTGTGTGTAGTATTTCTTATGGGCACTTAGTTATAATCCCAGTTTACTCATTTTCATAAATAATTGCATACAATTACGTTTTAATGTCAAAGTATTTTTCAAAAAATAATTTGGTAAGTCAATGTCAATCCGCTGCTGGATGAGGGCTTCTGCACTCCGTGAAGGTTGTGGGGGTTATTTGACAATACTTGACACTGGCCAATGCTGGTTGGTTAAGACGGAGAAAATATGCATGGGAGCATACAAGTATAATGCAACAATTGGGTAGTGCACACTACTAGCCTATATAATTAATCGTGGTCACCCATCCAAACGCTATCCAGGCTAAACCCTGTTTAGCTGCTGGTTTTCCCAATCTCATTTGTTTAAGCTGGTTTACTATGGAGTCGTTTTAGCATTTCTGGGTAAGGCCTCTTAAACATCAGAGATTCAAGTGTTTTAAACAAATGTCACCATGTTCGATGTTTTGGCATGTCAACTATTAGTAATATATTTTGTACAATTTAAGTTTATAAAGCATAAAAATGCAATTGTATACTGAGACGCCCTAAAAAAATGAATAAAAACTACATCTGGGTTGCACGCTCGGTGGAACGGTCACTTCATCGAAACATGGGAGAGAGAAGAAAGACAGCAACAGCGTGGAATAAAGTAACCAGGGTGTAGCACAAACGAGCCCCAGAGACAGCTGGACAGCTGGGGCAGCCAGGGCAGCACCTACGAGCCCCAGAGATTGCTGAGGCTGGCTAGGGCCCATCCACCATTGAGTCTCACAGGAATATCAGGGGGCCAGGACTCTTCCATCGTTGAGTCTCAAGAGTCTTGGGGGTCCAGGGCCCTATTTGCCAATGAGTTCCAAGTTGTCTACACGTGGAAAAAAAACCCCATCATCAATAAGTCCTCGAGCAGCCCTGGGGGTGGGGGGGCTAGGGGGTCATGCCAAGTGAGTTCCGGGCTCTGTTGGGGCAGCCCCAATTGACGAGTTCCAGGGTAGCCACGGCGACAGAGTCCGAGAGAGAAATGCAATTTTTTTGTCAAAATGTATAATTCAGTAACAGTATTATAATGTTTCCTCCTGTTCTCCTCTGATATTGCTGAGGCTAGGATCAAGTGTATTCAGCACGAAACACACATCTGTGATCCCACTTGTGTTCAGTGCAGTTTGTCAGAGTAGAATTTCATTTCATAGCTGGTTTCACTCTTGTAGTTTTTGACAATCAGTTATTGCTTATCAATAAATGCACATGGGTGAGGTTTTCACTCCTGTACTTGTTTAGCTTATCTACAAATGCACATTGGGTGAGTGAGTTGTTCAGGTTTGTGCAAAAGTGGGAGGGTAAGTTGGTATAAACTCTGTAAGTGGTTTTAAGAGTGTGCAAATAATTTGTCAAAAACGTCATACACACAAACTTGTTGTTCAACTCCCATTAATCACCCTGAGCTGTGATGATGCATTTGAAAGAATCTTCATTTTAATAAGATAACGACTCGTACTTTTTTATTATATGCATGGTGCGTTCCTTCATGGTTTACATGGACTAGACGAGATGCCGTATTTAAATTTTGTTTACATATTAAGTGGTAATGTTGGGGTTAAGATTAATTATGGTGGATGTGCATGTAATTGTGTACACTCCATAGATATTTACGATATAAGCCATACTTCCTACTTTTAAATAAAGCGTTATCATATCTGCCTTCTGCAACAGCAGCCTTACTTGCTACACAAACTGCAGAAGGGAAAAGATGAGTGCAGATTTGATTTAAAATCTGTGGATCCGAGTCCAGCTGAAATGGCCCATGGCCTCTCAAACCTCTACAGTCAAGAGACAAAACTGACCACACAGTTTCCAACCTCACTGACTGTCACCGTGGAGTCTCGCACCCCAAATGAGAGTGAAAATCCCTTGGAAACAGCTGGTTTCACTGCTGGAGATAACACAGTTCTACTGGTTGGAAGTTCACAATTGAGAGGATATTGTGAGCAATATCCAGATGAAGGGTCTTCTTCATACCCAGCCATCTCAAGTTCTCACCAGTTTGCCGATGTGTGCGCATCTCCCAATGGGCCTTCTGCGCGGGACATTCAAGCACTTTTTAATTCTGTTGATGGTCCATCACAGCAGCAACAGGAGGATAATCCATCTGGTTTTGATGTCTCGTTGAATCACGCTGCTCCGGTTGATCGACCTGTGGTCATCTCCAAGTACAATGTGGTGCCCGGATGTGATCCTGAGTCCGAATCGACCGTCGACCCCTTACGATCACCTGACATGGAGTCCTTAGACCGACCTCTCGTCCTCACTCACCCGTCTCGCTCCGAGCCTGACGGAGATTCATTAGCTCGTGATTTTGACCACTGGCGTCCAGAGGAGTTTGCGGAAGGATTCTCAGAGATGATGGTTACTATTCCTCTGCCGGTGGGACCGCTGGTGCCATGCGCTGGCGATTCCGGCATTGACGTGCACACGTGGTTGTACCGCTGTCGTGGATCTCGAGGGAGCGGTGGAAGCGGTCGCCACCGACTCACGGCTCAAATATCCCTCCCGTCGCCACCCTTCGCGGTAAGGACCTGGTGTCGGAGGCTGGGACTGAATCTGGAAAAATTTAAACCAAAAACGCGAAGCAAAAGCGGTCCTTTTAATTGAGAGTTCTCCAATGGTACAATGTTAGGTTAAAATTATTTTTAGATTTTTTTTCCACCTTCTGTGTTGCTTGCCAATGGTGGCTTGAAAAAAATGTAAGCTAAAAGCAGAATATTGCATTAACTGCAATATTTTTAAGACATTGCTAGAATTAAAATAATATATAAAGAAATATGACAAAGTGTAATTATGATTAACTGCATTACTTGTTTACATGTAAGATTTAATATCTAACTCTACTATAAATTTCCCATAGGAATTTGAAGCACAGGGCTTTGCGTTATAATGTTGTTTACTCATCTGAAATTCAGGAGAACATTATCATCACCAGTGTGGGCATCTAGTTTATTAAGGGATTTAACCTATTCGATACCAATTGTGCTCTTGGCATCACGCCATGGACCAAGGTGTCCATTCAGAACATTCACGCTGCTGTTACTCCTTGGCCTGTGGAAGGAAATGTCACAGAACTACCACTGAGATCCCCCCCCTCACTTGACCTATTTATATCCACACTACAAAGAGGCACTGCACGTTGTTTCATATCCTGCTACAGGAGAAATGTTGAAATGCTGATATTTTATTGTTATTCGAGATATAATTTGACCTAATGAAGTGAAAACACGAATTTAATCATGGATTTTTTGTTGTGCGTTCATAAGTGCCTCATTTGAGAACATCAACTCCCTACACTTGGTAACCTAGTGCCTGAAATCTGAATTCAAACCCAGAATCTCAGCAGCGCCAGTTCAGTGCTCTTACCCATAACCTAGTTGACCATCTTGGGGCCATAACCCACATCGATCACCTGAAGTAACATGGTTGCCAAGTATATGAATGCATACAATTTACAATCGGAATATGCAACTTGTTGGAATCGGCCTCCTGATATGACGTCCTAACTAACCGGTGTTTGCTGCATTGTTATTACCACTGCACTTGGGGAGTTTCATCTGAAAAGGTAAGTCCTTGACTTTTAAGTCGCATGCCGTGTGTGGTTGGAATAGGGTGCTGTGGATCCTTTCCAGAGTTTGTTTGATCAGATATGCATTTTCTCATTTGGTATGGCATGCAGTGTGCCTGGTTTGGATTTTATTTGCATGCACTGTTTAATCAAGAGGTTTGTGTTTGTGTCTCTTAGGTGTGGCTGGTTGTTGATTAACTACCCACCTTGCAGGGCCTGTGGTGTAAATGGCACTTGCATTGTGCCCCACTCTGAAACGATATGCCATGCTCTGAAGCTACGTCCTAGCCTATCAAAACGTCGAGGTGTAAATCGATGAATCCACATCAAGCCGTGTAACGGGTCTTCCGTTGTGCGCGCAACGTAAGTTAAGTTGCGCATGTCACCCCGTCAGGTGGAGCAGGCGAGCGGCGTGCAGGTGAGCCTGCTGAAAGGGTGGGCCAGCGGCAGCCCTCCCCACCACGGCATTGATGACAAGGCCACGACAGCGCCTCCGCCCGCAGAGCAGGAAGCTTGCGAGGATGGTGTTCAACAGCAACAGCAGCAACAGCATCATGGACAAACAGACTCAGAGTCTGAGCAGAAGAGCAAGACACAGCTGGAGAAGCAGGAGGCTGAGCTACAGGAGCAGGCCGGCAGGGTGATGGTGCAAGTGCAGGTGCAGCAAAAGGGGCAGAAGCAGCAGCAGCAGAGGAAACATCACCGCAAGCAGCAAAAGAAGCATCCCGGCATGGTGCTGGTGCAGCATATGAGCGTGGTGCCAGAGGAGGGGCAAGAAGACCAGGTATTCGTTAATTCAACGGTTTGTTTGTTGACTTAACAGTGTCTGTTCATATGGCTTAACAATGTATGGCTTTAAGAGAAATGGCATCTCAACTGAAACTTCATTCTTGAGAGACGTTTTCGAGTTCGGTCCAATCGAGCTGTCAGAAACTACGTTGTCTTTTAAAGTGAACTATGAGCAACTTCGGCATGAATAAAGGAGATGCTCATAGAAATTAGGGCTAACTTCGGAAACGTCTCTCGATAACTAATTTTCTGTTGGAATGCGATTTTTTTTCATCGTGTTTTCCCTCCAAAAAGTGTTTTTGTCTTCATATCGCTCAATAATATGAGAAACCAAGTGATTGAATTGAGCCGGAAGAAGAAAGTCGGGGAAAAAAACCCCACTTCAATTACTTCTCATGTAGTTTTCTGCTTGACGAGTTATCAGAACATTCATGGAGAACAAATTTCATACGGAGAAACACGATCAGGCGCAACGACCCATTCACGTGATTGTGTTACACCTGGAATGCAATAAGCACGTATTTCACAAGCTCGATACATTGCGGATTCCCTGTGCATCCTCTCATTTTCATGCCATTTGTGTTCATCTGAGGAGTTTACCAGTTTGACTAACGACCATTTAAAGGTAAGTTGTTGCATGAACATGAGAAAAAAGTATTATTTTCTTAAGTTGAGCTGCTTAACTGAACATTTAGTGTGCTGCTCTACCAACATTCCACCTCCTTTGAAATACACAAACCATTGAGCATGCTTTTAACGTGCAGAGCCTCCCATCCAGTGAGCCGATTCCAGAGTTTGCTTGTACTGAATCAATGTTGCCGAAATGATGCACTCCCAGAAACTTGGTGGGTGTGTCATACATATATATTTTGTATCGTTTACCTGGAGAGACATATTGTGAAACAGATGTATTGTCTGCTTTACCTATTTTGTTACTTAGATTTTCCACGGCGATGCTAAATATTATTTTGTGATTCCAGTGTGAAGTTTTTTATTTGTTGCCACTGCCCAAATTCTGGCCCTTGTGTGAGTCGCGCTCTGCCATGGGTCATTGAGGCACAGCCCTAAAATGAGCCTCTTGTAATTTTTACTGCACACTTTATGGCCACCGTCAAAGTACTAGGCTGTTAAATGTAAGCATATATAAAGTACATTTCATAAGTCAAGGCTTAAATTTCATCACCGCACCACACTGCCATATTACACGAGCTATCAGAATCAATTTATCCTGGAGAAATCCGATGAACTTTGAAGCTCTCTTTCACAGATATCCAGTAGTTTCACAAATGCCCAGTTGGTTAAGCGATAGCTGTAAAGCATTAGACACCGATTGACACTATCCAAATAAAAACATTAGCTCGTGCAATGTGGCAGTGTGTGTTTGTATAAAGAAAATATGGCAACAACTAGGACCCCTACAAATCGTTTTGCTTTGTAGTTTCATTCATGGCTTTGTGCGATTACTGTCACATACCTGTGCAACAAAGTTGTTGCACAAGGACATCGATTGTTGTCTAACTTACTCTCCCTCCGCAGGTCGTCCAGGAAGATGTGGACCGTCGCGGTGATGGCACAGAACTGCCTCCATCCGGAATTCTCTCCGAGCTTCGGAAGATTTTGAACGATGGGGGAGACCACACGTCGGACTGTGCGTGGAGCCGCAGCCTGGGTGAAGTCCTGCGAAGAGCCTTGCAAGAAATCAATTCCAGTGCAACCTCCGGGGAAGCTGGGACTAACAGAGCGGCAAATCTGGACTATCGTGCGCTCGGACCTCAGAAACCGGTAGCAGCAGAAGGGTGCAGCAATGCAGCCCAGAGTTGGAAGGGGCAGATTACAGAGCTCCTCAGGTTGTTGTCGATGTTGGAAAGCCGCACAATTCAGAAGTGCGGTGAACAGGAGAACCCTGACGCCAAGTTGTTTAGGTCCCTGGAAGCCGAGCTCCACTCGTTGCAGGTTTTGCTCGACATAAAGCACACCGAGGTGGAGCTGCTGCAACAGCAGGTTCAAGCTTGGGGCGACCAGCAACACTCGGCCGAGGTGAAGCAAAAAATGAAAAAATCCACGTTCACGCACTTCCAGGTGTCTCTCGAAGACCTAAATGCCTCGGTTAGGGGCGAAGGTGGAAATGGCGCTCTCCTCAACGGTGATTCCTTCGCCCTTCAGAAGCAGGTGTTGCAAAAGCAAGACGAGATAGTGTCCTTGCAGGAAAAAATCCAGGAGTTACAACCCTTGGGACGTCAAGTGAAGGAGATGGAAACAATCTTCCACGGCCTGAAACGCCAGCTCGTGCAAAAAGAGTCTGCGATCGTGTCACTACAGTCGTTGGTCTGCGAGCTCAGGCTCGGGAGACGGGGACTTGAAGGAGGCTGCAGGGAGGAACCCGAACACGGCGCGCAAGACCCGTCTGACGTCGCGCACATGACTCTCGCCGCCGGTAAGGATCCAGAGCTCCAGTGTCTTCAGTCGTGCATTTCTGAGGTGGACCACCTGAAGGAGCGACTTAACTCCATGTCACGTGGTGCCGAGACCCTGCGGTCGCAGCTGAGCCAGAAGGAGGTGGAGGCTGAGAAATTTGAGCTGTGCGTCACAGAGCTCGAGACGCTCAAACAGCAGCTGGATTATGTGGCGAGGGACTGCGATGGACTGAAAGATCGGCTTGCTGTGAAGAACGTTGAGATGCAGACGATGCTGATTCCACCCGTTCAAGAGGCAGCCGAGGGTCAGCCTGGCGAGGCCATACGAAGCTACCAATCCCTTTGTGCACAACTTGAGTGGCAGAACACAGAAATCCGCTCTCTGCGCGCTCACATCGTTGAGCTGGAGGTGCTGAGGCACCAGTTCCATTCGCTCAGGGAAGACTACACGAGTCTCAAGTGGCAGCTCTCGCAGAAGGACGACGAGATCGACACGATGGAGTTCCGCATCCAGGAGCTGCAGTCGGTGTACAGCGGATTCATGGACGAGAGCCACGAGCAAGTGGACAGCCTGGGCAGCGGCAAAACATCGCCCGCTTTGCCCCAACAAACAAGCGCGGCCGCTGACCGGGAACGCGCTCAGAATTTCGACACCACCACGACAGCTGCCACCGGTGCGTCAAACCCAGAGTCGGAGTGTCGAGGAGCAGATGCCGCCCACTCTGCGATGTGGTCACAGACTGACGCCGCCGCCACCGCCGAGGCCGAGGCCTCGTGCCCGAATGCCGCCGCCACCGCAGCGGCATTCGGCGAAGACGGCAAAGGCGAGCAGCGTCGGGAGCACGGAGGCCGCACCGCCGTCCAGGTACTGCGGGACGCGTGTGCGGGTCCCCCGTTGTGGCAGCACGTGGCCAGGCAGAGGAGCAGGATGAGCGAGCTCACACGGAGGCTGGATAGGCTGTGGGCTCCAGGCGAGGGGTTGGTGCGGATAATCCTGCCGGGGGGTGGAGGAGCGGCCCCAAGGGTAGAGGCGGTCGGCCCGGAGGGTGGCGGAGGCGGCGGCGGCGGCCAGTCGAGCAGCGTGGCGGCCTCGCATGTCCTCTGTAAAACGGTCACGATATACCTGTGAGCGGGGCTTAATCTCTGCTGCACCCGGCATGCCATGTCCAGTATACGTCTCGCTCTGGCCGTTACTGCCAGTTGCGTGCCACCCACTCCAGTCCACGAGTGACGTGGGAAATGTTCGGTGAGAAATTAAGCCCTGTCTGTGAGTGTTTTTAACAACCGAGCTTGGTGAGTTGAGTCAGAATGGGGAGGGGGGTGGTGTTTAAATGCCTGGCAGACGCTTGAATTTCTGGTGCAATGGATGTTTCTGTTACACTAACTGCTGTGGCTATATTTTATGTGCATATATATTAATGACAGCTTATTTTTAACTAATGCTTGTTGCATGTCTTTCAATTTTAAGCAAATGGAAATTAAAGTGTAAATATTTGTATATATATGAAATAGCTATTGGGAATGTGGCAAAAAAATCAAACTCGCAAGTGCAATTAACAGGGGAATTTATGATTAATAATGTTGTCTTGGGAGGTAAGGACTTGGAGGACATATGTTTAATATATACACATCATATACACGTCACAATAAACTTTATTATGAATAACCCTCCTGCCAATGGCTTCTTGCTTCGCCAAATCTGTGTCCTAACCCCATAAGAATGACAAAGTGTGCTTGTGTGTTTTTCATATTGTTATTCCATGCCTTCATTGGGATATGGCCTTTTCTTCGACACAAAACTCTTAAAAAACTGTTGCAAATTTTAGACTCCAAAGCCAAACATTATTCATGTAAGAGCAGCCGATGATCTGGCCGTGTTTCCAAATGACTGCCAGAGCTTCAGGTTTTTGTTCCCAGCCATTCCTGCTAAATACACTGACCATGATGAGCATCCTATTTGTGGTCGGTGTCTCGCAACATGAACGACATCGATGAATTCCAATATTGCAGCATTGAAGAGTGTAACGTGTGTTAATATGGGGGTGGGAGATGTTTGTCATACAGACATCTGTATGTATGTATGTTGAACTTAATTAACACCGTACGTAGCCAACCGTGCTAATCCGAGGTGCGATCGATTGACATAACATGGCCCTATGTCAAAACCCAATTGGATGCATCGACCACAAATAGTCTGGCTCAACAGCAGACCAAGCTTTCTCACCTGATGACGGACGCTTGTGTTGCGCCCGAAACGTCGTGATCTATTTTATTTTATACCTACATGACTTTACCGAAAGAACCAAAGAGTACGGATGCATCTAGTTTTACTTGCCATAAACATTTTGTCTGTGCTGTGCCCGACTAACTGATTGTAAAGTGTCCACGTGCACTGCAAACATATTAACGCATTTTCTTTGACTGTGACAATACATGTTGAAACGCAAACGGTCGCACATCTTTGTCATCATTGGCTTGGCTTCTATGCGGCCTTTCAAGCGCATCCTTTTTGCCAACTTGGTCCGAAATTAACGCCTGTCAACTCCTAGTGCGCACTGATTCGCTGTCTCAAGTCTTTGCGTGTGTGCATTGCATTCTTAAATTCCCTTATGAAGCGATTTAACCACTTGCACTGTCGCCTAAACTTTCTTCTTACTTTCTTTATAAAATCGCGTTGTATATCCGTGTAAATTACGTGTCCAGAATTATGAAGTTTGATATTAAACTTCTTGGCAGTCTTAATTCGTCAACACGTTATGTTATAAATTGTGTAATGTACGTCATGAAAACTAATATTTTACGGATGACCTCTAAAATTATAAACTCTTTAATTCCCAAATAATTTGTGGACACTAAGTGGGAGGATAGCTGTTGGTTGCCATGTAACACACAATTTACCATAGCAGCCTAAACTAATTTAGTATTCATTACACACAAGGGTATGTATTTGTGTTAATCTTCACATATGCTGTGCATTTAACACGATTGAATAAATAAGCACGAGCCAGTAACTTAACGATAAACGACAGATTGAAGCTGCGTTTTTGGAAAGCAAAATCGAGTTTTCAGCACAATCTCCTGGTCTACCACATGCAGTTGCCGCCAAGACCTGGAATGGAAGCTGGGGCCGGAACAAAGCAAATAAAACCAAAATTACAGGTCTTGTTTTCAGCGCCACTAAACCTCCCAGGTGCATGAGCATGCAAGACATGTCTGCCCTGTCTGTAGCCTACACTATTTCTTGCTAAATGTCAACGTTAAAACTCGATTGCATCGATAAATCTGTTCTCTGCGTGCAATGACCCATGAGGCACGGTACGTGAACACGTGGCTTTTTTTGCATCCTTAATATGGGTGTACAGTGAGTTAATTCAGCGACAAATATAGATTTTTGGGCTCACAATACGTGCGTCGAATCGTACGTGTAAGGCTAAACGTTTCTCTTTCCCACATCCTTCCAGCCACTAGAGGCTATTCACAATATAAAAACAAACAAATATATAGATTTTTAAAAAATCTATTCAAGGCGGTGTGGGGTACGGACCCGTTGCATCTCTCATGTTTTCAAATGAAATTTAATAATTGTATCTGACATGGAATTTCATTATTGCCAGTGAGTATAGAAATGCACAGTTATCATATAGGACTGCATCAAGACACTACCCTGTAAAAGGTCATCTTTCCATTAACCTCTCCAAATTCAGTTTCCCAACTCCAAAGTGATTGTTTTTTCAGGACACCCCACTTTGAAAAAGCCACTTTCAGATTTCATGTGTGAAGTTGGCCAAAAGCAGCCAACAGGTAAGTTTCTAGATAAAATCTTCTTGCCCGTGTTCCTTGAATGATTGCTCATATCCAGGTGTAGTTCATTTGGTTATCGACTAGTGGCAGGGAATCCACTTGAGTCGTGAGCCAAACGCGTTCCGTTACTTTTATTTATACGGCCCATAACCACATGAAGCCTAGCAATTCAAAACAGTCCGCAGATGACATCGGTCTGTGACTGAAAGCATCGTAGCTACACCAGTGGGGTATTGGAGGGAAATATTTTGACCTGCCAATACCATCTCCAATTTTAGCGCCCTCGGTCAGTTCTGTCACTGCAAAGGCCGAGGTGCGTGTTTATTGTGTGGGCCACCAAAGGTATTTGAAAGTCATAATTTGGCCCTCTGCAAGAAAAATGTTACCCAACCTTGCTATAGACCTTTAAACCGACCAGCACCTCCCATATCCAAAACCTGCTCCTTATGTAAATAATGCCAGCAAAGCACATTCTGATAGGCGGTGGTTTTGTTTGACAAGTTTCCATCACATGGTCACCCGGGTACCCGAACCCAGCACCATAAGCGAAGCTCGTGAACTAGCAGGGTCATGCGTGGCGGGTGACGTCAGTGACATTGTTTTTTTAGGGCAGAGGTGACCTCAAAGGTAAGAATTGTGTTAATGTTGGTATGTCTGCATATTGCTTCTGGCTGTGACTTATTTGCATAGTCATCGCAATCCGCAGAAGCCTTAAGTTGAAAAAGCATGTTTTGTGTAATGTAAGCACTACAAATACTGCCCATACTTTTTTTGGATAAATGTGCAGGGTTAATTTTTAATGAGTTTTTTTTTACATATTTTACCCTAATTTTCCCATTTCATGCAAACGATCGATAAGCTTCCAAAACTTAAGTCGACACTTTCTATGATTTCCACTGTGCCCTGTGGTGGTAGCATTCGGCTGCACCGTGATGGATGTCGCAAATAATGGAGGGGCAAGCTGGTGACCTATAAAGGTATTTCAACCTGACGGTGTAAACCTGAAAATAGCTTGCCATATCCTCGTAATATTTCGTATGTAATGATTCCTTCTGCCCCTCCCCCCTCACAGTTTGGTAACTGGGCACGATTCAGGGGGTCGCAGATCAATTCACGAAAATGTTTTCAACAAAATGGGTGAATTTTGAGTGCCTCCTCGTGGCCGCACTGGTCATGCAAACCCGTTACAACGTCCAAGTCGTTCATAATTGATTCTCACACGCATGATTCCATGCCTGTGTCATACGCGCAATTATTATAAATCAGTCCATCCTTGCATATCTCATTAAAAGTTAACAACGTCAGTGTCCGTGAGTTGTTAAACTCGCTCAAGAGCGAGAACACTGCAATTCCGTTAGCAACCGCCACGTGTGCCTCTGTGTCCCCCTTGTTGGAATGGCAGTGCGGCGCCCAGGCGGACAAAGACGATGCGAAGCGATGGGACATGCCCAGCAGCCAAGCAGCACTGCAGGTTGCAGTGGATGCCCAGAGGGCTTCCCTGGAGGAGGTGCACGCACTCCGGTAAGAGCATGGCCTCAAGAGCATACAATGAATGAGTTTGGGTAGTGGGGACAGGCTTGAGCTCGGCACGAGCCAAGGGTTGGGGCCGATCTGAAATGCATGGCGCCAGCTATCATAAGAGTGCGGCCGTGTCGCGATAGTTCTCTGCAGTGAGTACCAAATCTTAAAAAACAACAGTGCTATGCCTCAATCAAATTGACGCTGAACCGCTTGAACATTCTGAAATTCGGCGGTGAACGGGACCCACCATGCAATTTGCAGATATCTCGAAACGGGTCGGGGTGAACAAGTGGTACTGGAAGGCGGTGGTTGGATGGCTCAGAGGCTTGAGTGCAGAACTGACACTGCTGAGAACCTGAATTCAAATCCAGGCAGCTGGGTTCTCAAGTGTAGGGAGTTAATGGTCTGAGGCCGGTCACCAATGACAGCACAAAAAAACGTCACGTTAAATTTGGTTCTGCACTTTAATTTGCCTAAATGTTGGGTTGAAAGTCACCTAAAAAAATATATTTTACCAGGTAAGGCCCACGGAGCTATATGGCTCTTTTTCAGAAGTGACCTGGCCACAAATTATAGCTCAAAAAGTGGCTTATTTGTACATTTTTAGTTGGCAAATACTCTAAAAGCATGTTGATTCTAAATGTGGAGGGAACAAAAACAGAGGACCCGGAGAAAAATCTGCGCGACCACAGGCAGAACATGCAAACTCCAAATATACAAGCGTCATGGTCGGGATTGAACCCACGACCTTCGGCATACCAAGTCAGGTAGTTAACATCTCGCCACAGCAGCGCCCCAATTCATCTTGAAGCACAACACTCATGCAGAGCGAGTGGGACAAGTGCTGCCTCCTACTGCTTGGACCACACGTTGTTTGAAATAATCTTGAGCATCGCTCCCGAACATGAAAAGATCTACTGCTGTGTTAGAATCGAACGGGTACTGTCTCATGACATGATGCCGATAGCACAATTGGGATTAAATTGGGGAAACATTACGAAAAAGAGTGGCAAAAACAAGCGTGGTGGAAGGCCTTTAGGCAGGGAAGGAACATCAGTCTGTGAAATATTCCGTTTGGTTGAACAGATGGTGCAGAGAGCCAACAGAGGAGCCGATTGTTTGACAGGTGGCTCTGGTTATCAGCAGGGTTCTTAGATGGTATTGTGAGTGGGAATTAAGCCTTGTTCAAGCAGGGGGCTTAAGCCTAATGTGATTTTCCTAGAACTTGGATGTTCACTGCATGCCTGTCTGTGATGCAGCACGATACTGGCTAACCAATCAACTGGTGCCATCCCAGTTCTTTGTTTATCATAACTGACACGTCACGCCACCTTTTGAATTGTCCATTTGTTTGTGCGAAACAGGCTGGCCCTGGCGATGAAGGAAGAGGAGCTGGAGGCCTTGAGAGTTTGCATGTCCACACCGCAAGGAGCAGTGGAGCTGGCGGGAGAGAGCGGATCGCACAGCGAGGAGGTACGTGTGGGATCTCCCATTCCCATGTATCTTTGTGTTATTTGTACACGCATGTAATCTTATTATTATAAATATTGAGAAGGGATATATTTTACGTTTATTGATTGGTGCATTGTTAAACGTAAACTGGTGAGTCTGGAAGCTCTGTCTATGAGCTACGTTTATATTCCCTTATCCGAAAGCTTCAGTCACAATGTGGTGAATGTTACAGAACATTCAGTACTGCCACAGTCATTTGCATCGGCCACCGTGATTCCCCTTCTCTCCGGGTCTTCATAAATCCTCTCTCTACATATCATTTGCGGTCTTCCCCATCATTATTTTTTATGTTCATATAAGCTCCTTTACTCTTGTATGCATTGGTATGAACTATATTAATATTCGTTTGCTTCTGTTGCATGCGCTACAACAGGATGCAGCTGAACCTTCACATGCGGACTCCGACGGAAGGCAACAAACGCAGTTATCCAAGGTCGCTAAGGACAAAGCCGCTGCGACAATGTCCAAAAATCTGCCATCTCAGCAGTTGCTTTTGGCTGCTCTTGAGGGACCGATGCCCGAGCCTGACACAGACACCACAGGTGATACTGTGTGCACAAAGGCTGCCCTAAGTGTTGCAGATTCTGAACATCCCATCCAAGGCCAGCATCTGCACTTGGAATCTGTACCCCCGCAAAAGGATCTGGCAAGAGGCTGGCAGAAATCTGGACCTTGTCGTGGCAGCTCCCCTTCCCAGGGAACTATCCCTGGGGAGACGAGGAAGCTTTCCAGAAAAGAGACAATGAACAAACAAAAGCCCGCAGGCAGGTCCGCGAACGTTAAGAAGGAGCCCGCCTCCCAGACGAAGCCTTCGAGCAGGGCGGCACGAGCCACGCCACCAATGGCACTGCCATGCGGAACATGCACGCAGCTTGAAGCGGAGAGGGACGACCTCGTGGAGGTTCTGAGAATGGAGAGAGAGGCCTGTCAGCACCTTCGGCAGCGGCTGCAGGTTCTGCAGCAGGAGCGGTCGCGCCCGGCTATCGGCGGCGACGCGGACGTGGCTGGGAGTGTCCCCTCGCGAGGCGACCGCTCTACGGGCCGAGGAGATTTGGACGTTGAGCAGAGGACGGGGTCCCCCTGCGAGCTGGTGGAAGGAGCCACGCCAGGTGGCACGGACTGTGGAGATCAATCGGAGCACGTGGAGACTCGGCGGGAAGAGCCAGATGGGCCGAGCCTGCCTGTGATTGAAGGTTCTGCTTCTGGAGTTGGGACAGAGATGCAAGCCAGCACTTGTGTCAAGGTGAGACATACCTATGGGATATGTTCAGGGTTATCTATATGACATTGCGTCTGTGTGTCTGTATGTGTGTGTGTCCAAAGGGAGTGGTAGTTTTAGCGGTTAGCGCGCTGCGCTATGAACCCAGTAACCTGAGTTTGATTCCCGCTCATTGCCAACACCAGTGACGATTGTAATCGATTATAATTGTCTGAACCGGTCCTGGACCTCCCCTAGGTCGACTCAGCCTCAAATAAGTACCTCATGTGGTGTGTAAACATCGCCACTCGGGAGTCAAAGGCGGTCGGGCGTGGTGTTGGCCACCCACCCCCTCGTTTACCGTGCCGGCCTTCATAGGTACTCGCTTAACAGCTCTTGCCCCAACAGCCTGTTAAGGCCATACGGGGAATATTTGTCTTGCGTGTCCAAAATCCACTTTTATGAACTGGGAGAGATGTGCGAAAGGTAATATGTAAGGTATTGCTTGTCAATGGCATGGATATTTGTTTTTTTTCTGGTCTGCTTACAAATAATAATTATAATATCTGAATGAAACCTGAATGTTAAAGAATATAAATGTAATCACGAAAAATTGTATCATAGTTTGGTTACAGATTTATCTGAATAAAAACGGTACATAAATACCTTTTAGGGATAACAAAACATAAATCAATCGATTAAAATGAATAATGCTTAAAATGTGATGTATTGCAAGTGTAAAAATAATTTACTTTAAATGGATGCACATTATATAGAGAGAGTTGTATTAATATTACATTGAGCCTAATAGAATAATCACTGTTTAACACATAGGCTTTCGAGACCAATATTATGTATAGATATATAACATCAATATTTGACAAATGAGATTGGAAATATGGGGCAACAAAATCATGATGCTAAATCATATCAGTTTATTAAATAACTATGGGCAGAGGGTGTCCTCAATAATTCCATACTTAGTACGAACAATATTGGAATAATCTTGATTTGAAGCTTTCATGACTGCAGGAATCCATACTCTTTGGTTCTTTCGGTAAAGTCACGTAGGTATAAAATAAAATAAATCACGACGTTTCGGGCGCAACACACCTGATGGCGGACGCTTGTGTTGCGCCCGAAACGTCGTGATTTATTTAATTTTATACCTACGTGACTTTACCGAAAGAACCAAAGAGGATAGTATTGGAATACTATATAAACTAGCTACGGTGGTGCCATGGTTAGCGTCCTGCACTAAGAACCCAACGACATGAGTTAATTCCCTGGCCACTGCTAAAATTACCGAAGATTAGTGATGAGTATTATCCGAACAGATCGTAGGCCCCCCATTCACCACCATGCGCTGACCAGTGTGGTGAAGTATGATCAAACAGCTCCCATGACCGACACAGCAGTGGATTCACAAAGGGCCATCAGGAATATTTAAGTACCAAACAAATTCTCTCCCTCTGTCTCTCTCTTAGGCTGCAGAAAAACTTTCCCTCCTGAGTGGCTCCCGGACAGAGGAGGGGACGGCTGACACGGAGATGTCCAATGGGAACAGGGACATAGCCGGGCCTAGCGAGGGCTCTGGCTTGGTCGCATGTGACGGTAGCAGCAGCAGTCGCACAGCTGGCCTCTCCTCCAACAGCACCGATCTCTCGAGACGCCACGGTCTGCTGCAGTGTGCATGCAGACGACTGCAGCTGGTGTCAACGACCACAAGAGATCTGCTGGCCCAGATCAGCATCAGGTATGTTGAGCCGTTTTGCTGCTTCTCTCGCAAACCATCTAACATGCCTAGTGGTCACCATTTAAACTCGGAGCATTGGGGTTGCCTGTTTTGAATCCAATCCATGGTTTCTAATGGTCGGCTGCGTCAAAATATGCAGCTCTAATTTGCTTTTATTGTTAATAATTTTCTCCAATTACAAACGAGGCTTTGGCTTATTTAGCTTCCAATGTCAAATGTTCCATTGATGCTGCCTTAGCTTTGAAGATTACACACTGGTTTCAATTGTCATTTGTGCAACTGCCAATTACTTTCTGTGGTTGAATGGCCCATATTCTGGTAAAGGAGGTTTCTTTCGATCCTACTTTGGCAACGAGCAAATGTTAAAGGAGATCAATTTTGGCAATTATAAATAATTAACAAGAGCCTTTGGTATCTATATCAATGCTTTTCATTCACACGTGTACAGCCCTCTTTGCCAATCAAGACTCGATGAGGGCCCCTCATGCAGTAAAGGTCGTGGGGGTTATTTGACCATACCTCACCATGCTGTTCGGTATGAGTTGGAAGGTGGGGATCGCAGATGAGGGTGCAAAAATGCTTTATCACAACAATGGATTTTACTGCACTCGACATCCGCCTACAGAAACCTATTTGTGCATGTTTTTGTCGCCCATCAAATCACGATCCAGGTTAAACCCAGCTTCGGTTCCGAGATATGACGAGATGTATGTTGAACTTCGTTCGCGCCGTACATAGCCAACCGTGCTAATCGGAGGTGCCGGATGAGTTGCATTCTGGGCGATTTGTCATCGGCCACATTCACACAACACCATGTAACTCTGCCCTCTGTGCTCTTGCCGTGCCCCAGGGTTATCTCTGTGGTTGACTTGACTCGGGATGAGGAGCTGGCGCAGCTCTTGCGACGTTTGAAGGAGCTCGACGCTGAGATCGCCCACTCGGAGGCCGATCTGACATGGGTAACGGTTGCCCCTCCTTCGTTCCCCTTCCACCTCGAGTGACTTTTGCCGTCTCATCCCGATTTGTGGGAGAAACCTCGGAAGTCGTTTATGGAGTGTTAATGAATATTTGGCATGTACTGATAACGTCTCAGATTTGCTGATGACCAGTGGCATAGCTATGGAGCAAGCAGGCATTGCAACTTCGCTGGGGCGTACGGGCTGGAGGGGCCCAGGAGGTACGCATGCTCAAGCCTAGACCATGCTTAACCAGCGCCTTGAGTGCCTTGCAAAAAAGTGCTTTATAAATGTTATTTGTTCTTAGTAACATAATATGACATTCTTATTTATCTATCCGGGAAAGCATTAATGAGTCGCAATACATTTTCAGGTGGTACTGTTTTTGCAGTTCATTTTAAGGTAATGTTTTTTTTGGGGAGAGCGCAGGAGTGCGCAGAGAAGACTCGCACATACAAAGGCACAGATAGCTTTCCGAACCCATTTGCGGTGTTGCCGTGTTCTTGCAGGGGTTTAAGATTAAAACAATTGTTGCAATTGACCAATCCTTGCCCCTGAAGCACTGCTGTAGATGTGGGGGTACCACCACACCCAACTTAGTAGGCCTCTCTCCGAATTACCAATTGAGGAGCCCCATAAAAGAGCGCTGTCAGCATTGCATCAGAAGCTCATTCATGTGACCTGAAGTTTATTACAATGCAAACTACATACATTGTAATTCAGTCTTGAGATATGATTGCAGTTAGACCTGTTTGCGTAAGTCGCACTCGGGCAAATTATCTTGACAAACGATTGCATTGAGACGACGTCGTAATTTGAAACCGTCGGTCGTCGTGTCGTCGTTGTTCGTCCCCGGCGCGGCGATCAGGATTCGCGACTGGCGAGCGGGGACCCGTTGGGCCGCGTGGCGCGGCAGCTGAGCGAGCTGTACGGCCGCATGACGGTGCTCTCCGAGGAGAAGGAGGCGCTGAACGCCGTCGTGCTGGACCTGACCCGCTTGCTGCAGCAGCGCGAGCAGACGCCGCCCCCGCGGTTGACGGGCGGTCCCGAGCCGGCGCCCACCTGGAGGAGTGACCGCCAGCTGGTGCCGCCGCCACGCAGGGCCAGCCGCGGCAGCCCGGCCTCAGAGCGAGCGATGCTCTGCGTGCCCATCGGAAAGGCGAGTGCAAATTCTCTCTTTACACGGCCGAGAGGGTTTATTGAATATTTTGCGCATTTTATTACAATGGAAACATTCGGCTCGTCAACAGCATCGTCAGCCATGATCTGTCCACTGCTAGTTGACGGTCTCCCCAAGTCATCACCATTCCTCATGGCCACACGATGCCACTATGGTCTCGCACCTACACACGAGCTGATCTTGTTGCTCCATCTCCACGGTGGACTTACTCTAGGTGGATTAAAGTGTGCCGATTCCCACCACTTCTACGACATCTGATTAGTTAGGCCAAAATATCTTATGTAGGGGCTCCCTGTAGCGGAGGCCCTTCTGCCAGGGGGCTGGCATGAGCAAGCATCTGCAGGACTGCACCTTGACCTTATTATACATTTTTATTTCCAAACCATTCGAATTCATAATTTTTTATTAGTGACTGTTAACAGCATATTGTAAATCCCCCCCCCCCCCTCTTAACGGCATATTGCAAATCCCCCCCTCCCCCACCTCTTGTCAACTGCACCAACCACAGTTCCAGTCGCTGCACCGGCGGTTCACGAGAGCCGAGAGCCAGCGCCGCGCCCTGCTTCACCAGAAGCGCTACCTGCTGCTCGTGCTCGGCTCCTTCGCCGGCACGGAGCAGCCGGCGCTCGCTCTGCTGGCTCGCCCTCGCGTGGAGCTGCTGCTCATCGCGCGGGAAACGGCCGCCAACGCAGCCACGCGACGGCGCTTCCGCGTCGTGGCCCGGGCTGTCGCCGCCACCTGCAGGTGAAGCTTGTGTATTGCACCCGCGGCTGTGGTATTGTATTGTGGGGAGTGGCGGTGTAGCGGTTAGCGCGGCTGTTCTACGAACTGGGCGAGCCGAGTTCGATTCCCGCTCGCAGCCAACACCGGTGACGATTATCCGTAACCGGTCCTGGGCCTCCCCTAGGTCGATTTAGCCTCAAATGAGTACCTCGTGCGGTGTAAACATCGCCATTAGGGATACAAAGGTGGTTGGGCGTGGTGCTGGCCACCTACCCTCTCGTGTGCCGTGCTGGCCCTTATAGGTGCTACTCGCTAACAGCACTTGCCCGAACAGTATGTTAAAGGCAAAACGGGGGATCTTTGTCTTGTACTCACAGCAGGGGAGGGGAAGGGTCTGTTGGTTATCTGTGTAAAGAATGAGAAGCAAAGGGAGGAACGACGATTTGGATTGATGTAATAAATAAGACATTGAACAAAACGGTGAGAGTATAGCTAGCTGCAGCAACAAGGTTTGTATACGACAGACAGACAGACCGAGGGAGTTATTTCAGCTTCATCGCTCTTTAAGCTGACGAAGAGGTCCTGCGTCAGCTGGCAGGAGAATGTGAACTCGTTCAATAAATTAGCGAGAGGAATAAAACAATCTGGATTGGGTCGGTGGTAGTGAGAGGGAGCAGCTTTCTGCAAGAGGTGATTAGAAAGAGGATTCCTTTGATGGAATCCTTTGGAAAAAAAGGCGGATATTGGAGAATGTTTAACAAGAACAGGCGTATGGACAGATCAAGCGACCAGAGGAAAACAGCGGTACATTGAAGAGAGAATAGTTTCTTAAATCTGTTGTAATCCTGGGATATTACGTATTACGTTAAATTGCAGAAAGTGATGGTGTCAGCTAAGAAAGAGATGTTTGTGGAATGTAAGACAAATTAAACTGTTCTTCTGTAGTTGTGGCTCAAGAACCCAAGTTTAGAGCGTGGTGTTGTGTGATGTGGGGAGAAGAGAGTGGGATCAGATGAGATGGATAAAAATTGTGCAGTGGACTTCACCTTGGACAAGTTAATTTAAAGACAGGGCACTATGCTCTTTAAATTAACACCACAATATTTTTTTTGCCCTCCGTTCATTGATGTACTTGAGTCATTTCCCCTGTTGCAGATTGAGGATGCTTCTGCAGAAGCAGCAGCAGCAGCAGCGACAAAGAGGCTGTACAGCACATGGCTGGAAGGTTGACATGCCCGTGACGACGTTCAGTACACCGGGTAACATTACGAGCACCGGCATGCTTATGGCAACACTGTAAACAAACCAAAAGCTATTAAGGCAGGCCTTCAAACGCGCACATTTCCACCCAACCATGATGGTACAAGATCCATACCAATGTCAACAGGTCGAAGTGGTCATATAATTGCAATGCTCAAGTAGAATGCACGGTGGCCGATCTTCTGGGTCTGCAGGGAGAGGTTAACCTGTTCTTTTACGTGAAGCGTGTAAGGCCTATTGAGCTAAAGAAGTTATTTTAATTTTTTATTTTCAATATGGCACCTGCCTATAACGCCAATTACCATTATCTGGCTGCTATACATTTCCACATGATAATTTACTCATTTGTGGCCAGGTCACTTCTGAAAGAGAACTGATGCTCACTGGGCTTTACCTGGCAAAATAACAATAGTGTAGCGATTTACTTACCTTTCCCTATACTTAGCAGTCCTATCGTTTGTCTCTGTATTGTTTGTTGTAGCTTTATGATCTGCCCCAACTGCACATCTGTGAAAAAGAGTTTCACAGCTCATCTGATTTCTCCAGGATAAATAAAGATGTTGATTGTGTTTACAGTTTTCTAAAGAAGTACAAATGAGCATCCTCCCTCTGATTTCCTTTTCCCAATTGCAGTCCTAATGCATTGCCTTCTTCTTGTACAGAATTTTGAGATGTGTTCAGCTTCATGTGCCTGTAAATTAAAATTGTATTTTTAAAATTGGGTTTCCAGGTTAATTTGTGCCCAAGTGAGGTCAGTGTTATTTACGTATTCCTACAGTGGTGTGAATTGTAATGGTTGAAGCACCTGCCATTGTGAAAATGTTGAACCAGTCGTAACCCGTGTCTGTGTTTTTCTGCAGGCCGACACTACCTGTGGTCATAGTCTGGATGAAGTAGAACGTGAACACTTTTGGAACTGGTGAGCTCTTATACCGCTAGCTTTTTTGCCGGTCCAAGGACGGGTGTATATTGCAGTAAGTCTGAAATAGTCAATAGAAAAGTTGTTCAGCTCGTGATTATTAATGAGGGCGGGGGGTTGCCCCATGTGGAGTGACGTCACCCCATCATGGTTATTGTGGAGGGGTGCGGCATGTGGAGTGACGTCACCCGCAGGGGTGCGGCAAGTGGAGTGAGCGACCTTCTTGTGCGTTCGTGTAATTCTCCACGCGGACATAAATATTAATGAAGGGGGGGGGGCCTCTGTTGCAGTGACGTCATGCACGGATGTAGCACTGTGCTGCATAGATTTTTTTTTGCGTCCCTTTCTGTAAAGAAACGTAAGATTTGAATCGACTTTGCATAATAAATTATTTAATTCAGCTAGACCTTCTGCGTTAGTGTAAAAATCCACCCACTCATGAATATTAATGAGGGGGGGTGGGCCTCATGTGGAGTGACGTCACGCGGGGGGGGTGGGCCTCGCGGAGTGACGTCACGCGCAGGACGGACAGACATTTCTGGGTGATTATAGTCGGTAATGGCCCAGTACTGACCTTCGCCCTGCCTCTATCCCCTAAAGAAAATCATCCTTAACCCTTGAATTTTCCTGACAGATAAACTGACGTTGATACGGACACTCACCCTTGAATATAGGCATAGATGGTGAAGCTTATAACAGGGTGTGGTAGATATTTCAGGACCTTGCTGTGTATATTGTAGTTTAGTGTGGAAGATCAGTGTTGATATTGCAGAATGTTCAAGCATCCAGTGTGAAACAGATTGAGATGTGTCCAAGAAAATGCAAGGTTTCATGCACCTCCGATTAGCGCGGTTGGCTACATACGATGCGAAACAAGTTCAACATACATACTTACATGCATCTGCTAAAATTGACTTACTTTTTGGCACCTGGTTGGTGTTCCCCTGAAATTTTTTTTTTATCCTAGGCACTGCCGCCAATAAAATGTATACCTACGATCAAATTACTCTAAATGCACCCAAAATATCATGGGACCTCCTTTGCCAGTACCAACATATGAGAATAGGTTTTCAACTTTTTTTTGGCAACAGAACAAGGTGTTAAGATGTTAAAACACCAAACTGAAACCTTTTACAAGGAATCATGTCTGCATTAATCACAATACTTGTCGGTCAGAATGCAAACAAAAAACACACTCTAATATATGCATTGTCTTTGAAACTGATTGGTCCACACCAGAGACATGCTGTCTCTAACCACAATTATAGTGGTTAATGCAGACATGATTCCTTGTAAAACGTTTCAGTTTGGTGTTTTAACATCTTAACACCTGTTTTGTTGCCAGAAAAAAGGAGAAAACCTATGCACCCAATATTTTGAGATCATAGAAGCGAAGTGGGATGATGAGCCTGGTTCGTACTTGGATGGGAGACAGAAAGGAAATCCCAGGTGTTATAGGGTTGGGCTGGGAGGATTCGTTCGTTTCTCAGTCCGCTTGTCCTGGTGATGGTCGTGGCGGCAGCATGTTGAGTGGCGGTCCAGACCTCCCTTTCCCTGGCGACAGACTCTAGCTTTCCTGGGGAATTCCCAGGCATTCCCGGCCAGCCAAGCGACATAGTCCCGCCAGCGTGTCCTGGACCGGCCTCGTGGTCTTCACCAGGAAAAAGCAGTGCAGTGCCATGTTAATTCCTCATAATCATGGGTTTCTCTGGACACTCCGATTTTCTCTTGACATGCCAAACATTCATGTCATAGAATTGGCCAAATATCCCAGTGCAAGGACCCTCCTGAAATAAAACTCAGTGAGGCTTTCCTTGATAAAGGGCATCTAACCATTCTTCCCCCCCAACAAAAATTGTGTTCACCACTTCTGAGCATATCTCAGCCCAGATTTGTATGCTGGTACAATTTTGCTGTCGTTTAAAAAATTCGATGTATAGTTGCCTCGCTTAAGCTTATGTGAAACAAAGCTCCACCTCATGCATTCAAAACAGAAATTCGTACCTGCCAAAAGTAAAAAAAATGTACAACATAACAAAGGCAACGGCGTGAGTTCTCTGTAAAGTTATCATACACTTATGATTGAGCACCCCCCCCTCCTCCGCTGTATTCCAGCTCACCGTGGTCCTCCCACAGTGCTCCTTGCGCTGACGAGCACAGGAACCCCGACTCCTTCCTGCACGACTTCATCAACAAGCTGGAGTCCATCCAGCTGCGCCTGGGGCCCTACTACACAGGTAACAAGTCGTAGCATGTTCACCGCTTGTTGCAGAGGTTCGTGCTTTAAACCCCGGTGGATGTCCCCTGCACAGCAATTGAAGCAATGGGCACTCGTCTTAATTCCCTCCACTTCTGTCCACCCCGCAGTATAAATGGGCAAAAACCACAGTTAGTCGATCAGCTGTGGGGTAAAGCGTGGATACACCAACATCCTTCTGAGATGTCTGGCCAGTGTGAAAGAGTAGGCCAAAAACACCATATAGATTGGTTCTCTCGAGCTCCATCTAGTGGAGGCCCTTCCGCCAGCAGTGGCATGAGCAAGCAAATGCAGGGCTGCAACTTTACTTTTTATCTACTCGCAATCTTCTGGAGTAATTGGGGATTGGGGGGGGAAGAAAAACCATAACGTCAGCCGATGTCCAAATCGCATGGTTGACACTTCTTGGAGACATCAAGCAGGTGGTGTTGTTCTGAAGTGGCATGAGATGAATGTGTTTGCATGCAACTTTGTGTGTTGTTATTCTCTTGTATAGCTTTCTCCGCATACTCCGGTTTCCTTTTACATTTCACTTAGGAATTGAATTGGCAATGCACAGGACTTTCCTTGAAACGTCTTAAGACTCTACGAGGCTCTTCTGTATGAATAGAGCATTATTAATAAAAAAAAATATATATATACGTAGCTTGGCTAAGTATCTATAAGAGCTTTTTTTTTGGGGGGGGGGGGGAGTGGGGGTTGTCTTCGTTTCACTCTCTGGTGCATGAATTCTTAAAAACAAAAATTCTAAATTTTACTGTGATTTTAAAGGAACCCTTTCCCCTCCCCCCCCCCAACTAAGTTGATAATTTCTCATAAGATTTCCTCACAAAATTCTGATCATGTCTATTATTTGGACCACGGAGTGTCCACCAGCCTTCACCTTGAATGTCAAGCTCAGCTTTACACCGTTTATGCCGTAGTAGTCACATGTTCCACCACTAGGTGGCCACACTGAACAGTTGACGTCCTCAGGAAAAGGACTGCGCACACCAAAAAGTTATGGGGTGTGATCACCGTAGGTGAAATGCAAACAAATCGTAGCAGTCCACCACACTGGACATGATGTATGCGAAGGTTAATTGACATTGACGAAAAATTGTCTTTGAAATTGGGTGGGGGGAGGAATGGAGGGTGTGCATTCAGTTCACTGAAAACTGGTTCCCAGAACCCTGCTGTTCAGGACTGGTTTGTGGGGTTTTGATAAACACTGAGAATGGAATACTTTTGACACAGAGAGTGCAAACATGCATACATAATAACATGTCCTGCTTGTGTTGTGTTCGTGTTACAGAGACGTCGTCCTTTTCACGTCTGGCCAAGAAGCCCTGAGCTGCACATCTCCTTTGTCTTCGGGAGAGAGCGCCTCCAACTCAACTTCCAATGAACTCTGCTTAACTAAATAATACATTGTTTTAGCTCTCAATGCCCCATGTGTCTCGAAAGACCTTGACACCACGGTCAGAAAATACATATTTTATGAAGAAATATAACTTAGTTGTTATTTGTCTTTGTGTCTGTTTAATTTAGTTGGAATGTCACTTGCTGGTCTTTACAAGGTAATGATGTTGTTTCAGTGCAAGGTAGTACACTACAAGAATGATTAAATTCAAGAAGAGATCCCCAGTGCAAGGTAGTGCACTACAAGAATTATTAAGTACAAGAAAAGATCCCCAGTGTTAAGGTAGTGCACTACAAGAATGATTAAGTTCAAGAAGAGATCCCATCACTGGTGATAACTCTACCTCTAGCAATGAACTTTAATTTAAACCCTCGCACAAGGTGCAACTCTAGTCCTAGCTTAAACCCTATGACAAACCCTAGTCCAATATCGAGCCTTATATATCCAGCCCTTTCTATTAGCTGAAATGGGAACAATTAATGTGGTCGTGTTTTTTTAACGTAAAAAGGTGGCACGTTATGTTTTTTCTCTCTGATGTATTTATGTTCAAAGTATGAGTGATAGACTTAGTTGATCAAATGTAGAAATACACTTTTTAGATCTTGTTTTGTAACAGCCTATTCAGATCTTGCCGAAGTCGAGAACTTGCACTTTAATGTGTAACACGATTGCCGTTCCAGTGGTTGAGGGATAATTTTCACGGTCCTTTATTTCTATAGTGTAGGGGTTTCTAAATCCAGGCCTCACGACTTAACACGGTATACCTTCCCATGCTTAGCAATCTCTGTTCAAACACAAATTAAGTTGTTACCGTCAGCGCACGTGCATGATGATTGCTAAACACGCCTCGCATTACATAGGTAATTGCTGTTTTAGATTAAGCTTGCTCAGAGATCACCTGAAACACACACAAGATCGCTATCTTAATTTCAATTGTCAATCTGAGAGGAGACGTGTTTAACACCGATGTGTGTAGCATTGTAAATATTAGTTTGTATGTTGAGCAGAGAACATGGAAATCTATATCATGGTGGGTCATAAGGACTGTAATTTGGGGAACGGTGTTTAGAGTGCAGTTATTTATTTACTACTTTATTTATTATAGAATATTGCTATTTTCACCCTCCCGCGTTAAGACAGTCTCCTAGTCAATGTTGAAATAAAATGAGGGTTAATTACTGCAGTATCTACAGTGTGTAGTACTTGCATAACTAATGTTAACCCATGCAGCAACAAACACTCCTATAGGCTAAAGTTTCTCATTCAGAATCGATACTTTATTTCTTTACTATTTTATCAATTAGTCATCAATATTATTTAGTGTTGCTCTTTATATACAATTTAATCAATAAATGAGCATCGCTGAATATAAAAGCATTGGCTATATCCACACTTGCACGATATGCATTGCAGCTTATGCAATGTAATTAATGTAACTAATATAATGAAAATCTCAGGTCGGAAATGAAAACTATTTGCACCAACATGCAAACATTCCATATTTATATTAACTTAATATACAACTTTATATTTTAGCAGAGACTCTTCTGCAACGGTTATCGGCTACAGTATTTACATGTTATCTCAAAAATGTTAAAACGATTGTGCATGTCGGTCAAAGTAAATATAACATTGAGCCCATGGCAATAGGTTTCTCTGAACATCAATGATCCCCTTTAACATTAGTAAGAGGGGCGGTTGTTGCTTACAGTTATTTCCACATTGTCTTATAGGCTCTGCGATGTGTTTTTGGGTTGTACTGTGTGTTGTTAGACATGATGTCTTGACGTCTACGTCCAGGGAGCTTCTTCAGCAACTCAACAAAACATTCAGTTTCTCAACAAGCTCCGAGCACATGCAGAAAAATGTTGGACATCATGCTGAACAACACACGGTATAACCAGAAAATGTATCAGAGGGCTGTACAGCACAACCGACGAAACCCACATTTGAGTATCACTTGTTGCCTTCGTTTAAACAAAGCTCACCTCCGTATTGCAAGTGTGAGATATATAGCTATGCAACTCCTTCATGCTACTTTGAGCAAGTGTCATTTATGTTGAGGGTATCGCTCTAAGCCGTCCTGAAAGAAGCATAACATCTCATGTCTACCCAGTGCCTGGGCCAATTCTCAAGAACACTTGTAGCAATTTTCATAAAATTCCTTAGGTGGAAATCACTTGAAAATGTTTGTGTGTGTGTGCAACTGGCATCTAATCAGTCTCAGTAAGATTTGGGTGTGCGGATGCTGATTAAAGAGAACAATTATGGTCCCCCACGGGTTCTTCCCAGTCCAGCATTACAATGCCAGCCAATCTTATCCATTTTCACATCACACCTTTGTACACTTGAAAAAAAATCATAGACCGTTGAATTGTCAATGTTGATACGATTGTAATTATAATAAAGAGAATAAAATAGTTTTATTATAAGTCTATAAATTAATCTCGTGTCAATATTTCTTGTGTTTACGAGGCTACAATGAACTTTTTGGAAACTGCGTGTTTGCGATTCAAAGGGCACAGAATATGCTGCCACTGCAGTGTGGTGAATGTGTTTACGGTGAACTTGTACACCTTATAATCTACCCTGTACATGCAATAAAAACTAACGTGTTGAGCACCCTCGGCAATAACGAGGTCACAAATTACGACTCGTGTGTGCTTTTAAGCTCCAGTGCTATGTGCACTTTGAAGTTTGCTCACGCTCTGATTTTCCCCAATGTTGGTTTGAACATTAATCTGTCATGCTTTTAAGTTTATTATATTTTTGCTAAAGTACCATCGATGGCATTAGCCAAAACCTAAAAATTACATACTTTGTTCAACCACTGAACCGACCAAATAATTTAATTATTTTAAAGGCAAATGGGTAAATCACGGGTGCATACACTTGTCTCATCATTGTACTGTCAATAATGACGTTTTAACTAATCATACAAGATCAGGTATATATTTTTACAAGTGTATACCTACTCTTTGGTTCTTTCGGTAAAGGCACGTAGGTAGAAAAATAAAATAAGAAATATATCACGACGTTTCGATCGCAACACAAGCGGTCGTCCTCAGGCGGAAAGAATAATCCATCAGTGGAACTGCTGAATCTAGCGAGAGAGCAGTCACAACAAGAGGTTATTTACGTGGCGATGGGCAAGCAAGCGGGAGTCTGAGCTGTGTATACCATGCATGAACATATTTCAACTATTGTATTACGACTATAGAGATAGTAGTAGGTTTTTATCCCTTTTAAACTCAGTTTTGTACCAGTTAAAATGGTAAAAACCTACTACTATATTTTGCCACTGGTAAAAGAGATCTCATAGTGATTATAGAGATGTTTATTAATCAAATGTCCGGATCGGAATATATTCTGGAAGTATCCGATGAGCTCTAAAGCTCTTTTTTACAGATGTCCAGGAGGACAGGTCAGAACGTTACAACAATGAACAATACAACAACACGATAGGAGTGCACAGTACAGGGTTTTTCAAAAAGATGGAACCGATTTGAAATCGCTATATCCCTGCAACCACGAACCGCCCATGAATGAAACTCTTACCACTTGAAAGGGTGGGGCATAGTGAGGAGGGCGGGGCATAGAGTTTTAAATGATGACCGCAAGATGCCTCTCCCAGCGCACAAACAGCCCCTAGCCTCAGTCATTCGCTAGATGGTGACCCCGCAACATAAGGCGTGTTGCGTTCTGCAGTTCAGGAAGACTGAATCCGTAATTGCGGTGCAGCGTGCGTTTCAACAGCGTTTTGACATTGATCCGCCAATGTCAAAGAGCATTCGTCGTTGGTATCGACAATTTGAGGAAGCAGGCTACTGTTGATGTAAGGGGAAGAGCACAGGGCGACCACACACCTCAGAGGAAAACGTGAGAAGAGAGGCGTTTGGGACGAATTCAACTATCGTCTCGATGTTGTCCGTACAGCAGGCGGAGGGCATATAGAGCATTTATAAAATGGTTAGTAAAACTTGATAACTCATTAAACCGTTTGTAACTTTTTGTGTAATTGTAACATGTTGCCATCGTGAAATATACTGCTTTGGAATTGGGTCAATCTTTTTTAAACACGCTGTATAAGGAAGGTAAAAACATCACTTTAAAAATAGATACAAATAAAACTAAGCTTTTTAATCTTACCAGGTAAAGCCCACCGAGCTATTATCATCTTGTTTTAGAAGCTACCTGAATGATAAGCAGCTCAACGAAGTGGCTTATGTGGAAATTTACAGCAGCATTATAATAAAAATAATGCAGACGCATGTTTGTAAATGTGTAGGGGAGGATTTGGAGACAATCCACGCGACCACGGGGAGAACACGCGTGTCGTCTCCAAGCCAATGATTCTGATGTAAATGTTGTCCATCGCTGTGACTGCAGTGTACAAGGCGGTACAGATGTCTCGTGACCCCTCAATTATCGTGTTTTTCTATTGTTGTAACGTTTTGCAACCTACCCCTACTGGACATATTATAGCTCATTCGATTCCTCCGGTATAAATAAATATTCTAATTTTGAATGAACCTTCTGAACTTGTGTTTCCCTTGAACATGTGCTTTCCACGAAGCACGATTTTATAAGCAAGCAAATTCTGCACCTGTTTCAGCTTTCAAAGTGTCACCACTGGTCAATCCTGTTATATAATTGTACAGTATTCGTTTATTGCATTGCCTAACTAAGCCAGAAACAAATGTTTATTTTTTGTAATTTAGGGTAACCACCTTTTGATTTTAACTAAAGGTAACACCCAAAAGTGCTGTGCTTTAAAGCCATGTATTTATATCCTGGCAAGCAGTTGTTTGGAACAACTAAGTCAGACCATGAAAGCTATTTGAGGAATCAAAACAGACCAGTTTGCAGTAAACATCGCATATATAATGTGCTGTCCGTAATTAGGATGTATGTGTATGGTGGAAACGCGATTGTTAATCCACTGCTAGATGACCGCCTTCAGTGGGGCAAGTGCATGGAGGTGGTGTGATCTCAAAGTTGATTCAGGATTGGATTGGGAGCCAGTGGAGCAATCAGAGACTTAGGGTAATAATGTAGTCTTATACTGGTAGGAACCTCCTGGTTACACCAGCCCACAGGGGATTATTGTGTCCGTTCGTCCGTCGTGCAGGGAGGGGCTGGGTGGAGAGGGAGGGGCTGGGTGGGGAGGGGCTGGGTGGGGAGGAGCTGGGTGGGGAGGGCTGGGAAGGGAGGGGCTGGTAGGGGAGAGGCTGGGTGGGGAGAGTGGGGAGGGGCTGTGTGGGGAGGGTGGGGAGGGGCTGGGTGGGGAGAGTGGGGAGGGGCTGGGTGGGGAGGGTGGGGAGGGGCTGGGTGGGGAGAGTGGGGAGGGGCTGGGTGGGGAGGGCGGGGCTGGGTGGGGGGCGGGAGGGGTGGGGCTGGGTGGGGAGGGGCTGGTCACCCCGTGGTGCCCTTATAAAACTCAACGTTTAACCTACTCACGCCGGCTTGTGCCCGCCCTCACAGTCGGGCATATTTGCGGAATACACCACGCCGCCGTTGACCCTGGCCATTGACCGAGCAACCCAACGTTCCTACCAGCTCCCTCCGCAGGAATGTGTTTTAAGGGTGTGGGTAAAGAGTTTGGCAGTGACATTTCGGACTTTTGAGATGAGTGATATGGGGTAGCCATAGAGGAGAATAGCAGCAGTCCCGTTGGGATGAAGGCATTGATGAGGGTTTCTGTGACATCCGAAATAAGAAATGAAGGAGATGTTACACAGATGGAGGTATGAGGTCCTACAGTGTTGAGATCTGGGAAGAGAACACAAGCTCAGAATCAGTTAGTCCATCAGTATCTACTCATCTGGAGATTACATATACCTAATGAGATGACACATTGTGCATCTTTCAAGGCCAGATTTTCAGCAATACAGAATCAGTACATTTATGCTGGCGAATCTGATGAGCTATGAAGCTCTTTTTCATAGATATCCAGTAGGGGCAGGTAAGCAATTTACAACCAACAATACTGAAAACAATAGGAGTGCAAAGTAGAGAAAAGGTAAGCAAGTCACTTGAAATATATAAATACTAATACAGTAGAAAGTACAAATGGCATAAGTACACACATTCCTGCTGATTTTTCAACACTAAGTGAGAGTTTGGGAAAGGCAGGAAAACAACAACAAAAAGAATCCCAGACCACACCAAAACAACACACAGTCCCACAATAAAATGTAAACTATAAATACACGGGTAAGGATTAAAGTTCTTAAATGACATTTGCAAATGTGGTTGTATCAAGCACTAATCTGTTTGAGGGTATTTTTGAAGGAAACTTTACAATGTTAAGGGAGGAAACAGGGCTTTTTCAAAACGTTGTATATCGAGTGTTTTAGAAGATTACATTTATGAAGCCAAGATTTCACCAACTATACCAGTGTTAGCCAGTTACCCAGCTGCAGTCATTAACAACAGAGTTATTTAACACGTAGGCTTTCGCGAACAATACTGTATTAAACTAGATTCGAAGCTTTCGTGACTGCTCTTTGGTTCTTTTGGTAAAGTCACGGAGAAAATAAACTCAAATAATAATAGAATAAGACGTTTCGGTTGCAACTAAAGCAACCATCATCAGGTATGAATGAATGATGGATGTTGTTTCTGTGTTTTACCAATCATTCTTACCTGATTATGGTTGCTTGTGTTGCGACCGAAACGTCGTATTCTATGATTATTTTATTTTCTACGTGACTTTACCGAAAGAACCAAAGAGTAATACTGTATTATCCACAATAGAAGGTTTTTTTGGGGTAAGATTGCGTACATAGAAATGTGTCGTTAAACCCTACACCACCCTACACAGTCAATTTGTAAGGTTTGTCACAGAATATCCCAATTCGTTACTAGTTCAGCACACCAGTGTGTTTTAGAGAGTGAACCAACAACATTTACAAATCGAGTCCGACGTTTCGCCCCTAATGGGCGAAACGGTGGTGGTTGGTTTAACGACACATTTATATTTGCGCGATCTACCGCAAAAAAAAAACCCCTTTTATGGATTATAGAGTTATTGTTTGGGTGAAGAGGAGCCCAGCCAGTAACCAAGCAGGAAACTCGAGCCACAGAACACATTCCTGCGGAGGGAGCTGGTAGGAACGTTGGGTTGCTCGGTCAATGGCCAGGGTCAACAGCGGCGTGGTGTATTCCGCAAATATGGCCGACTGTGAGGGCGGGCACAAGCCGGGGTGAGTAGGTTAAACGTTGAGTTTTATAAGGGCACCACGGAGTGACCAGCCCCCTCCCCACCCCCCACCCAGCCCCTCCCCACCCTCCCCACCCAGCGCCTTCCCACCCTCCCCACCCAGCCCCTCCCTGCACGACGGACGGACGGACGGACACAATAATCCCCTGTGGGCTGATGGGACCAGTGGGTTTCTACCAGTATTATTTCTAAAAACTGCAGTGGTATGATTTTACAATAACATACATTATTGAAACCCAGTAAACTTCAGCCCTCCACCTCTGCTTTATGGTGACTGAATCAGTCGTGTTATTAAGTTTTTTTTTAGTCAATTGCTGTTACGTTAGTACGCGTAAATAAAATATTGGATGTTAACTACATTCTAAAAAAAAGAATAAGAAACATTATTTATTTGCAGTATACTGGACAGCCCCCATAACTTAAAATGCTCTCCATCCAATTAGCCTGACTTAGAGAGGTTTTTTTTGTATATGTCTTTACAAAAACATTTCAGATTGGCAAAATACTAATTTTACTTGAGTCATTAAAATTACAAATCTTACTGGAGTAATGTGACGAAGGCACACATTACAAATTCAGTGTTTTGTGTAATTAATAGCCAACTTTCGTGACAAGAAAGTTTTCTTTCATACTTATGTGTGTGCAGTATTATAATGCAGTTGTCTTTTTTGTTCTCTGATTTCTATTCGCTTGATTGTTGCATTTTTATCCCACGTTTTCACGTTTGTCATTTTGACACTCGCAAATGAGACTAACCCTGGTCTCTCTGGTCATTTCTCAACTTGTTAAACAAAATAAACATATACTTTAACACACAATACCAATTACTTCCATGGTGGGTCATTTAAATGCCAATTACAGAGTACAAATGTAACGAAATTACACATTTAATGTACACACCTAGAATGTGTGGCATCTCAAAAATAGCCCCAACAACATGAAACCGTGACCAAAAGGGCACGACTCCTATTGGCCGACACAGCCGACCAATCAGATCGCCGTATCTTACGTCACCACCCCCCCCCCCACTCACCTCCTTCCCCTCTCCCACCCACCCTATCCCCCCCCCACCCCCCGCAACAACAACATCTCGCGAGACTTGGAGGGGGCGAGGTGGTTCCACGCAAGCGAGCGCGCAAGATCTCGCGAGAAGTGGATGTAAACAAACCCCTTGCTGACAAGCGCTGGGCTTTGTGTCGAGGTGAGGCTGACGTTGTTGATACATTTTTTTCCCCCTCACGGAAATGTTTTTCCGAAAAAGGTTACAGTTCGAGGATAAGACTAAGACGACGAAGACGACGATGTTTAATTCCCCTGGTGTTTTAAATTGTTGTAATTACATCGTTGTTTCTATTGCGGTGGCCGAGAGGGCCGCTTTATGCTGGAGCGTCACTCGCGGCGTGCAGATTCGGCTTTTGAGACAAAAAAAATGTTGGAAAATATATTTCCCATCGATTGTGCTACTTTAAATTCTACAGTAATACTTATCGCCCGTTCGCCGGATTAGTTAATTTTTTTAACAATAAAAAACTATCGATAAAGTTATCCGAACAAAACAAAGGGAGGGCCCTTTGATTGAACGGGTGGCTGAACGGCGACGAATCGGGGCACCGCGGGGGGCGCTGCTGCCGGCTTGTCGTGCGATTCTTAGGGTTCAAGGGGGGCTCATAGAACCAGAGGAGGACATCAACAACAACAGCAGCAACAACAACAACAGCAGCAACAACAGCGGGGGTGGTGGGCGATTAGGCCGCCTCATCGCCGGCTGAGGCTGTAAGCGTCTCTCCTCAGACTCCCTGGCTCATCTCTCTATCTGTGTGTGTGCCTTGGTGTAAGCGCAGCAGCAGAGTTAGGCGCCGTTATCGAAGCGTGGCACAGTTAACAAAGTGCCCTCTCCCCCCTCTCCTCCCTCTCTCTGGGTTTGTTTGTCAACACTTGACGGCTGTCTTCGGGCCCGGCCATAATAACGTGGAATTTCCATCGCTTGCTTCGGGTGGTAGCGGCTGTACAAAAACAAAACACACGGGCTGAGAGAAAAGATTGCGATACTGTGAGCTGAAAAAGGCGTCTGGGACCTATTATTTGAAATTGTTGTGGTCATCGATGGAATTGTTTCGTCTTCAGGCCAAGTGAACGTTGCATAATTATTATTTACGGCCGTGTTTTTTCCCATACGTGGTGAAGTATGGTGAAGTAATCTCCACCACGTGTGGAGGGACGCACTCATCCAGCAGTGGATTGCCCAAGAGGGGTTTACGTCGGTGTAACACGTTCGCTTTCGCGACTAATATCCATACGATGTTATTTGGAGTTAGATCGCTTAAATATAAGTGTCTTCCCCTCCCAAATGACCTTTACACCTGAGGTACTCACAAGTGACATCACATTTATGCCCTCTATTTAAGAACGAAACAGGATTTCTCCACAAATCTGGCTGTCGCCTGATGTTGGTTGCTGTAATTACTGGCGAAACGTCGTACTCAGATTGTAAATGTTGTGGCTTGGCTCGCCAACACACCGGTTAGTGCTGTACTAGTACACTATACACTACACTACTATACACTACACTATACACTACTATACACTAAACTCTACACTATACACTACACTATACACTATAATACACTACACTATACACTACAATACACTACACTATACACTACTATACACTAAACTCTACACTATACACTACTATACACTACACTATACACTACACTATACACTGCACTACACACTAGTGCTGTACTAGTGACGAATTGGCCACGGTATGTTTACGTGACAAACCTTACTAGTTGGCTGTGTCGGGTGGTGGTGGGTTTAACGACACATTAACGCCATCTACCCCAAAACAAAATCTATAGGGTTAAACGTGATTTGAAGCTTTCGTGACTGCAACAATCCATACTCTTTGGTTCTTTCGAAAGCTTTCCCACCTGATGATGGACGCTTGTGTTGCGCCTGAAACGTCGTTATTTATTTTATTTTATACCTACGTGACTTTACCGAAAGAACCAAAGAGTAATGAAATGAAAGTATCTCAAGTTTGTAGTGCAGTGCGTTAACCACAAAAGTAATTGTGATGATTTTTTTAACAACGCATCAACATCACTGCTTTTGGAAACTGTCAGTACAGTATTCTGAACGATGGTTTTCTCTCCATCCTAACTTGTGACCTGGTGATGTGTATGGCGAACGTGATGTTATAGCAATACGGTCCAACGTGAATAGACGATTAGATTACTGTGGTTGGACACCAGGGTTATTGGGAGTTGACCTCACCTGGGTAGAGGCTAATTCTCACTCTCTGTGAGCTCGCGGCCATGTGAGAGTGACACGGGGCTGTGTCGGTCCCGTTGTTATTGCCATGCTGCGAGCCACAGCATTTGACTCTGCTTAACCGCATCAAGTCACGTTCGGATTGATTTTACCCAGAGTTCGATAAATAAACCTGTGTTTAAAAAAAATAAACCGATCGAACGGATGTTCTCATACAGTTTCCCCTCGGTAGTGTTGGTCGCAATATGTAAATTGCCTAAAGACAGGGGGAAGATTGCGACACAACCTCCATTGCGCGTGTGTTTTTGACTTTCGCGATTTCTTGATAGCCGTGTATGTTGACTATTGAGAGTTAGACAGGCTTGGTGGGTGTCGGATTCTAATACCGAGGCAGACGTGCGTGTTGTTGCCTTGTTGTGGGCGAGACAAGCGTGTGTGTTGAGTGTGTGTCAGGCGTGTGTGTTGTTGACTGTTGAGTAGAAAGTTAGGTGTGTTTTGACTCGATAGGGTTATGCAGGATTGTGTGTGTTTGACTGTTGTATGTGAGACATGCGTGTGTGTAGAGTGTGTGTCAGGCGTGTGTGTTGTTGACTGTTGAGTAGAAAGTTAGGTGTGTTTTGACTCGATAGGGTGATGCAGGATTGTGTGTTTGACTGTTGTATGTGAGATATGCGTGTGTGTAGAGTGTGTGTCAGGCGTGTGTGTTGTTGACTTGAGTAGAAAGTTAGGTGTGTTTGACTCGATAGGGTGATGCAGGATTGTGTGTGTTTGACTGTTGTATGTGAGACATGCGTGTGTGTTGACTGATGGGAGTGAGGGAGGTGTGTGTGTGTGTTGAGTTGACAGTGAAGCAGACGTTTGTGTTGACTGTTGTAGGTGAGACATGCGTGTGTGTTGACTGATGGGAGTGAGGGAGGTGTGTGTGTTGACTGATGGGAGTGAGGGAGGTGTGTTTGTTTACTGATGGGAGTGAGGGAGGTGTGTGTGTGTTGAGTTGACAGTGAAGCAGACGTTTGTGTTGACTGTTGTGCGTGATACAAGCGTGTGTATTGACTGTACAGTGAGGCAGGTGTGTGTTGACTGTTGTAGGTGATACAGGGGTGTGTTGACTGTTAGGGCGAGGCAGGCTTGTTTATCTGCTGTAGGTGATACAGGTGCGTGTGTTGACTGTAGTGATTGAGGCAGGTGTGTGTTGAATGGAGAGAGCGAGGCAGATGTGTGCCTATTGGAGAGTGAGGCAGGCGTGTGTTGACTGTTGATGGTGATGCCAGGGGTGTGTGTTGAAATGTTAGGGTGAAATAGGGGCCTCGGTTAGCACACTGTACTATTATCCCAATGACCTGAATTACATTCCTGGTCAAGGCTAACATCAGTGGTAAATATTTGAACTCATTCAGGGCATCCCATAGATAGACTTAACCTTAAAGCAGAACCTTCTATGATGTATAATCATCAGCACTGAGGAGACAAAGGTGGCTGGGCGTAGTGCTGGCCATACCACTCTCTGGTATAATATTCCGACCTTCATAGTAGCACACTAACAGCACTTTCTCCCGCAGCCTATGTCGGCTGTATTTGGGATACTGTATTTGTCTTTGGTCCAGACGGGCGCGTGTGTTGGAAGTGTTGTGGTTGAAACAGGTATGTTTATTGACTGTTGAAGTTGAGACAGGTGTTTTTGCATCTATTTCAGGATGGAATCTCCTTGGCGAGCGAGCCGGTGCAGTGCTGGTGGAGCCATCGTGCGTCCTCAGCCAGAGACGTGCGTTGTTGACTCACTTTACAAACACCGATGTCATCGTCATCATTGTGCCATCGTCCATGTAGTTATGTTCCCACTAAATAAATAAAACAACTCTCACGTTGCGTAATGGTGCCATCATCAATATCAGTCCTGTTCTGGCCAGTGCTGGATTAAGGTCTCCCTCTTGCCATTGTCATCCCAGACTTTTCCGTGATGCCATAGTGCATCGCAGTCCTGCAAGGCGCTGATCTCATCGCTCCTCTACTGTGGTCGCCTTGAGCATATTTTCTGTTTTGGTTTCTATCCCATGAACACATCTGTTGGCCATCATCTCTTATGGCGATATGTAATTCCCAAACCCAATGACTTTTCTTACCAGTCAGTACGATGCCCATAAATTGTTTGTTTCCTCATCGTTGTGATTATCTTCTTGTCTCTTCATGTCAATCCAAGGACAATTGTACAGCGCAAACGATGAAATAGTTTAATGGTGCAGTTGAAGCAATGAATAATAAATACTCTGCTATGATGGCCAAATAAAATGCATTTCACTTATACCATAAACTCAACCGCTTTTGTAAATGTTATTTCTGCAGTCGTAACAGCTAATGTACACTTGGTCACACGTGTGATGTTGAATGCTGTGTTCTTGTGGATTTTGCAGAGAGCAGTCGTACATGGATAGTGTGTTTACATTCATACAAGATGTTGTGCCGCAGGTGAGGCTGCCCGAGCCACGCTCATTGTGTTAAGCAAACACTCATATTTACACCAAACCAGCTCCTCTGATTAGCACGCTTGGCTACGTACTGTGCGAAAAAAGTTCAATACATTCAAATAACTCTTTTGCACACACTGTTCACAAATAAGCTAATATTTAAGTTAATGGTCAGAATCGACTTTCCCCCATCTAGTTTATTTAACTGAAAACTAACGGTCTGCTCTTTTTAAATTTAGTCCTTTGCATTTGCCATGCTTTGTACGGTGTAGCCATCATGTGTTATGTGCTCGGAGTGATTTGCAGTTTGCGGTCATGGTTGATGTGTATGCCTGCTTGTTGTGCCTGCATGCTGAGTTGCAGGCATATGCAGGCAGCCCAGTAACAGATGAGAAGGAGCGTGTGGTGTGGGTACGCTTTGAGAAGGCTGATCTCAATGGTATGAACTAAAGGCACACTGCACACATGGCAGTCTCCAATGAATATTGCACATCCATTAACACATTCCGTATCTGAGTACACACACAATTATTATTTATGTTTGACGTAACACGTCTATTTTACACGCGTAGTGTCAACTATTCAGAGACATGAGTTTCTAGGAGGCACCTTTATTATTAACAACTTCCACGGTCTCGTCCACAGACTCTCCGCAGTATATTAGCCTAGCCTGTACACAACACTAGCCGCCTAACACTGACGGCGCTGACTGAGATAGCCAACTGCTATCCTTCGTAGCGCGGAGACGTTTAGCCACGACGGCGACGAGACTACAGCAACGTCGAGACGAGTCCATTCCCAGAACCGGCAACCTCGACCTCCTCCTCTCGGCTCCTTTTATGCTCCCAGCACGGCCTGGCTCCGCCCTGACCGCGCCTCCCTTCTCGAACCTGCTAGCAGGTTCCAGGGGCCTCCAGATTGGGGCCCTCCATGACCCATGACCTAGTTCCTTCTCTCTGCCACACACCTGCACACCCTCACAGGCGTGTGTACTGTCTGTCTATCACAGTTGCCACTGCTGTCCACCAGCCAGCGCTATTACACTACGCATGTACGCATATCGCTTTTTGTTAATCAACTGCTGGATATGCACCTTCCAACGGTGTGCGGGTCGTGGTGGTTATTTGACCATACTTCATTCACTGCACTGGTCAGTGTGGGTTAGTGAAAGTGGAGAGCACAGGCATTATATATATATCATAATTTGCAACTGTCCGCCTGTCATGCTCTTTATCTCACAAACGGTATGTTGCACAGAACAAAAATCATTTAAACAAAAAGATATTTTTTTCTCAGCAAGGACCTGCCTGCAAAAGTGTCACTTTTCTGAATTAACATTTTGCCTCCAAAATGATGGAAAAACAACGTCCAATACAAACCAATGGGAGCCAAAATAATCGAAAAGATTGACTCGTATTTTATTGGAAGAATTGTCCAAAAGTTCGGCTCCCCATTGATTCATGCCGTTATCATCCCTTAACGCTTTGTTACTGTGGTGATGTTATTGTGCTTAATGCAGACTCCTGCAATGTTTGGGAGCAAGGGCACGGTTAAGTTATATTCTCCGCAAATGTATGGGCAGTGCTAGTTGGAGCATACTACAGCGTTAGATGTTGCTGTTCTGTGCATAGTGGTTGCCTATCCAAGCACTATGCAGGCTCTACCTTTTCTTAGCTTCACCTTTCAGGTTATTTCGTCATCGGCTTGTGTGTATTGGTTCAAAGATACTCTTGTTTTGTGTGCCGCTCATAATGGATGAGAAGCCCCGGGGATGTTTGGAGTATGGGCCTGGCCTTGATGCGTCCCGTGTTTTGGCGTGTGCTGCAGATGTGAGCAGAAACCCTGAGCTGTGGGAAGGCGGAGGAGGGGCAAGCACGCCCCCCCTACTGCTGATGTTGGGTTACAACACTGGCATGCACATATGGGGCCTGCCTGTAAGTGTACACCTTGTCTGATTTCACATGTACAATTCAATATGCATGTTTATTGGAAGAGTTTGTATCGCTGTAGTTTATCTTTAGATTATCTCTCACAGTGAACTAGGTTCCATTTCTACTTGTGATGGCGAATATCAGATACATAATTCTACTCCAGATGAGTCCTATATATATTTTTTTACATTCGAACATGAGTATTTGTACCAATGTATCAGTACTAATACTATCACTGCCTCACTAAGAACACTTAATTATTTATAAAGGATAGTCCTTTATAAATGTAGTCATTTAAATACATTGCCTTTGTATATGGCATGTGTATCACCCAGAGAACATAACTACTCGGAGTGAGACTTCATTCACATTGCTTTGTTCACCTTACAATACCACACAGTTTGGATTGTTAGAGTGTTTTAAGTACAACTGTTGCTCAATGTGTTGTATAAAAGAGTGGGGTATGTTCATTACACTTTTTAGCTGTTTAACTGTAAGTGCCATGTTTGGAAACAGCATACGCGAGTGTCCCTTGTTACATCTGTTGTCCAATGCCCTTGCGTTGAGTGTAGGTCAGTGGAGAGGCTCAGGAGTTGTACTCGGTGAGGAGTGGCCCGGTCAGATGTGCTCGCCTGCTTCCCACACCACACTCTGGTGAGTGAACGTTGGCTACGGACAAGCCATGAGTTGCAATGCGTACCATAAATCTCACTCTGCTTGTTGCTTGGCATTTACTGATTCTTTGTGTTTGGAAGAGCAGTTTGTATTGCCTCTTGTTCATTGTTTCATTTGCGTCATTCGCCTAAATTACATATTTACATATAATTAGCATAATCTGTAAATACATTTTTTTATCCCATGGTTTGGTGTGTGTATCATGAGTGTAGAAATCGGTTTAAGAGATTATTCGATGCAGTTGTCTATGCCTATGTGTAAATAATGAAAAGTTCACAATAGTGTAATCTTCAACCATGAATAAGACGTTTTCTGGGTCTCGGTGTCATCCATTCCACGTCACACCACAGGCGTGGACAGTAAAGACCTGTTTGCAGACAAGCGGCCATTACTAGCCACGTGCGATGGAGCCTCATCCACCGGGTGAGCTAAGCCAGCTTGCTCACTGAGCGCCCACCTGCCAATCACTGTTTTGTGGCATTTTTGGCACACTGGCTGTCACGTGATTTCATGGCACTAACCCCCTACGCGACGTATCCGCCACAGGTCTCAGCCATACTGCGGTGTGGAGGTACGCTCATTGCGTACAGGAGAGGTGGTGAAATCCATTCAGTTCAAAACGCCCATCTTTAATCTGCATGCCAACCACAGGTAGGTATGAGAGGGTGCTTATTCATTTTCTGACCCTGTGATGTGTCGGCTATGTTGTTTACATTAATTGGTGTGAGACACTTGATTCAAGGACTTGGTAAAATCTTAAAAATGGTGCTCCAGATTATTTCATTATTATGCAATTGTGGTAAGTCATCCGAAACGGCATTCAATATTTCTCATCCAGATTTGAAAGCAAAAGGAAATGAATGCTGCCTTAAGGAATAACAGTTTGATCATGTAAAACATTTTTAAATACCAATAAAACTTTGTGATGAAAATCAAATGCATGAAAAACGATCAAAATTAACTTATGGTGTAATTATTGACAATTTTTTTTCGGTTAGCTTGGCTATTGTTTATAGTTTATATTGTGTGTATGTATGTGTGTTAGTTGCATTAGTTGTACCAATTTCTGGGTTCATTGTGTAAATATATGCGGTTATCTTGGTGACAACTATTTTCCACAGCACATCTGTGTCATTTAGACACAATTCCAAATGATGTATTTGTGGCTAATGGTCTGAACCATACTAATTTAATATTTTGTATTTGTGAGTGTGTAGGGTGCTGGTGGTGGCATTACAGGAGAAATTGGCAGCTTTCGATAGCCGTACACTCGTCAAGACCTTCTTTATCACAAGTGAGATGACAGCAAAGTTCTTATTTTGAACCGTTGCAAACCCACCATGCTAGTCTTCAAAGCACACGCCAGTATTATCGGTGACCTTTTATAGGAATAATAGCAAGTCACACAAGCATTCGCGTACATATTTACTTGGGCATTCCGGACACTTTTGGGGTATTTCTATGGATGGAGATATATTGTATTTAAATGGATGATTTGTATGGTTTTAATTGATATTCTTCATTTATTGGACATAAAGCGCTTTACAAATATTTCATAAAAATAAGATGGACCCACAGGCACAGAAAAAGTGTACGAGTATCCATAAGAAATAGTACTGCACTTATTTTAATATTTGGTGTCACACATTCCCAAACATATGTCTGCATCTGTCGTGTACACATTTGCATGGAATATGTAAATTGGCAAAATGTAAATGTTTTTGTTCAGAATGTAATTTTAACTCTGAATCATTGTGTTGGTAAAGCACATGTACCAAAATCGGTCTGATAGTGATTCATCCTACAACTAGATAAATTCACTAATATGACTGACAAACGTATATGATGTGCTCACAGTAAAAAAAAAATGTGTATACTTTAGACTTGAAGCTTTCGTGACTGCAAGGAATCATATTCTTAGGTGTTTTCGGTAAAGTCACGTAGGTAAAACCTCAAAATTAATAAAAATAATAAAATAAAATAAAGATCACGACGTGATCTTTATTTTATTTTATTATTTTTATTAATTTTGGAGATCACGTCGTGATCTTTATTTTATTTTATTATTTTTATTAATTTTGATGTTTTACCTACGTGACTTTACCGAAAACACCTAAGAATGTGTATACTTTCTTCATCCACAAATACAGTATTCGCTATATTCATGAAGTCTTAATGTTGCATATGTGTTGTTATTCTTGTGTGTCCTTTACTGCCTCAGGTTGCTACCCCAGTCCAGGACCGAACCCAAACCCGCTGGCACTCGGGTCACGCTGGCTCGCTTATGCTGACACTAAGGTTGGAGCGCGCTATGTATGTTGCAACGCAAGTCTCACATTTCACATCCTCATTATTATGGGTGCAACAATTTACAATCCTCCCCCCCCTCTCCCAAACCCATTACATACAGCATAAACTCATGAAAGACATTTATTCTTACACACACAATTGATTGCATGTATCATGAGCTGAATATAAACCGATATTAATTGATATGTTGACGCATCATTGCACCCATATTCATTGACCTTTTAATTGAGAGTATGTTAGATGTTTGTTGTCTGCATGTACTACATGGCGATGTCGAACATTTTTGCACGATGCCTTGCTCATGTTGTGGCCTAAATGGGGCGCACAGGTGTGCCGGTACGAGTAGTTCGCCGCTCTGCCCTGCGTGTATTTGGTGCCGTTGTCAGTTGGTACAGAGGCACCAGACGTATGGTGGAGTGAGCGGAGATGCTGTGCAGTCCTACACTGCCACTGTGATCAGTGCTGCCAAGGTACCCCTATGCATGCACCATTCATGTCCCGTTCTGGTGAAAATTAAGTCATAAACATTTGTCTGCTTCATTGTGGCATCCTATATAATCTATTGTTTGATTGCCCTTCGTTGGCCGTTTTGTCACGTGTGCAGACAATTCGCTCTGGCCTGTCTCTGTTTGGAGAGGCAGTCGGCAGGCTTGCCGGTGGGGTACGTGGAACGGGGATGGGCCCGGGGGGCTGTGAGGAGGATGGGGGTCCACCCCCTACACCACGCAGACATGCACACCTTCCTGGGATTGTCACCATCATCGACACTGAATGTGTCCGGCATGGGCAGGTGCGGGATGCGTATCGTCTCACTCACGCTCTTGTGCCTGTCATCTAATATTGTCGTTTGATGCCAACCCTTGATCGGTTTTGTACGAGAATTTTGTTAATGCGAAAAGAGTGAGTGAAATTTTACGTAGATGAAATTTTTATATCTTGGATGGTATAATTTTACATCTTTTTCACTTGTTTTATTATACTTTGTGTAAATGTGTTTGCCTCTGTACTACATACTTATGTGTTTTGTATGTGTCCATGAAAAAAAGAAAAACCTGGCAAGTGTCTAAAAAATTTTGATCTATTTTTCTACCTATGTGACTTTACCGAAAGAACCAAAGAGTATGTATAAATAAGCTTGGAGAGATGTAAGCCTGATATTACATTGAGAACGGGAAAGAGGTACACATTGATTACGGAATATACGCAATTTACACATCATTAATTGTTAGCAAAAAGTATGTGGGCTTGAGCAGCACACATCATTTGAAGCAATGATGGTCGGTGGTTGAAACTAACAATTGGAGTGGCAGCCATAGGAGGAACCACGACCGGAATGACTTTCACCACGGAGATGGAGAGGTTACTTCAGCTCATGTGGAGGTGTGAGATGGATTTCTATATTGCAGGAGGATGAAATTTCGACAGCTTGGGGGGAGGCCTGCATCCAGCAGTGGCTTGATTGTTGTTGATGATGTCTATTGTTTTGGTACACTCTTCTTTCAGGCACATTGCTTGGCTCAAGTGCAGTACGAGTAGTAGTTGTTGACACTGTAATGTGTTGTGTGTAGGTGGAGGTTTGTGAAGAGGGAGAAGGGGATGGGGTTGTGGCTCATTTCCCAGCACACGACGGTACCCCAATCTCGGCCATGACCTTCGACCCTAGCGGTGAGTTCATGTTTTTGTATATGGTTTGCATAATCCCTAGGTAGGTAAGGGTTAAGGTCATCGTTGGTTCCAAGAAAATATTTTTACTCTTTGAACTTAATGAACCCTTTGCCCGAACCATAGGCAATAATTTGCTCTTACTGTGCACCTGATAGATGAGCTCTTTAGAGACCTGGTCCAGCCTTAAACTAATCTATGTTAATCATCGTAAGTGGTAATGTTTTACAAAAAAATGGTATAATATAGAATGATTACATAGCGTAATTTATGGAATCGCAATACACTCAATGCTGCACTATCCGCAAATATGGAGGCGCATGTATATTAAGATGTTGCCAGCAAAGTAATGAGTATTTATACACGTGGGAAAAACCTGAGAACACCCACGCATGCGAGGAGGCACCACTATCCTATACTGATGGGGACAGATGATAGTGCACACTTGCTGTACCATCTTCCCTTGACGAGCCAGGGTATGGCACCTCGATGACCATGGGAAGGGAGTTTCACAACATTTGTGTGATCTACCAACCCTCGCTTCCACAGTGTAGGATTATAAGCATGTGCATAACCACCGCCGCCCCTTTAACCACCTGGAGTGGTTGAGGTGGTTTTTAAAGCATATTAAGTCAAGAATGTCAATAATTTTCAGCCCTTTGTCTCGTCACTTGGATAGAGGCCTCTCCATGCAATGTCAGTCATTGGGGTTGTTTGACCATACTTCGCTACAATGGTCAAACATGGGTTGAAGGGGATGGGTGTACAGTACCGATTCAGATAAACTTGCAAATTAATGTTAGACGTGGCTGGAAATTGAACTCGGGTCGTCAGGTTCGCCACACACCACCACGTGAGCACTCTGCCGAAGGATGTAAAAATGACATAGGATTGAAACTTTTGTGACTGCAGCAATTACCGTACTCATTGGTTTTTTCGGTAAAGTCACGTATGTAGAAATAAAATAAAATTGAACTAAATAAAATTAAATGAAAAATTCTGATGATGATTGCTTGTGTTGCGTTCGAAACGTCGTGAATTAATTTAGTTGAATTTTATTTTATTTCTACATACGTGACTTTACCGAAAAAAACAATGAGTAATGTAAAAATGACTCGCTTGAAAAACAAGTATAACTGTCTCCAGTCTATTGTTACATATGAGTGGTGCCAACACATTGCTTTGGTATGAATACATCACATGGCTCGAATACTCAGAAAATATACCTACTTGGCATCAACTCGCCTTGAATGCGTGGAATTGATAGTCTGACAGCATTTCCATAATATAGGGTTTTTTTGGGTCAGATCGTGTAAATATAAATGTGTAGTTCAGCACACCGGTGTGTTGGAGAGTAAACCCATAACATTTACAATTCGAGTCCTGCATTTTTTGCCGGTAATTACAACCAGCCTCATCAGTTGACAGCCAGAATTGGCTGTGTTGGGTGGTGGCAGGTTTAATGACACATTAATATTTATATGATCGAACCCAAAAAAAACCTTATGGATAATATTTGTCACGAAAGTCTACGTGTTAAACTGACGGTATTTGTTGGCAATTGCATGTGCTGTATTAGGAAAGAACTTTTTGACATTTCTTGCAAAATCTTGCAATCAAGCATTTTTGTGGTTTGGCTTGAAACTTCAGTGGGAACGGTTGGTGTTGGTAACATTTGTCTTTGGAAATATGTTTGGATCCGCAACTGTTGTGACCACAAATTTTAAGGTTCTCGTATGTGTTATGGTTTCCTATTTTTCTCTCGGGGCCATTATTTGTGAATTGCCAATCATCAGCCTTCTTGCTGTGGTGATGCCCTCAACTGGTTTTTATGATCGTCTCCATTTTTGTTTTGTGTGCTCTGACTTATTTCATAATGGTCCTGTGTGTTAAATCCTTTAGCCTCTCCATCTATTTTCATAACTCTTCTCTTGTGCTTTAAATTTGATCTCCGTTTACTTTCTAAACTTTCTCTCCACTTTTTTCTTCTTGGTTCTTTCGGTAAAGTCACGTAGAAGGGAAGTAATAAAATAATAAAAATAAAACATAATAAAAGCAGCCGTCCTCACCTGAGGACGGCTGCTTGCGTTGTGGCCGAAACGTCGTGAGAATTATTTTATTTTATTATGTTTTATTTTTATTATTTTATTACTTCCCTTCTACGTGACTTTACCGAAAGAACCAAGAAGATGAATCCCTGCAGTCACGAAAGCTTTACATCGAAAAATTTCCCTCCACTTTTAGTGCACTTTCCTACACTATGCCAGTGTATATATCATGACTGATGATGATGAATTGTTGTGACCACAGCGTGTACTTTAAATTGGGATGTTGATACCATTTAGGGGGTGTGACACGTACACATTGGCCTAGCATGGTTGGCATGGACCCTGGTGCATGGAATTAATGTGGGCCCCTCCTATACGTGGGCCCCAGTGAAATTTTACCGCTTGCACACTCGACAGCTACGTCACTGCGCTTGCACTTGATTTCACAATGCTTCTCTCCAGGGTTGCTGCTCGTGACGGCCGATGCTCAGGGTCACGACTTCCACGTGTTCCGCGTGATGGCTCATCCGCTCGTGTCGGCGCAGGCTGCCGTGCACCACCTCTATACGCTGCACCGCGGGGACACGGACGCACAGGTGAGCACCGTCCCAACACACCTTTTTGTTGTACAAACGCGTTTCCCTCTGTGTAGTGATGCACGTGCACATTATGTACACCGACAGCCCTTTTGTCAATCCACTGCTGGATGAGGGCCTTTCCTTGCCATGCGGGTGCCGAGGGTTGTTTGACCTCAACATGACCAGGATAGTATAATTTCATTGTGGGTTGGTAAAGGCGGAGAGCATAGATTAGTGTGTATGGAAGTATCATACGGCAGTGGATTTTGCTGTACTGAATTAGCAAAAGCGCTGTTCGCATACAATATGTTTCTTACATCCATGTTTCGTGATGTACAAGAGACAAAGAAGACGTGATTAAAACGGCTATACAGATGTTGGTCCAGGGCAGGAGAAGACGAGAGAGACCGAGCATGAGATAGGACGATGTAGTGGAATGAGATACGAGTACAGTGGATGTGACTTGGTAAGAGGTAAACGGTAAAGCACATGGAAAATGAAAATAGCATTTGGCTCCATGCAATACTGGGACTCTTGCTGAGAGGAAGACGATGTGAATTATGTATGCATGTCCTTGCGTGCAGGTCCAAGACCTCAGCGTGAGCGACGACGGGCGTTGGGTGTGCGCCTGCACCCTGCGCGGCACGTGCCACGTCTTCGCCGTGTGCCCCTATGGCGGCGTGAGCTGCGTGCGCACGCACACCACCCCTCGCGTTGCCAACCGCCTAAGCCGGTTCCATAAGAGCGCAGGCCTCGACGAGATGGGCCCAATCTCCTTGCAGCTGCACCAAGTGCAACAGATGCAGCTACAGCATGGCGCAGGCGGGTCTGGGGCAGGTGGAGCCGGTGGTGCCGGGGCTGGCGTTGGCGCGGGGAGCCCTGCGCCCAGCCCAGGAGCGTCCCCTCACCATGGTAAGGTCATTCATATTTTAACTCTTCAGTGTGTTTCAGGGTTGTGCCGCATGCATTCAATTCATGAAGAAGCTCCCAGCACATGGAGCAAAACGTTGGAAAAATAACATTGGAGAGCATTGTAGAACAATTGTTACTGTGTTTCAGGCTTACTTGTTTTGTCACTATTGCTTGTATGGTATGTCCAGAAATTGTGCACATCTCTTGCGTTTGTATACAATTTGTTTATGAGTGTGCCCTGTTATCCTCGTAGGCATAGCGGTGTCAACGCCAAGTTGGCACCCAGTGCAAATTGGTGGAAGAGAGGTCCTTGAGATATAAACATAGAAATGAAAGAAACGAGGAAGGCATTGAGAAGCCTAGAATGAGACTTGCACAAAGACAGAGAAAGAGAGTAAAAGACTTGGAGAGAGGTCTTGAGAAAGAAATGGACAGCGTCTATAAGATGTGAGGTCTCTTTTGCACAAATATATGTGGCACATATGTGAAGATGGTACGGCTCACTGGGTGTATTGAATGTCGTGTGTGTTCTTGCGTGCCCCAGGCAAGCTATCCAGGCAGGAGGTGCTTAGCAGCCGCTCCAGCTTCAGCTACGGGAACCCACGCTTGCCGCCCTTCCCCCACCCAGGCGTCACAATTCCACTCGCGCAAGTCAAGCAACCGCTCACCCTGGGCTCGCTCACTACCGGGTAACCACGCCACATGCCCTGCTCACGGCGTGTAGCACCACGCTGCATGAGACCACTATGTCTGAATAAAGTGGTCTCAGGCAAGCAATGCGGGAGTGCTCATGTGTGATTGCCAGATGCTTAGATTCAATGTGCCATGTCTTGCACACCGCATCACGCATCATCACGCATTCCCAACATTACGGCACTCATGACTGTGAAAACATCATTTTACATTGCATTACTTATGTAGCGACCTGAATCCCATTGGTGGATTGCATATGGTGGGGGTGAAGATGTCGGCACTCTCCCTTCTTCCTATCGATGTGGCTAGTGCATATAAACATGGTCTATTGCCTCTTTAGAGTGAGGTCCTCTGCCCCATATTGGATTGATTCCTAAATCCTGATAGATCTTGCCTTAGCAGGTTATCTGCTGTGCATATTTCCATTGGAACCCCGTTGTAGTAACGCATAACTGTGGACTTTCATGGGCTATCCCACATGCCGACCCTCATTGAAGCCAAAGACGCAGCATGTCACCATGATGTGTAGGCATGTGACCAGTGTTCCTTTTTATGTAATTTCCCACCTATTGTTTATTGAAGGATGCATGAAATCCTGTGCAGGCATGTGTGGTACAGGGTAGACTGTGACAGACATGAAACACCTGCACAGTGCTAGCCGAGATCACACAGTCTCCTTCCTTCTCTCTCCCTCTCTGTGCCTTTCCTTGCCTAGGCCTGGCCTCTTTGCCACTGGCTGTCTGGCTATTACACCACCCTGGTGAGTGGGGTGTGCGGTGTGATGTGCGACATAAGTGTTGGTCATGTGGTGGACTTTCTAGGGCATTCACACTCACCATATCCCCCACCTGTGGTCCACCCTGGACGCATTTGCAAGCATTAACCTGCTTGCACTTGTGCCAAATATATTGGACAAAACTGGTCCTTTACGTTTTCTGTTGGTTCAAAGGTCTGACGAGTGTAAATGTGCACCGGATCGAAACGAAGTTCTGGTCTGTCTGTATTGAATAACACAAGCACAGTGTTCTGCAGAAGTCTTGTTAGTACGGTGTTATCATTTTCTGGATGATATTAAACATTCCCCATTGCTCTGTATTTTTAGTGCGTGCCTGTGTTTTGGCATAATGGTTACTCACTTAATTAAAAAACATGTATTATTTGGTTCTTTCGGTAAAGTCACGTAGGTGAAAAAAATAGAAATAACTAAATTTTATATGTATAACTGTTTATATATTTTTTATTTTATTCCTATTTTTATTTTTTCACCTACGTGACTTTACCAAAAGAACCAAAGAGTATGGATCCTTGCAGTCACGAAAACTTCAAATCTAGAACGAAAAACATGTCTTTATATGTATATGGAAAATGTGAATTCATTTTAATGCAGAAGTATTGTTTCAAGATTGAAGTTGATTTGCAAAAGTCGTATTATTTCACCGTTTGCTTTGTCACGTGCTGGTAGTCTGCTGTTTACTGTATAAACTCATAACTTGTGCATAGTTTGACCTTTGTGTCAAACAGTGTCAGGTTTAATTATAATAATGTACATTTACTGTGAAACCTGTGTTGTAGATTTGGGATAAAAATGTAGTCGCATTTGTTTTTTTGTATTGATTTTCCTTTGCAGTTTGTGTTATTTGTGTTTTTAGCACATTTAAAGTAAGAGTGGTGTGTGTAGAATTTGGAAACTATTGTCACAGTCCATAACTATATATAATAATGTGTCATTTTAATATTGTATTTATAAGTACCTCATGTTGTATGGCTATTGGGCAAACATATTTATGAGCCATTATTTGTCTAGCATCCTCCAAGGTTACAGACACCTCCAAGTTAGAGAAGTTATTTTGGAACACGAGTAGCTCGAGTATCATTCAATTTCTGTGAACTAATTAGGCATTTTGGCAGTGCTGGTGGTGTCACGTGTATATATTTTGTTGACATGACTTTCCAGCATGCTCAAGGAAAGTCACCTCTCTCTTCGACTTCACAATTCACGTTATTTGTCCGGAGACCTGCAATATTAAACTAAACTGTGACACCCATAGGCAATGGCTGTCACCATGTATGGTGGATTTTAACTGCACAGCAGAATAATTTATTTCGAGTCGGGTCTTTCCAGGTTTTCGACCTGGAAAATATTTTCACACCCAGCACATCATATCCAATATCCTTCTCTCACCATGGTTGAGGCCACTTAGTGATATGCCTCCAGCCTACCAGCGACCCCCCCCGAAAATATTAATTTAGAAATTAAGCGCTGCCTGGGAGGCATGCCAATAATAAACCACTCGGCTCAATGGTTTACAACCCCCAAGAGATTTGGGGTCATGATTCAGTTCAAGACTGGATTATTGTCTGTCGCTTTTGCTGTCTTTTTTTTGCATTCCATTTTTTACGTTTCATTTGTACAAATCAGTTTGCTCTGTTTCGCACCTCCAATTAGCAAGGTTAGCTATGTCCGCTGCGAAAAAAGTTCAACATACGTTCACAATGGTAACAATAGCTGATAATTTTTATTTAATGCTTGTAATTCATCTGTTCCCATAAGTAATGAGCATAACAATCAATTTTCATCAATGATCCGATACATCATTGCATGCCTAATAAGTATTCATTTTTTGTTGAGAACCTGGTGAGAACCCATTCACACACATGACTTCATCATCATAATCGTGAGCCATGCTCACTCCACTGCCGAATGAAGTTCTCCATCTTCCATGACGCAGCAACCCATACAGCACCTACACGTGAGCTGATTTAATTGGTCCGTCTCCGAAGGGGATTCATCTGTCCGGTGGTGTGGCGGACCTGTGAGAGTGAGCTCTAACGGCGTTGCACGTTGTGTCCTGCCTCACAGTAAGGGCGCTCCGCGCACGTCTCCCCAGCCAACGGGCGGCGTGCGTGAGGTGTGCGTGTCGGCGTGCTTCGCTCCCTCCCACTCCCCCTTCAACACGGCTGCGCACACCCGCGAGAAAGGTATGCAGTACACACAAAGACAAAGATCCTCTGACAGACTTTGGAGCAAGTGCTGTTAGCGAGCACTTACGATGGCTGCCACGGCACACGAGTGGGTGGGTGGCCAGCACCATGCCTGGCCGCCTTTGTCCCCTCGTGGCAATGTTTAAACATCACACCAAGTACTTATTTGAGGCTGAGTCAACCTAGGGGATGCCCAGCATTGGTTCAGATATTCATCACCAATTAGGCTATGAATGGGAATCCAGCTCGGGTCGCTGGGTTTGTACCGCACATACACACAACGATTCCTCGTATAGAGATGCAAGTGCTGTTAGCGAGCACCTATGGAGTGGTGTTAGTGAACACGAGCACAGAGCATGAGGAGGTGGTGTGGCAAGCACCACGCTCATCCTCCCTTGTCTCCCTGGTCCTGGATGAGTTTACCTCGGGGAGACTAGTTCAAGTATTCGCCACTTATGAAGCCGTGAATGGGAATTGAACTCCAGTCGCTGGGTTCGTGGTTAATTAACCACTACAGAACCGCACATACACACACGAACTTCCAATAATCGACCCACAGTGATTACTGTTACCTTGTCATGCATCAGTAGTCCTTTGGACATTAACTGATATTATTTAGTTTAATGCATCTGTTGCAAGCAACACATAAAAAACTATAATTTATGCATCAAAAATGCATCCATTTTACCAAAATTTTACATCAATTCTTTAGTCCAGAGTTGTAGAACCTATGGCCTGCATGTTAGATACAGCTGGCAACTTGATTTCATATGGCCCGTGGCCACATGAGACTAATTACTTCCAAACAATTGATTTATCTATCGCTGCAAGCATCGTGCATGACTGCGGGTATCTACTGATGCCCGCAGTAGTGCGTGGTGAATGCTTGAGAGAAATGCTCAATACACAGCCTAACCTGGAAGAACGTGCATGCCACCATTTTCCTTCATGTGAAACAGCCTGGCAGTGACCTTGGATACGAAGCTGTGCGAGTACGCTTGTGTCAGTGAGGCATGATGTGGTGGAATTGTGCGGTGTGATGTGTGGTACAATTATTTAATTTGATGGTTGCTGTACAATGGTGCTATGTGACACTTGCTGTGGTGTGCTAGTACAGTGCATTGGTATGGTGTGACTTTGCTGCGGTGTGATGGTTTGGTGTGATGATGCGACGGTTGCAGTGTGATGCTTAGTGTGGTACGATGGTGCGGTAGGATGCTTGATGCCGTGCGAGGGCACGTTGTGACTCGTGGCGTCGTACAGTTGTGCTTTACCATGACGTGACTTTCGATGCGGTGGGATGGTGTCGTGGTACAGAGGCGCACGCAGTGGCGGGCTCGCTCTTTGTGCTGTGCTCCGTGGGCTCGCTCGTGGAGCACACCCTGGAGCCACACCCGGCGGTCGGCGTCACTCGCATCTGTGACGACACGCCGCTTGAGCTGTCCTGCACCCCCAACGCCAATTGGGGCATCGCCAGGTACACGCCTCTCCTCCACAGTCCACCGGTTTACACTTTAATAGTCTTTGTTGCTGTTAAAAATAAAGCCCTCACTGCCTTCATTGTTTAACCCTTGCCTTATTTACGAATAATCATGATGATTTATAGTCCATTATGAATCCACTACTGGATGAACACCTTCACATGATGTGTCAGTTTGGGAGTTGGATAATACTTGACCGCTGTGGTCAGTGTAAGTTGGTGAAGGGGATGGGTGCCTCGGACCAGTTCTGATGTTACTTTCCACTGATGTGAGCTGCGGTCAGGAATCAAACTTTGTTTGCTAGGTTCATGGTTCAGTGTGCGTGTCTCATCTCTTTGCGCCGTGCCATATGTCTGTTAACATAACATTCGTACATCACAGTGACATGTAATTTATATAATCAAAAATAATGGATTTTTGGGAAAGTTATTTAATTCCTGTATCATTAGGTCCAGAATTGAGTTTCACTGATGCACCATTCTAGACCTCGTGTCATGTATCAAAAGGTTTTACAAAGAAGGACCCACCACAACATTGAAACTAGATGAAGAGAACAGGAGAATATAAATCAGATGATTAGTTATAAAATGAGATATGCTCTCACCAACACTTCATAGCAACAATGGAAATATATTTTAAAAATTCGATTGGCAAAATTAAGGCATAAAATATTAGCCGATGACAGTCGATGTATAACAAAAATACCTAGAGGTAGGAATCGTTTCCTATCGCTAATTTTTCAAAAATAATGCAGCATTCGTCGATAAGAACAGAAGTCATATACAACAAGTTTACTAAACATAAAGTAATTTGCTGAGGGACGCAATTATTTTAAACACAGTAGAGTATGTATTCCTAGGACAGATATTGGAGGCAGATAAGGATCTGAATTATTAAATAGAGTCCGCAAGAGCAGGTTGGAACACTTTTGGAAAGCTGACTTAGATAATGAAAATCAGCATGCAAAGTGCCTGAAGAGAGTGTTTAATTCGTGCATAATGTCAGCTATGGCATAGACCAGAAACATGGCATATGACACAGTTTTACATTGAGGGGAGGTCTTCCAATAGCAGATAGTTATCATCTGATGATACAAAAATTCATAATCGATTTCCAATTATGAATAATATTGGTTGTGAAAGCCTACATATAAAATTGATATTAATATCGCTGCAGTCTCCTTTATCCTTTTTACTTCATGATTTGTTTAATGGAATCTTAGTTTATAGAAACCGCCGTTAAAGTATGAAGCGGTGTAAAATGTATTTTGAAAGAGTAAGTGTATTTTTGTTCACGATGCAGACAAAGCACGAATTCTGGTAAGACAAGCCCTTTAGGCGTGTGTGCATGCTGTTTTTGTGTTGGTGTGTTTTTCAGGAGTACCCATTGGGCCGAGCTGCGACCCCCATTCCACACAACTCACCCCTTAATGCTGGCAGCCGATGCAGTACAGGACGCACCTACACTCCCTTCAGGTCAGCACTGAACACCCATGTATTTTTTTAAGCTGTTCCTCGCAATCTTTTTTTCTGATTGCGCCTTTAGCATTATGTCCTGAAAGGAAGACCCCATTCAGATTTCACACAGTGTAATGCAACCCTTTTTCCGAGAAAATACATACAGAAGCGGATGTCACAGAGCTACCTTTGAGATCGGTTCAAGTGATATCTTTTCCACACAGTGAGGGGCAGCAATTTCCCAGCTTCTCGAAGCTGGGATTTAGCCCAATTTAGTGTAGAAACACATTTTAAATGATTATATTTTGTACAGTAGTTGGTGACCAGGCTGAGACCATTAGCTCACCACTACATTTGGGAACCCATTTTTAATCACATGCGGCTGCCTGGATGTGAACTCAGTATCTCAGCGGTGCCATCTCGGTGCTCTTGACTTCTTGACCTCTGAGCTACTTGGCCCCCAGTGCACTGACCTGTTTTGTAATGTGTGTACATGTACACTGACAAAAGCATTGCATTATGAACATTTCTTAAATGGTGTTGGGGGATTTACAAAGATGTATAACAACGAAATTATGGTCAGTCTCGTGTATGTTTAATTAGGGAAAATACTGCTCAGCATATTTTACATTTGTCTCAGAAAATTAACTTTTATCAGCAATCATGGATATGCTGGAAATGAAGTAATGACAACAAAAAGGGCTGTATTACAAACGTTATCACTTGACCTGCTTTGATAGTGACAATGAGAGAGATGTAACAAACTAACTGCCCATCCATCATGGCAGTGCATTCGTGTAATTGATGTAAACAAAGAGCGTTTACTACACACTGGATGGATATTTTAATGTTTGGAGTTTGATCATCGTTTGGCAATGGCTTTGGATATGCTTAGGATGCGAGCTGTGTCTGTTGCAGGAGTGTGTGCACGTGCAGGCAGGGGATCCAGTGAGAGCCTAACATCGGAGCCTGAGGATGAAGAAGATGATGAGTGGCTCTCTCAGGTTCCCCAATATCACCACAAACAGAACCACCCCAACCAGTACCATTGCTTTAACCACCAGCAGCACCACCATCAAAATTACCAGCACCACTGCTATCCGCATCAGCCCCAGCGCCACAACTATGTCATGTCATGTCATCATAATTATCACCTCTCAGCAGTTATTAACTTTCACATATCCACAAAAAGGTGACTGCCTACTATTGGCAAAAGGGCCTTCCACATTGAGTGTGTTTTTTGTACACAAGAGTATTTTGTGTACAAGTAATTTAGGATTCTCAGACACTGATCAGTGTCTGAGAATCAAATTCAAACTTGATTTTAAGCTTTCGTGACTGCAGCAATTACTCTTTGTGTGTCTCTGTGTTGTCTCTCTCTGCTTGTGTGTCTGTCTGTGTGTCTCCGTGTCTGTGTTTTGTCTCTCTCTCAAATTTAGTTCTACCTGATGACGGTTGCTTGTGTTGCAATCGAAACGTCGTATTCTATTATTTGATTTATTTTATTTCTACGTGACTTTACCGAAAGAACCAAATAGTAATGAAATGAAAGTCTCTCAAGTTTGTAGTGCACTGCGTTAACCACAAAAGTAATTGTGATGATTTTTTTTAACAACACATCAACATCACTGCTTTTGGCAAATGTCAGTATTCTGAACGATGGTTTTCTCTCCATTCTAACATTTGACCTGGTGATGTGTCGTGGTGTATGGTGAACGTGATGTTATGTTAATACGGGGCCGTGCGGGGTTTGTAAACGCTCGTGTCTGTGCCGCAACAGGTGGAGATCGTGACCCACTCGGGCCCCCACAGGCGGCTGTGGATGGGCCCCCAGTTCACTTTTAAGACCCTGCAACTCCCCCCGGGGCAGACCATGCTGGTGTCCTCTAACTCCTCTGCACTGTTGTCGCACACCGTGCCCGAGAGCGCGCACGCTACTCATGCCGCGCACGCTCCCCACTCGGACACACTGGATGTGTGCAGCCTCAGGTAAGTGCCACTGAGCACACAGCTCCTCCACAAAACTCGCATAGATCTTGGGTACATAAAAAGATCACTGCCTCAACGGCCCTTCATAACTTCTTGCCCATAGTTGTTTATTGTCGCCAAGCAAATAATTATCTTTTGACGCAATGGCAATGATCACAAACACCAATCTTGCTTTCTCCATTTCTTATATAATTGGAAATTACCGTTAACCTCTATTGCATGCGTATTGATCGTTTACCAAACACTGCAAAGATGGGGCATTTTGAAAGATGTCTTGCTGCTATATTTATGCTTCCTCATGCTTTTTCTAACTTATTCAATACTACTTGCGGTATTTTATAATCCTCTAACTTGTTGAAAAAAGTGCCTAATTTACCAAATATCCCTGTGACAATATTATAGCTGCAATATTATAATCAATTCAGTCCACTGAGAAAACAGCTTCTAATCTTCGTCATTAGCTTATAATCTGTGCAGCTGTCACAGCTTTGTTTAAATTCTGTTGTTTGCCTGTGACATGATGTGGTGCATGTGATGTGCTGCAGACTACAGCCCGTGCGGTCTGATCCAGTGTGCATGCCAGCACGGGCCTCCACTTTGGAAATCGAGGCTGGATCAGGTACGCTGTCGTGTTTCCACTCATGTGCACCTGTGGGACTGCACATGGAGTTTTTACTGATTCACGCTAACAAAATTAAGTGAGTGATTTAACCAAGGCACCAAGTGGCATGCACGAATTAGTGTGTATTGACTGGCACTGCATTTGGTGTACGTTTGGGTGTGATGAGCAGGCATGTTTGAGCTGGAGGTGTGCGGCAGCTGGCCAGATGCACAGCACCGTGCATGGGTGTGCGACCCCGGGGATGAGGCATTGAGGGAGAGGATCGCCGATGCGATGATGGAGTCACCGGGGGGAAACATGCACACCACACGAGGTAGGTACACTTAGTCCACTACCACATCTCACCCCGCCCTCCTGATGACTGTAAAACAAACTAAAACTGCCTAAAACTGAAATGGAGACTAAATATATTCTAGAGAGGCTCCGCAATGCTCGCTCTAGTGGAGGTAGTTCTGCAAGCAGTAGAATGAGCTCTCTATTGCAGGGCTGCACCTTTATTTTTACCTTTCATAATTATAATAATTTTTTTAATGTATGATTTAATAGAGATACATACCCACTTATATTAGCACTATGTAGGGATTTTATGGACCCATTTTATGTAGATGTGGACATTCACTCTGCTTGTGATTTACTGAATCTTCATGATCCATAGTCACGATGTGATCCAAATTTTTTTTTTTTAAATATCTCGATGAATTTAGCAGGCTCTAGTTTCAGGAGGAGTCGTGTGCAATACAGTAAACCCTTGTTAATTTGACATATGGGGCTCTGGCGTTGCCGAATTATCCAATATTCAGAATTATGTACAATGCTACTCCCCAGTGGCTCCTGTCCCAATAAAAATTAAAAATCTAAATTGGTTTTCCAAACTCTTCATGCACCATAATATAGATTTTTTTTTGGGGGTTAGATTGCGTAAATATGATTGTGTCGTTAAACCTGCCACCACCCGACGCAGCCAATTAGTAAAGTTTGTCACGTAAACAGAAAATGCAAGTTCGTTACTAGTACAGCACACCGTGTGTGGTCGAGCAAATCTACAACATTTACAATACGAGTACGACGTTTTGCCAGTAATTACAACTTGCATCATACGGTGACTGCCAGATTTGTGGAGACATCCTCCTGTTTCGTTCCTTAAATAGAGGGATAGATGTGATGACATCATTTTTGAGCATATGAAGTACAATGGATATCAATTTCTGGTTGGGTTATTTATATGGTAATCTACGAACATTATGCATGCACATTATGAATGCACAAGATGTCGACATAAGCTGTGTGCGATTAATTGCACTTGTGGCAAAATGCTATGTTAGGCAGACAAGACAAATGATCAGCACGAGACTAAAATTATGCCAAAGTTTTATTAAATACTCCCAAATACAACCGTCGACAGTGGCAGAATACGTGTGCCAACAAGGACACTCAGTTGATTTTGATAATGTTGAAGTTCTGTGCAAAATTAGTTGCTACTGGCAAAGACTAATTTGAGAATATATCCAAATTGAGAGAAATAAAAAATAATTGTACCCGTTCGGATAGCTACAGGCTTCGTGCTGCTTGGAAGCGAATCATCAAATAATCCATTGTTTAAATGCATGCCTACACAGGTTACCATACGTCAATGGGGATTACCTGTACGCAGACATCTTCTTGGTTCTTTCGGTAAAGTCACGTAGAAGGGAAGTAATAAAATAATAAAAATAAAACATAATAAAATTATTCTCACGACGTTTCGGCCACAACGCAAGCAGCCGTCCTCAGGTGAAAACCAGGTCCGTCGAGGCGACAGAGTCTGAATGAAACAGCACACGAGTTTCATTCAGACTCTGTCGCCTCGACGGACCTGGTTTTCACCTGAGGACGGCTGCTTGCGTTGTGGCCGAAACGTCGTGAGAATAATTTTATTATGTTTTATTTTTATTATTTTATTACTTCCCTTCTACGTGACTTTACCGAAAGAACCAAAAAGATGAATCCCTGCAGTCACGAAAGCTTTAAATCAAAATGTACGCAGACAATAACAGGTCCTATTTTATTGCACGCAAACGACAGGAGGTACATCGAATAGCATATGAATAACAAAACCGGCAATGGATATCCATTGTAATTTAAATATGCATCCATTAAACCTCTCCCGTTCGCACGTGAAGGGCTCACAAATGACGTCATCACATCTATCCCTCTATTTAAGGAACATAACAGGAGGATGTCTAAAAATCTGTCTGTTGCCTGATGATCGTAGTTGTAGTTACTGGTGAAACGTAATGGTATTGTCAATGTTGTGGATTTGCTCTCCAACACACCGGTGTGCTGTACTAGTAACGAATTGGCATGTTCTGTTCATGTGACAAACCTTACTAATTAGCTGTGTCGGGTGGTGGCGGGTTTAACGACGCCTATATTTACGTGATCTAACCCAAAAAAACTTATTATGGATGATATTGTTTGCGAAAGTCTACGTGTTAAACTCTTCGCACACCATACGTATTGACACACCTGCACAAATTCTATCCACAACTATGGATTTGTCTCACAAGCTGAGGGATTTCTACTTCAGTCCCTTTCTATTACTTCTTGATGTAGGTGTAGACGACATTTTTGAGATGATTGACTTGCATAAACAAGGTAAAGTCCAAAGCAATAGGTCTGCACTAACGCTCACCGTATGCGCCGCCAATAGACCACGTCATTGTTTTGGTCGTGGTACGCGGCGTCGCTCCTCGTGTGTGCTGAAATTGGACCATTCTGTATGGGATTTCGGCTCATGGCGAATTACTAATACTGTATGTATGCCGAAGGCGCAGCCGTGCCAAATTTTACCCAATTACGAATTATCAAATACCGAAAGAACGAGTTTTTATTATATATACAAATTGAAAAATCATGTTATGACGCATATCACTTAAGCATAATGAATATATATTTTACAAAATATTAATCGATACGAAAGTTTTAAGTCTAAATGTACTGATGTGACTGCAGGAATTCATATTCTTGGTTCTTTCAGTAAAGTCATGTAGATAGAAAAACAAAAAAGGCAAAATTTAAAGTAAAAAAAACCCCACGACGTTTCGATCGCAACACAAGCGGTCTTCTTCAGCAGTGTAGATGGGCGTAGCGAGGTTAAATATTTTCACTCCGTTCTTCTTTCTCCCCCCCCTCCCTTTCCACTCAGTCGGTGCATCACCATTCCTCCCCCCCATTGTCTGATGGGGAAACCCACGGTGCAATCCCTCCCTCCTCCCATCTCTACCCCTCTCTCCTCCCCCCCCCCCCATCTCTGCCCCACCCCCTCTCTCTTCCCCTGTCTCTCCCCCCGCCCACTCACTCTGGAGCCCGAATAAGCAGCTACATCTGGAGGTTTGCCCTCTTTTCTTTCCACCTGAAGAAGACCGCTTGTGTTGCGATCGAAACGTCGTGGGGTTTTTTGCTTTTAATTTAGATTTTTTTTTATACTCTTTGGTTCTTTTGCTAAAGTCAGCGGCCGTCCTTAGGCCGCTTGTGTTACGGCCGAAACGTGATTTAATTATATTTTTTCTACCTACGTGATTTTACCGAAAGAACCAAAGAGTATAGATTCTTGCAGTCATGAAAGCTTCAAATCAAGTTTAATTTGTTTGTTTTTCTATCTACGTGACTTTACCGAAAGAACCAAGAATACATCGGTACATCATAGCATTACTTTTGACAGGCACCACAGAAAACCATACCCCAAGAGAACACGTTATTCTGCACCTAAATATGCTTTAGATATATAAAACATGAATATCTAAAACAACAGTTTATATGACACGGCTTCACACCCCAAACAAAGTATGTTGTGTGTAAGACAGAGCATGCTTTTACCATCGTATTTGCAAAAATACACGTGTGTTGTATGCGCAATTGTGTAATTTGCAATGTGATTATTGTTGCAGAGCTGCAGAGAGAGGGCAGCATTGAGACACTCAGCAACAGCTCAGGCTCCACAAGTGGTAGTCTTCCCCGCCGATACGACTCGAGCCTGCCCACTCTCTAACCACCCAAGCACTAGCACTCTGCTTTATCAACGGGTATACCAGCAACGTTTTGAGTCCACAGTCCACGAGCTATTTACTGCTGCACTGCGATGACAGCCCACTTTGAAGTAATCACATTTTAGCTACTGACATGCATCGCCACACTTACACAAATCTGAAACCAAACCTGTCGATGCGTACACGCACACTCATATATAAGCAGTTGCACGTCAATGCACATTCACACGACATAATTTGATGGACGCACTTTTAAAAATCGCAAAATGACTTATTGAAGTGAATGGGGAAAAAATGCTTCAGCAGGCTGGTCATAGGGTTGACTGTGACACAATCATCTATTCAGAAGTGCTCCTAAAGTGTAATGGAAAATCTGAAGGTAATGCTACTGCTATAGGAGCTCTGCTGAGCAACTATAAAGGGGCATTTAGGTGGTGCTTTGTTGTTGATTGGCACTTTAGACATTATGGGCCTTGTTACATATTGGGTGGAGTGTTGTTTGTACACTGGCCCTTCATACTAAAATGAAGGAAGTGTTTGTGGAACAAATTTCAGTTCAACTTATTATACAAAGCTCTCTCCACACCTGTAGTTTTCAAATCGGTGCATTGTCCTTTAAACGTTTTTATAGTTTACCCACATCACTGTTAGAAGGGGTAGCAGGGTTGGCTCAGAGGTACCGTACTTATCTCTTGAGTCCAAGGTTCGCCGGTTCGATACCCAGCCTGGACCCTTGTACAGCATCGTTGAGTGTGCCGTTCTGTGGGACGATGCTAAAGTGGTTTGGTTCTGCACGCAAAAGGTTACCTTTTCACATGACTGCAGTTGTGTTGATGCAAATTGAGCCCTCTTAAATGTCTGTTTAAATTCCTTCGGTTCGTATTTCAAGCCAAATGTACTTTTTTGTTCAGTTAGTCAATTATACTCAGCAGTGCTTGTCAGATTAAGAAAAATCAGGTTATATGCTTAATCACTTTTATGTTAATTAAGGAATATTCCATTATAATGCACGACTGGTCGTGACACTTCATACCATATATATAAGTTTTTGATGTAAAATGAAATCACAATCGACTCATTACTGAGAATTATTCTTTTGCTCAAGCCATGACAGTTGATATGCAGAAATTGTAGTATTTAAAATTATTTTAACATTACAGCATAGTCACTGCTAAAATTGAAATATAAAAAAGCTTGCACTTTTAAGTGTAAAAGAACATGTTTTTATGTTTGTTGCATACATATATGCTATTGGCTAGTGATGTGACTTTTGACATCCAATTCAAGTCCTTATTACTATAAAATTATTATTTTCATGCTTGATTATATTGTGTGTTAAGCATTAGGCTACAGTATTAGTTAATGTACAAAGTTAATCTTTTGTGAAGTACATGTCCTCCTGTTTAATAGGCATAACACTGGGTCTACAAATGTCTTCATTAGTTCTTTATTCGTGGTGATCTGGACAAAACTGCCATAGCTGGGAGAACTACATGCCTTGTAACAAGGTGATGTTGACTCATCATTAGGTATTGCCCTTTAAGAAGGGCAGCACTGCCCTTGGAACAATATGACCTCCCTTTCAGCCAAATATCTGTTCACCAATCCTGACAGTGCCACTAATGGATGATGCGGCCAAGTTATACATTACGCCCCTTTTGAAGCATTGAGATGGACGCTCTTGCCAAGTTATATATTTGCAGAAGAAATCTAAAATAGACATCGGGTGACATTTGTTGCCTACCGTAAATTCTTTCGAAGTGGCCGACCTGATAGGGTTGGGAGGAGTCGCTGTTATTGAGGATTGGCCCAACACATCAGCATTGCTTTTATCTCTTTTATTTCCAAATGATAATTGTGGCTAATCCGGAGTCTTAAAAACACGTATCAACTAGAGACTAGAGATAGCAGGAGAGGAATAGTACAAATATTAAATAGCGAAGGGAATAATTGACTGGTTAAAATAGATACTTATTTAAGGAGTTAATTTAGTAATAAGTTATGTATATAGACAATGGTATTTCATGTAAACAGTAATATCTAAACTATTGAACGCATGCTTCAAGTAAATACATAACGGGAAGATTTGTAATATACTGTACTTTATATCCCAATTGCCTTGATTTTAAAAGACCACATGCCCTACCCTGGTGAGTGCACAAGCAGACATTTGCACACACAGTGCTGTGTAACAGTAACGTAGATGTTAATGATAACAGCACTGCAGATGACGATAGTCCCATGTATGAACATGCTCAAATGTGCTGAGCACATATTCACGCTACTTTTGTGACTGCCGTGCTTAGTATAATTAAGCGCATTTATGTATGTAAGCGATTGCTAGGCGAATGTGTGTGTGTGCGCGCGTTCGTAAGTGATTGGACCAATGTACTGTTTTGTCATTGAATAATTATCTGCTGTGTGGTTTATTGCATATGTGTAAGTGGGTGGTAGGTGTGTTGGATGTCCACCTGACAGTGGTATCATGACTTTCATCCCGGGCATGCAGGAACGGTGATGTTCCTTTGTGCTGGAATGGCTTCAGTATGTTTACAGGTTCTCAGTGTATGGCTTAATGCAGCTGTGAGGAGCATTCAATGTCCTGTCAATAAATTCATGGGAAAACTTACAAAGAATTCTGAACATTATTGCATGTCTGTTTGATGTACCTTACCCCCACACAATCCTGTTCACAGGACCAACCAAGAAGCCAATTGTTTTGCTGTGGGAACATTTATTTATATATCTATTTATTTATATGGATGCCCTTTTCCTCCAAATCCAATCTTTTGAAAATATATTCTAAAGTATTTGTAAACATCCTTGTCTGAATACTATTTCGATTTTATTTTATTACCTTATGCAGGGCAGATCTTTTTTTTTACAATTGGTTTTGACCATTAATGTTAAGGCATTTGTGTTGAGAGCTTGGATAACTGAATCCGTTTATATTGAATCAAAAGCTCTTTCATATTCCATGAAAGCCACGGGCGGTATGGTATATAAAATCCATGCCTTCTTTCAGAACGGACTGATAGTGTTGTGATAAATGAAAAACATTTTGCTATATGCAGTTTTTTTTCACGTTGGCCTCTAAATGATCAATTATTTGGTTCTATTTTAACGAGATTTTTTTAAATATTTGTACACTAATTGGAAAGGAATGGGTCTTAATTCGTTAAATCAGTATTTATCTTCATGTTAAAAAGAATGAGGCGTCATTCCAATCGATACTGTATTGCATTGTGTAATTATGTAATAAATGGGTCCACTAATTGTTTCGTAAGCATGGCTTGAAAGTTGGACTCAAGATAAATAGCAAAACAATATAGTATTTACAAACAACCAGGTGGTTCCTACCAGTAAAAAGCAGTTCTACAGAAGTGAGTTCGTCAATCTCGGTGATTTCAACGTGCGTAGCCTCCAATGGCTTCCTATACATTTGATGGCAAGAGAGCGTTCCAGACGGCCGAAGAAGCGCATCTGAAAGCGCATCGCGATGCAAGTCACCGATTTAAAAGGGCACGGGGTGACCAATAAGGTCTGAATTGGTCTGTTAAAAAGTAGGCACTGATAAGGGGGTTGACAGGTATTGCCATTTAAGCCCTGGGCATCCACAATTTTGTTTTGTTTACACAAGACTGATCGAGTGATATATTCTTTTTTTATTACACGCTTTATATGAACTCACTCTGCTGTTGTTGTATCCTCAAATCTTCTTTTTAACCCACTTCCCAATGTGGTCTCGACTGCAAACTTGGTATACTCATGTCTTACTGATGACAATGCTATATTCTATCATAAAAAAACGTAATATATTTTTAAACATTCATTTTTAGATGTTATGCTTCGGCTTGGGTCTAATTGTCCACGGTCAGCTGACGTTGGCTGTCATCACCACGTCCCCCTTAAGTTATGGCAAGCTTCAGGGCCACTTCCTGGAGTCGTGGAGTTCTATTACTAGTCGGGTACATTTCATAAAAGCGTGTTTTAAAAAGTATTTTTTTAAATATTACTTATTTACAAATAGTGTCCATCACGGTGGGGAACTTTACGTCGTGCGGTGAATATGCGAGGCGTGTTGGCAAGGTGCAATGATGAGTGCGTGAAGTTCACCCGAGGCTTGCTCGCACTGTACCGCAGTGAATGAATAATCCCCGCGAATTCCAATGGTGACATACGAGCATTATGCAATGGGTGTTGCCACTAGGTTGCCAACTCTTGACTTACGTATACCAATAGGGTTTTACCCCTTTCTGGCAATAAATCACGTGTCCAAGATGTTAAAACACCAAACAGAATCCTTATTCAATTAACTCTGTTTGCATTAACAACACAGTACTTGTGGTGAACATGCAAAAAAAAATGCTCTCATGCTTGATTTGAAGCTTTCGTGACTGCAGGAGAATCCACACTCTTTGGTTCTTTCGGTAAAGTCACGTTAGGTATAAAATAAAATAAATCACGACGTTTCGGGCGCAACACAAGCGTCCATCATCAGGTGGGAAAAGCGTGGAACCCGTAACCCGGCCTCCTACCCCATTTCGCATTACGTCACAATGAAATGACCGTTGGTTAAATGACGTCATCAGGTGGGAAAAGCTTTAAATGACGTCATCTGATGAGAAAAGCTTTAAATGACGTCATCAGGTGGTAAAAGCTTTAAATGACGTCATTTAATTGTGACGTAATGCGAATGCCAAATGGGGTGGGAGGCCGAGTTATGGGTTCCAAGCTTTTCCCACCTGATGACGGATGCTTGTGTTGCGCCCGAAACGTCGTGGTTTATTTTATTTGTACAAGTTCAAGTTTATTTATTAGGTATAGCCCTGTGAGCCATTCGGCTCTTGAATCGGGTGCAACCGCAACAAACAAAAAACAAAAACATGAACAAGAATACATCTTATAGTGACAATGTGCAAACAGAAAATCCAAGAAAAGACAGCAAAATATTGCAGAAAAAGCACCGTACACCAACATTGTGTGCAAAAATCCCAGTGGGATGCAAGTCATACCTACGTGACTATACCGAAAGAACCAAAGAGAATGCTCTCATGCTCTCGTTTTCTCATTGAAAATAGGTACATTTCAAAAAATCATTGTCCTGGCCACAAAAACAAAGTTTGTGGGGAATAATAGCCACTTTCCGCACTTTTGAGGTATAAGCAATTCGGAAATAACACTTCCTATCCAGGAACAATAAATAAATGTGTTACACAGTTATTAATGGAGTGGATTATTAACGTTTGCGTTTGTGTCCTGGTCACAAAAGCAAAGTTTGTGGGGAACAATAGCCACTTTCTGTACTTTTGAGGCATTAGCAATTAGAAAATAACACTACCCAGGAACAAAAAAAACATTTTCTTCACGGTGTAATATATGACATTGTCTTAGAAACTGATTGGTCCACCACACCAGAGACAGCTTTCTTTTGAGCCTCGTCTCAAACAGTGTCAGACCAGAGAACGCCAAAAGGCGAACAACACAAAGACAACGCACGTATCAAGATCAGTTTAATCTCGGGGTGACCAGCTAGCTACATCACGGGTCCATTTACGAAACGTGTCCAATTAAAATCACCTCCCATCCCCACACCCCCGGGCATTGCTTTCGAAAGCCACCGAGAGAGATCGATACCAATTTGCGCCAGATTCCCAGTCCATCCAGAAGTGTTGGCAACGCCCAAGCAGCTCTCGTGTCAACCCACCACCAGCCAAAAAACGACGGTCATCAGCTCTGACCTCTCTGTCTGCACGCACGGGCTCACGCTTATTTAATTATATTCCTTTCTGTGGTCGTAAATGAGTGAGCAAAGTCAGCAAAGCCCCCTTCCTGGGCAAACTCGTTCCTGGGTATATAAAGCGTGACAGCAGGTCCGCCTGACTTAATCGGTCGGACACGTTTTGCTGACATCTCGATGGAACGTGAGTGTTGCCATTGTCGAAGTGTTTATACTCGCATAGATACATCGCATTCTGTTGACTGTCGTGTGTGTTGTTGTGTGTGGTGCTGTGTGTTTTCACATTGCATTGGGGTTGATAAGTTGCGAACGTAACATGCGGTGCATGTTTGAAGTGAGCCAATAAATTGAGTTTGCCGGCCGACGGCAGATGCAAGTTTGTACCTGACATTGGATTGTCGTGTGTGGAATTTGACCAACATGTTTTTGCGTGTTGAAACACAGTATTGTTCATAAGAGAGAGTGTGTGTGTAATGCTGCATACTATTTTTCACGGAAACAATGTGTAACTCTGCCTTCGTGTTTCTATGCTGTATACGCAACATTTATTGACGTGGTGTTGATACGATGTGAATGCCCGTTGTATGGGGGGGTATTGAATGTGAACACAATTATTTGGCTCATCAATATGATGTGTCCATAGCACGGTGGAGGGGTAGTGCAGTAGTCAGAACACGATATACCCAGAAACTTGAGTCCATTTACTGGCCACCGGCTCACATCGGCGCTAAGTAATATCGGAACCGGTCCTGCCTCTCCCGTAACCCTCCGGTCACCAACCCACATTGACCAGCGTGGTGAAGTATGGTCAATCAACCCCCGTGAACGAAACGGGAGTGGAAGCCGTTATCCAGCAGTGGATTGACAAAGGACTGTAAGTTGACATGATCAGAATATACTGTTTGCAGTGTACTTTGTGTACCTAGTTATACCCTATATTGCACGTTTACTTGGCGACACATGTTGAGCCAAGTTTGGTGGACTTTGTAAGGTCCAGGATGCATACCGTGTCAACCCGTACGGTTTACCCGTATTCTTGTACAGGGAATTTGATGGCTGGGTGTATGGAGGTTGAAGAGGATGGCATGCTACCTTTCCTGGATGTCCTAATCAAAGAGACCAGATGGCTAAATGAGCCATTCTGTCTACAGGAAAGTAACCCATACTGATGCCTACCTAAAACCTGATTCCCACCACCATCCATCCCAGAATAATTCCTTCATCAAAACGCTACACCATAGAGCTCAATGTATCCATAATAAAGGTTTTTTGGGTTAGATCGCGTAAATATATAAATGTGTCGTTAAAACCCGCCACCACCCGACACAGCCAACTAGTAAGGGTAGTCACGTAAACAGAACATGCCAATTCGTCACTAGTACAGCACACCGGTGTGTTGGAGAGCCAAGCCACAACATCTACATTCTGAGTACGACGTTTCACCAGTAATTACAACTAGCTTCAGGCGACAGCTAGATTTGTGGAGAAGTCTTACTGTTTCGTTCCTTATATAGAGGCGTAGTAGATGTGTTGTGATCGAAACGTCGTGGTTTTTGTTATTTTTTAAATCTTTTTTATTATTTGTTTTATTACTGAAAGCACCAATAATAAGTCTACATTATAGACTGCAAGTACACTCACTCAGGTTAAGAACCAGGCGACAGTCTACATTATAGACTGACAGTACACTCACCCAGCTTAATAACCAGGCTACAGTCTACACTATAGACTGTCAGTACACTCACTCAGCTTAATAACCATTACTACAGTCTACATTATAGACTGCAAGTACACTCACTCATGTTAAGAACCAGGCTACAGTCTACATTATAGACTGCCTGTACACTCACTCAGCTTAATAACCAGGTTAGAGTCTACATTATAGACTGCTAGTACACTCACTCAGGTTAAGAACCAGGCAACAGTCTACATACTCTTTGGTTCTTTCGGTAAAGTCACGTAGGTGAAAAAATAAATAAACATTCTCTTGCTGTGGTTGTCACACCTGATGATGATTGCTTGTTGCAATCGAAACGTCGTGATTTTTTTTTTCACCTACGTGACTTTACCGAAAGAACCAAAGAGTGTGGATCCTTGCAGTCACGAAAACTTAAAATCTAGAATGAACAGTCTACATTAATGTTTTTTTTATTCTTATTTTTTTCAAATTTTTTATTTGTATTCACTTTATTATTTTATTATTTTACCGAAAGAACCAAAGAATATTAATTCCTGCAGTCACGAAAGTTAAGTAAAAATTTTGGTGTAATTGCTATATATTAAACATCTTATTCCCTACTTTTTGGTTCTTTCGGTAAAGTCACGTAGGTAGAAAAATATCTCATTCGCCTCTGAGAATGGGACTATTTTACTTTTAAAAAATCTCAACCTAGTGGAATCTGTCAAACATCCTGTCAAGTATTTTAAACGACCAGGTTAAAGTCCGGATTTTACCTTAATTTAAGTGGCAGTGCAAAAAATGCACCCACAGTAAGTCTGTAAAAGCTTTCAGATCCATAAACACATAAAGAGATTTACAACAGACCCACAGACAGAAGCCCATACACAATTCATGCCACCAGTCTGGTTTAATCCTTTTCGATTTAAAGCTTTCGTGACTGCAAGTATTCATCTTCTTGGTTCTTTCGGTAGCGTCTGACGCTGTCTCCCCGACAGACCTGGTCTTCACCTGAGGACAGCTGCTTGCGTTGTGGCCGCAACGTCGTGAGAATTATTTTATTATGTTTTATTTGTATTATTTTATTATTTCCCTTCTACGTGACTTTACCGAAAGAACCAAGAAGATGAATCCCTGCAGTCACGAAAGCTTTAAATTGAAACTTAAAGGGGAGTCGCAAACCCCACAAATCCGATTTAAACACAATGCGTTATGCATCCTTCGAAAGGGCTGCGTAAACACATTGTTACATCGCCGGGCTCACTCTCCGTGATCGGGTGAGGAGCCTCAAGAGTCGAGCCGCTGCTCTTCCCAATCGAGAAGAGCCAGTTGAGGTGGTTCGGGCACGTGGTAAGGATGCCTCCCGATAGACTGGAATTCTACCGGGCACGTGCCACTGGGCGAAGATCCTGGGGCCGGCCCAGGACACTCTGGCGGTTGATCAGCTGACCTGGGAACACCTGGAGTCTGTTGCCAGGGACAGGGAGGTCTGGACCACCACTATTCTACATGCTGCCGCTGCGAACCCTCACCAGGACAAGCGGACTGATAAACGAACAATACAAACCAGTGACTACATTTGTATATGAAATCAATGTAAGCAACTGCCATGTGTTGTCAATCATGTGTTTGTAATTTAAGTCGCAACAGTCTCTTGCAACACTCCATCTGTTGCGTGGTTCACCAGTTAGCAGTGTGAGCTTGTGGCTCTGGCTAAAGCAATTTCAGACTGATAAGACGCCACCTCAACGAAATGTTGTAACTTGATTCAGTCTTGTAACTTCACTCAACTACGGGTGAGTTGTACTGTACATGCTCCCTACCTTCACCAACCCACACTTGCCATTAGTTCAGTATCGACAAATTAAACCACAACATGCACGGTCGGGTGGGGGGGAGATGCACTCATCCAGTGGTGGATGGACAAATTGCTGTGAACGTACCTGAGTTATGTTTTTAATCTTGAGGAGGAAGTTTTAACTACATTGAAGTTGCAGCCTGTAAGTTAGCCTGCATGTGATGACTGCAAGTGTTGCCAACTCTTTAAAGTGGAAAAAAAGTCAAACCAACCAAAACAAATATATCACTCTGTCAAAAGAGAGACCTGAGGTCATAAAAATGTCATGACAATTTTCCAAAAACTGATACAGGATCCCTTACGTGGAAATCCACCCACATCTGCTGTCTTCTTCCCAGAAAGTCTATGTTGCACACTCGAGATGAAGGACGTGGGCAGGTGCTCCAAATCGAGGGCAAGCACATTTATTTATTGTGGTTCATATGAATCTTGGGAAGAACAGCACCGTCACCCTGTAAAATGCAACAGCACGTGTTACACGCAGCAAATCTTCCGAGACGCCATTAACCATGTGGCTGGTTTACACGTGCGGTTATTCATTAACCCTTTCTCTTAAACCCAATTCTACTGCTGATAAACCATCTTTGTCTTTGACAATCACATTTCCACATCACTATTCGAATATTACTTTAATTCTAAGCTGTATGTCTATCTATATCATCCACTACTATCGGTATCTTACACCCATTATATGTACTGTATATGTACAGCATACGTACTGTATATCACCATTGTACAGCTTACTACTTTACATGTGTTCTATGCTCAATAGCATTGCAAGTAGTCATACTCTGGGTACATGGGCATGGTTATAGACTAAACAGTATTAGAGTTAGAGAATTACAATGACAATAACTAATTACAGTGCGTCATCCCTTTACAATGCACAGTGCTAAAACGCCTCTAATTGCATTTATCACAAACGAACAATTCAAAGCCAAGCTTAAAGTCTAAAACAAGTCTAGAACAAGTCTAGAACATTTATATAACGATCAAAAACAACATTTGGGTCCTTTACCTGTAAAATGCAACAGCGCGTGTTACACGCAGCAAATCTTCCGAGACGCCATTAACCACGTGGCTGGTTTACACGTGCGGTTATTCATTAACCCTGCCAGCCACCTACAGGCCCGACTCAGACATTACATGCTGCTGTACACACACGCGTTGATGCACTGCACAGCACATCAGGACCTTCACAGAACCACACTTTACTCCCTTGCTGCACAAGGACACACGTAAAAGAGTGATCCATTCCTAATGTGCCACATCTACATAGTTGTCGCAGGTCAATTTGATAACATGTTGTGGTACGGGAAACTCAAAAAGTTGTGACATCTATTGACAAAATCACCGAGTTGGCAACACTGATGACCACATTAAACAATGACTAGTTTTGTAATTGTTTCGTAAGAGGCATTACACAATGGCTAAATGAGTAAGAAATTCGAGAATAGGTTTCCCCTTTTTTCTGGCAATAAAACAGGTGTTAAGATGTTAAAACACCAAACTGAAACCTTGCACAAGGAATCATGTCTGCATTAACCACAATACTTGTGGTCAGAATGCAAACAAATATATGTATTGTCTTTGAAACTGATTTGTCCACACCAGAGACAGCTTTCTTTTGAGCCTCGTCTCAAAACGGTGTTAGACCAGAGGACACCAAAAGGCGTGAACTTCTTTTGTGCTGTACATAGCCAAGGGTACTAATCGGAGGTGCGAAAAATATTGTGTAGTTCTTGCAAATTAATTAAATGTAACGTATAATTTATCTGAAAAAAATACAGTTTGGTCAAAATGATTAAGTTAAACCGATTGATATTGTGAAAAGTAAAAAAGGGCATGCGTCTACAGTTGAAAAGTACAACTTCTTATCTTGTGTAAATCGTGCATCTGGAGGCAGTGTTTAAGCAATTATAGTTTCATGTCTCCATGATCCTTAACTCTGCGGTGTAAATGTGTTTTGAACAGATTCAGAAGGAAATAAGTGGGTGTTGGAGCTCATACAACTCAGCCGTGATATGCTCAAGAAATCGTACAGCCCTTACAGCAAATTCCCAGTAGGCGCTGCTCTGCTCACCACCGATGGAACCATCTACACTGGTAACAGCTGCAGCTGAGACTGATTGTGTGCAATAATTATGTAAACACTGTACACAAACTCATTTTTATTCTTTTCTGTGGAGCATTATTGATAAAAGCTTGAGTAATCAGAACTCCGTTTTGTGTCTCCACGTATAAATAAAAAAATGTTTTCTCCATTAGCCTATTGGCTTTCTAGGCAAGTTCATTTGCCAATAACATTGGGAACCTAGCACCATTTGTTTAAGAAACCTGACTCTCCTGATGACAATCACAAGGTCTAATCCGGTCTGGAATTTGCTTGTTCAGACAAATACCGCTCATGTGCTTTCAGCACTTATTAAAATACTGTATTCAAACCGAAATATCAAGACTATAATTTCCTGCCTCCTATTTAAAAACTGGTATATACTTTATATGATATACTATAGTAAATGGGCATGCAGTGGTTGCTCCGTTGTGAGCAACAAAATGAATTGTACACTACTTACATGCTCTCACATCTACGCTCCTCGCATTCACCAACTGCACTGACCAGTGTGGTGAAGTATGGTCAAATAACCCCCATAACGTGCATGGTGTGGGGCTGTCCTCATGCAGCTATGAACTGACGCAGGATTCTACGTGTTTATATTTTTAATTTTTGATTTATTATTTCGCCAATGTTGCATGCATTGAATTGCCCATGTGAGAATATTGATTATTATTCATGGAAATTATATGTTTCTACGTTATAGATAACGGAGTAAACAAAACTACAAATGAGAGTGAAAAATATAAACAATACAAAGGAGTTGGCAAAAAAATAACAAAAAATATTTATTGAACCGAAATGTGACCCCGAAATCATAAACAAATGTATCACACTATGGGGGTGAATGTTGACCTAATTTAAAAGAAACAATTATTGTACAGGAACTGTGGATCGACTTCCCAATGTATTTTTGTTCCCTTAAAAAATTTGTCCACGAAACTATCCTTAGTTTGTGTTCGAATGATTATCAGGGCCACATGACGCTGGGAAGTGGACGCAAAGTAAACAGGAATTGTCATGGATCACCACAGCGATGTACAGAACTGGCCAGTTTGAAGATAATTTGCACAGCCAGCAACTCCATAGCTACGACCCGCGATCGAGGGTCCCAGGCACCAGGCTACAAAGAGAGGGGACCATTGGATAGTGAGCTCCAATGTATTCCTTGCACCAGGGTCCATTGCCATTCACGCTATGCCACTGGCCTCACTCACATGCAAGCTTGTCCAAAGGTCTTCACCACACCCCTTGCATCACTTTGGCTCCACAAAATAATTGAGTGAGATTTACTGATTGGTGCCCATAGTAGTGTCCACTGGTGAATCTCAGCCATGGGAGTTGTCAAAACTTCACAGCCCTGGATTATTGGCAGTCAATCATAATCAGTGATTCCCTCGGTCAAATGTACATTGAAGTGGTGATCATATCCTGTTTGCAGCACTGAGCCAGAGGTGGAAATTACACATTCATATGGCAGGGGGGAGGTGATTCATGGGACAACCACTGCTGACTTCCCCACAAATTGGTATTCAATTACCGACCTTGGAGGGATGATGAACTGAGTCAACCCCCAACCAGGATATGAACTGGCAAAAAACATCTGATTGTAAACCGGTCACGACCATTGAGACACTGAGCTGGTTGATTCACTTGGTAGTTCGGGTTGACATGAGTTGATGTCTTATTAACTTGTTTTTTTATGTCACTCCATGCATTTCTGTGACCCCTTTACCCGAACACCTTACACCTGCATCGTGACAATCTTCTACTGTCGCATGACGCCAAGGCTGTAATGTGGAGAATGCGTGCTACAACCTTGGAATTTGTGCTGAGCGAACAGCTATTTTTAAAGCTGTCTCCGAGGGTCATCACAGCTTCAAAGCCATAGCCGTGGCAGCGTCCAGGTGAGCAGAGTGATGTATGACACACAGGACCACCCAGAGGAGGGAGGGCCCTACCATGGGCCTGGTATGTTGCAAATGTTATTATTTTAATTAACTTATATGTGTATTGAAATAAATGCATTTTTTTTTATCAAACAAGTGTTTTTTTGCCTAAAGAAATTGGGATGTAGGTTTGAACACTAGATGGTGGAATTCTGCACCGGGCCTCCAAGAATACCTGGGCTGCTCCGGTCACATAAGCCTCATTTTGCGTGATAATTGTAGAGTTATCTGCGGATTACAATCAACTCTCAATCATGTGGGGTAATGGGGGGTGGGGGGCTTAGATAAAACATGGATAATGCAAAACAAATGTAACTTAGGTTATAAAATGTGTATTGTTTAGTGGAGAAAAATCCATTGCTCTCACATCTTATGCTCCCAACGTAATACCATTCGGACTGACCAGCGTAGTGAAATATGGTCAAATAATCCTCACAACTCGCACCACATGGGAAGGACGTCATCCAGCAGTGGATTAACAAAGAGTGCTAAACGTAGACGTGCTGTGTGTGTCGTGCTGGATGTGTTTGCCGCAGTGACGTTTCTGATGACTTCATCTCACCATGCGGAGCATGCAGGCAGGTCATGCGAGAGGTGGGTTCATGACGACTGCCGTTTCTCCCGGAGCTGGCTGGAGCCCTCTCGTGTTATCCTCCATATCAAGGATGGAAAACCTTGTTCTTACTGAGGGTCAAGAAGGACCAGACTTTAATTCCAAATGGCTGCAAAAACTGATTTGATTAAATAATGGGTGGGGAACCTTCACATAGCTTTGGCGGGCCACACATTAACATGCAACTTGGTATTATCCAATAATAACGCGAACAGTAATTGGCACTCGCCCGCACGCATGATTAAATTAGAAACAGCATTAACAGGTCAAAAATATTTTACTTTGGTACCTGTAAGTGCAGCTAAGATGCTTACAGTGTTTGTAGGCTTTTTAAGGCAGTACAACTATTCCAATTTTGCTATTAGTGTTATGTCATAAGATGAAGGAATTTATCTGTGGAAGTCTCACAGTTAGTGCACCACCCAATAAAGTGGCCCTGGAATATGTCACAGAACTATTTCTGAAATTACAAACTTACCATAGTCAAACAAGACTTTGATTCTCATTAACATTAGAATCCCATTCCAGCCTATGGGCATTCTGGAGCAATGTCCCGTAGCAGCATTTATTTAAGCAAGCAAATTAGAGACCAGCCTTAATTTTTTGAGTCGCATCAGCCGAGTCAGACCTGTCGGACATATTTTTAGAGTGTCTGTTGTCATAGGCAAGAGCCCCCCATGAAATAGTTGCAGTCACTTAAAATTGCCTCTTTATTCATATTAAGGACACACCTGTTATATGCCCTAGAAAGTCGTGATTGAATATATATAAATAAACATGATCGTATTCTTTGGGTCTTTCGGTAAAGTCACGTAGAAGGAAAATAATAAAATAATAAAATCAAACGTAATAAAATACAATTCTCACGACGTTTCTACATGACTTTATCGAAAGAACCAAGAATAACCAAAAATGACGACGTTTCGATCGCAACACAAGTGGTCGTCTTCAGGAAAAGGGGTGTTAGCTTCCAAAGGCAAACTATTTTTCAGGGTTTGGAATGGGCGTAGCCCAAATGTCAGCAGCCAATGTTAATGCAAGTGGTGGGAGCCAACCCGACGGTGGTTGGTTTTCCACCAATCAAAGGGCTGCCAGGTGAAAATTAGCATGTTAATGAGATTAGCATGAAAATCGTAAAGCATGCAACCGAGGGGTAGTCGGCGCGCGATGTGGCTGTGTTGCATGAATCCTGTGAACGCGCGAGTTTGAAATGGGCGTAAAGCACAACTAACATCGGAAGGTGGTAGGATGGGAACATCAAAGCCAGTTATGACTTAAACTGGTTGATAACGTCCTTCCAATGATTGCTCAGTTTGTACCCATCTTCTCGGTTGAAATTGTGTCTGTGTCCATATATATGGATGGCTACGGTATTGGTCCTACCGTGTTTCAGATCTGCCTTATGTTCACGAACACGGTCCGAGACATGTTTGCTTCGTTTCCCCAATGTAACTACTGCCGCAGACACAGCTTAGTTTGTAGACGCCGGGGTATTGTATGTCAGGGATCACATCCTTCAAAGATGGGATCAGATCACGAATTTTATGTGCTGTGTTAAATCGAACTTGGATCTTGTGTTTGCTCATGATTTTGGAAATCTTTTCAGTGACCCCTGCTATGTATGGCAAGATGATGGTTTTGATTGGCTCCTCAGATGGTTCTTTCCCAACGATTAGTGTGATAGCTTTACAGATTGTGTAGTCTGAATAGCCATTCGTCTTGAGAGCTTGGCCAGTTCACTGGCTAGGTGATGAAAATATCCTTCATTGTGACTGGTCCGATACCACGAACTTACTGCACTCTAGAACCCAGTTTAATCACAGATTTCCAAAACTCAGATTCAAACTCAGGCTCTCAGTGGTGCTGGAATTCGCCCCCTAAGCCACTGCGATACCTAAATGATAGAAAAGATGTATTCCCAAATATGGCAGTACGATAAGGAGAGTATCTAACACAATCGCTCTTGTTTGTGTGTTTCAATATTGAACTTTGCAAAGGTATTCAACATTAGTTTGTTCAATTAATTTTCCACCCTTATTTTTCATTATGCACAGTTTGGCACAGAATGGACGGTTTTCTTGACAGCTCGACATGGCTCTTCATATCGTGCGTACTCGGTGGAAGAGCTGCTGCCCTTGTCCTTTGGTCCTCACCATCTCAAACAGAATAAGATTCCTCCTGGAAGCATTGTGGCAGAAGTGCAGGAAAAAAATAATCACTGAAAATGTTCAATCATGCAACAACCCAGCAACTTTACAGAGCATGGTCTACACATCAGGGTCAACTATTAGGCCACTTATGTTATTGTTGTAATATAATTTTCAGTCCACCCTTCCACTGGGGTTAAATTCATTTTCTTGCTCATATTTACAAATCAATATTTTTATCAACTTTATTTTGTCTATGCATTGTAAATTGCAATACATATTCCGAATCAAGACAAATACACAGGTGCCTGAGGTGACCCCAGAATGCATAATAGATGCATCCGGCCCCAGTCAGCTAATTTGTACTTTTTATAAGGACTAATCGGTGAAAATTGCGTAAAAACTCACACACTTAACTAACTTAGCTTTAGTGTCGTGTATGTAAGGTGTACATGCCTGTATATGTAGTACATAATAAATACTAAATAAATGTATATCTTTGGTAACTAATTATATATAATGGTGATTTCAAATAGATGATTTTATAAATGTATATTATTGGTCATGGTGTATCGCTAGCTGCATGAAGGCTTCCTAATGTGTCACCATCATTTTATGGTCCTTTGAAAGCACAACCAATCTCACGCTTGCACATTAACTCATCTCATCACCTTATCAGAAGAACGCTGGCGAACAGAGTGGACCAACGCAGATGTCCAGAATAAAGACCTCATTCGAGACCCAAACATCGCACCTCCTGGCTTTGACAGTGCATGATGGTGTACCATCAACTGAATCAGAACATCAACAGGCCGATATACACATCTCCTTCATAAATGGAAGATTAAGACTATGGGCCTTACCGTTAACCACAATAGCCAGCATTCCTCCAACGGTATAGCAAAACTACACGAACTGTCCTGAAGCCCTCTCATGGCTAGCAGACATCGATGTTGGCATTTAGCTCCTGAACATATTGCCATACGAAATAATTGAATAAATTTACCTGATAAATATCTGCAGTAGTCAAATTCTCAGGCACGTTTTAACCACGAGCTGCCACTCTGTTCACGAGTCTTGTTCATCAGTCATTCATCCAATATTATATCTGATTCATGTTCTCTGATCCACGTGCTATTTCTATGTAGTTCAGTGTCATTCTGAACGTGCATCTTTCCATACTACTTTGCCTACTTTTAATTTCTTATTCAAGTTTGTCTGTGTATCTGATACATATCATAGCTGGTAGTATACACTGATTGAATACATTTTTTAAGTAATGTCGACTGGTATGCTGCAAATAATTGTTGAATTCCAATTTATATCATACGAGGGGGTGGGTGACAGCAGCACGCCCGGCCGCCTTTGTCTCCCCAGTGGCAATGTTCACACACCACAGCAGTTACTCGTTTGAGGCTGAGTCGACCTAGGGGAGGCCCAGGAGCAGTTGAAATAATCGTCACTGGTGGTGGCCGTGAGCGGGAATCGAACTCGGGTCGGCGTGTTCATAGCGCGGCACGCTAACCACTACACTACAATGCGTTACGCTTCCACATGCGCGGGTCACATGACAGATCTGACGTCACAGCTCACTTGCCGTGCAAAAAATATATGCATTATTGACCTCCCCCCCCCTCCAAAAAAAAAAGTGTATTTTTATAATTTTTGCATGGTGTACAGTCTGGAAAGTACCCACATGGCAAATTTCCAGTTTGGTGCATGTCGGGAAGTACGCTAAACATTTTGAACAGACACATTCACAACTTTGCCTTTTATATATAAAAGGAGATGATGATTAGCTGATTGTCACCGAGCAACTGATTTGAAATATAGCACAAATGTAGTCACGTTGCAAACGACCCGGAGTTGATTTTGGTGCAGATGCGGAGGTGTGGTTACTACATCCGAGAATGAGTGTTTGAGATTATTGGAATACTTTTTCAACACCAATGTGAGTGCCGTATTAAGTATATTAAATGTTGCAATCGGCGACCACGACATTGAAAGTGTTTTTTACCTCATATATCCTTTTATCACCGCAATAAACCGTTTCACCCTCAGAAGCCCTGCTTCTAATTATCTACTTGAATATAAACTCAAGCACAGCAATTCGTGCAACATTTCACAACAGTTATCAAGTTCGGACGCTGTGAGGTGAGACATGTTTCCGACGTTCTCTTGCTAAGCATGTGTAATAAAGCACTTCCACGACGACTGTAGACTTGTGTCTTTTATTAACAACTAGCGGTAAGTACCCGGCGTTGCCCGGGTCTTAAAAATATTTCCAAACTACTTTTAAAAATCTAACAGCAGTGCGTACTGAATGTGGTGGTACCTGCTATGATTACATCAGTGCATACCGACTGTGGTGGTACCTGCCATCACTACAGTCGTACATGCTGACTCTATATCAGTATTTATCGACTGTATAGCACAAAGTACTCACCTGACAGAGTGGCGTGGTGAGGCCTAGTCTTGTGCAGAGCCTCCGGCCTCGCCTAGATTGTCCAGCCGGCCGAGGTGGCACCTTGGCAGGCTGGGCTGCTACCCCTGACCCCTCCCCCCCAGTCACGATCTCCCCGGCCGCTCTGCAGTAATATCTACCGCCTATAGTGGTAGCATCTAGCGACTGTATATAGTAGTAATAACTACACGCATCGGGGTTGGGGGGACATCACACAGTGAAGATTTAAGCTCAGCGTTTAGTGTATTTTTTATCGCATTTTAACGCGAAAGGAAATGTCCTTCTCACTCCCACCGAAGGCGTCATAAATAAATAAATAACATGCAAGCGCACAAAAATCGCACAATCGCTAATAAAACTATTTTTTTATGTAGACCCCAGCGTTGGAGAACGACCACATACAAACCCACAATTTTTGACTTTAATATAGATGTAGATAGAAGAAGAAGACTAGCGGGAAGCACCCGGCGTTGCCCGGGGGGAAAATATATTGAAAAACTTCTCAACCCTAAAAACACAACATATAGAAATAAAAATAAACTTTGATCATTAACTCATTAATAAAAATTAAAATAAAACCCAACGCGCGGTGGAAAAAAAAACTTACGCTTGCGCGGCAAGATTTGATTCTTTAGATCGCGCAAAGGAATCAAAGATTGTAGATTTCTTTAGAATCGGCCTATTCCCATTTAATCGATACCACAAACGCTCACCAGATATTGATTCTCGCCACACACTTCATGGTCATTTCCCCCCCCCCCCAAAATACAAAAGTCAATTTTTATACGTTTTATATTGTGTAAAGTATGGGAGCTAGCGACATGGCAAATTAACAGGACCCTGTGGGGTGGGCTGGTAGGACCGAACAATTGAATGGCTATAATAAAATGAAATGGCAAAAAATGGCCGCCAATAAGTGGATGCCCCGTGGCCCCGCCCTCCACCAGCGTAACCCCGCCCCGGCCACCCGTGGCCCCGCCCCATCTCGGTGTCCCCGCCCCCAGCTCGTTGCCCCGCCCCTTACCGCCGTAACCCCGCCCCAACCCCGCGTAGCCCCGCCCTCCACCTCGTGCCCACGCCCCCTGCTGCCGTTGCCCCGCCCAGCCCCGCGTAGCCCCGCCCCCTGCCGCTGTAGCCCCGCCCAATACACCCCAAGCGGGGGAGAGATTCCCAGGCCTGGCTCGGCTGGAGAGCCGCCGACGAGGGGGGGGTAGGGAGTTGTTTTTAATGTAAAAGCTTTAAATGTAAATGTTGCTATTTAAAAACATCAGGGAATGTAACATTGTGAAACATTTACTCCCTTTCACACACGCGGGGGTACAATACGAAGGGAGCGTTTGAGGCCTAGGTCTAGGCTTTAGGCCTAGCTGTAGGCCTTAGGCCGCCGTGAGTTAATTGTTAATATAAATGTTTTAATTATTTATGTAAAAGCTTTAAATGTAAATGTTGCTATTTAAAAACATCAGGGAATGTAACATTGTTAAACATTAACCACCTTTCACACATGCGGGGGTACGATACGAAGGGAGAGTTTGAGGCCTAGGACTAGGCTTTAGGCCTAGCTGTAGGCCTTAGGCCGCCGTGAGTTAATTGTTAATATAAATGTTTTAATTATTTATGTAAAAGCTTTAAATGTAAATGTTGCTATTTAAAAACATCAGGGAATGTAACATTGTTAAACATTAACCACCTTTCACACACGCGGGGGTACGATACGAAAGGAGAGTTTCAGGCCTAGGTCTCGGTTTTTGTAGGGTCATGCCAAGTGTTTGCAGTAGGGGGCGATGTTGCTACACGGACGGACGGACGGACGGACGGACAAACGGACAAACGGACGGACGATATAATCTATTGGTGGCTGGTCCACTTCGTTCCTACCAGTAAAAGTTTGTAACCTATTCCCCCCCATCAGCCGCGCATTTGTGCGGGATACACGGCCGAGGGTTGGGGGGGGGGATGCGTGACGTCAGCAGGCACACTGCGTCACACTGCCACATGCGGGTGACATGACAGATCTGTGACGTCACTGCTCACTTGTGTGCAAAATATATCCATTATTGCGCCCCCCCCCCCCCCCCCAAAAAAAAAATACTAAAGTGTATTTTTATAATATATGCATGGTGTACAGTCTGGAAAGTACCCACATGACATATTTCAAGTTTGTTGCATGTCGGGAAGTACGCTAAACATTTTGAACAGACACACATAATCACAAATTTCCCTTTTATATACAGTGGAACCTCGGTATACAACCACTTTGGAATAAGTCGAATTTGGTATACGTCGTGTTTTTTCCAGCATAAAATGACTTGGGATACGACGTCTTGCTTGGGATACGACGCGCTTGCTAGAACTTGTGTGGCTCGGGATGAGTCACCGCGTACAGTACCCTCGAATGCCCCGTACACGACTGAGACAAAGCGAGGGGCGGGGGACGTGGGGGAGAGGGGCGGGGGGCGAGGGGCGGGGGGCGGTGGGGGGCTGCCGCAATGGAGGGTAGAGCCCCGGGTCGAGGCACGTGTGGCACATTAGGAATGGATGACGCTTTTAATTATGTCCTTGTGCAGCAAGGGAGTAAAGTGTGGTTCTGTGAAAGTCCTGATGTGCTGTGCAGTGCATCAATGCATGTGTGTACAGCAGCATGTGATGACTGAGTCGGGCCTGTAGGTGGCTGGCAGGGTTATTGAATGACCGCGCGGATATACCAGTCACATGGTTAACGGCGACTCGGGAGGAATGCTGTTTGTAACACACGTGCTGTTCCATTTTACAGGTAAAGGACCCAAAGGTTGTTTTTGATCGTTATATAAATGTTCTAGACTTGTTCTATACGTTAAGCTTGGCGTTGAATTGTTCGTTTGTGATATATGCAATTAGAGGCGTTTTAGCACTGTGCATTGTCAGGACGATGCACTGTAATTACCTACTGTTATTGTAATTCTCTAACTCTAATACTGTTTAGTCTATAACTATGCCCAGGTACCCAGAGTATGACTACTTGCAATGCTATTTAGAATATAACACAAGTAAAGTAGTAAGCTGTACAATGGTGACATACAGTACGTATACTGTACACATACAGTACATATGTAGTGGGTTCGAATTAGGTGCACACACACGCAGCTTGGAGGCAACACTATTTATTAAACGGTAAGTAATATAACACTACATGAGGTGGTGACCACCTTCCTCAACTCACTAACACTCTGGAACGCGACACAGACTGGACCAAGCAGGCAAAGGCCTGCCTGGCCCAGGACGACGACTCGGGACTTGACGACCGATGATGTCTTCACTTCGGAGTACAGTACAACAGCCCCGCTCTGCGTTCACACCACGCTTATGTCTGCTTTGGCGTGGCCGGCTCCGCCCAGGCGTGGCTGGCTCTCTCCAGGCCACGCCTCCCTTCCCAGGACACGCCTCACTTCCCCCACCTCTGGGAAGGTCCGGATCCTTCCACCACGTGACCCCCCAGGCACCCCCTTGGGGCCCCCAGCCCTCGTACGGGCCGACACAGTAGTGACCGTTCTATGTCACTACACATATAATGGGTGTAAGATACCGATTTAAGTGGATGGTATAGATCGACATACAGCTTAGGATTAAAGGAATATTCGAATAGTGATGTGCAAATGTGATTGTCAAAAACAAAGATGGTTTATCAGTAGTAGAATTGGGTTTAAGTGAAAACTGTTAATTAATAACCGCACGTGTAAACCAGTGAGATGGTTAATGGCGATTCGGGAGAAATGCTGTGTGACACACGTGCTGTTGCATTTAACAGAGTGACGGTGCTGTTCTTCACAAGATTAATATTAACCACAATAAATATGTGCTTGCCCTCGATTTGGAGCACCTGCCCACGTCCTTCATTTGGAGTCACGTGGCTTCTGTATGCATTTTAGTAATTAGTGTCTAAATTATTTTATACAACCCCATTAATGTATAATATGCCATATAAAATATAATTTATTTTCCTCTGGAACAGATTATTTCCTTTCCCTTTATTTCTTATGCGAAAAATTCGTTTGGTATACCTCATTTTCGGTATAAGTCCTACTGGAACGAATTAACGACGTATACCGAGGTTCCACTGTATATAGAAGAAAATTACTACACAGCTCCGCTATCTCTTCTCGGATGGTTCTGCTCTCTCTCCTCTTGCCGTAATGCGCGCGCTCCCTCGTCCACCATTGTGGCGTGTCTCTCTCTTCTCGCGGGGAGGAGAGAGGGCTTCGCTGGCAGAGGTCGCCACATGGCCGGTGGCGAGACGAGGTAGGCGATGATGCAGTCCGGACTCCAGGCTTCCCACACCGACCCCTAGTCCTCTCACTGCCTCTCCTTATTTTGCTCTCAGCGGAGCTAGGCTCCGCCTCTAGCCACGCCCCTCGTAGTACCTTCTCGATGCTTCCCGTACATACCCACGACACAGAGAGTATGAACAACAATGAATGCAACAAGTATGAACGAATACCCAACACCGATAAGAACAAGAACGATTAATGAAATCGGCCCGTCTTCGAACGGGTCCGTGATGCCGAACCGTCCCCTGTGTCAGCGTGCAGCCCCGAAAGGCCCGACTCAGCAGGAGGCAGAGCGGTCAACGGCAAGGTGGCGAAATCCGCTAATGCAGGGCTGGATCATGCGGAATCGTCGATCGCAGCAGCAGTCAGGGGTTCGGCAGCAGCAGTCAGGGGTTCGGCAGCTTTAACGACGTATACCGAGGTTCCACTGTAGGCGGCAAAACAGA